TGGAACAAGCATAAGACAAACATTCCCATTCTAAAAGGAAAATAGAAAAGAAACCTACTAGAAGGCAAATTCCATGACACTGTAATACTCAAAACCAATCCTCAAAATTGTCTCACATGATTGTTAGGGCTGAAACAACCCGTGATTTCTGTTTGCAAGCTGGGGATCCAGGGAAGCTAGTGGTATAGTTCCAGTCCATGTCTGAAGGCCTGGAAACAAGAGCACCAATGGTGTAAGGCCCAGTCCAAGGCCAAAAGACCAATGTCCTAGCCCAAGCAATCAGACAGGGAGAAGGAATTCTCCCTTCCTTCTCCTTTTGATCTCTTTAGGCCCTCAATGGATAACATGACACTTTGGGGAGAACCATCTTGTTTACTCAGTCTACTGGTCTGAATGCTAATCTTTCAGGAGTGCCCTTATGCACATTCCCAGAAAAAAATATTCAACCAGATATCTGGGCATCCCATGGACCAGTCAAATTGACACATAAAGTTAACTATCACAAATATCCAGGAGTGCAATTTCTGGGTTGTATAATAGTTATACGTATAATTTTTAAGGAAACTGCCAGAAACTAGTTTCTAGAATGATTATACCAATTTTACATTCCCACCAGCAAAGTATGAGTGACAGTGTCTAGTTTCTCTACATTCTTGCAAGCATTTGGTGTTGTCAGTATTTTCTACTTTAACCATTGTGATAAGTAGGCAATGAAATCTCATTGAGGTTTTAATTTTCATTTACCTGATACCCAACGAAGTTGAACATTTTCCCCTCTATTTCATCAGTGAAATATCTATTCATGTATTTTGCCCATTTCCTAACTGGATTATTCTTTCATAGCTGGGTTTTGAGAGTTCTTCATATATTCTAGATACGAGTCTTATTTTTTTTTTGAAGACTTTATTTATTTATTTGAGAGAGAGAACACAGTGGGGGTGGTGGGGAGGGCCAGAGGGAGAGGTAGGCTCCCTGCTGAGGTTGGATCCCAGGACCCTGAGGTCATGACCTGAGCTGAAGGTAGACGCCCAACCAACCAAGCCACCCAGGCACCCCTAGATATAAATCTTTTGTCAACATATGGCTTGCAAATATTTTCTCCCCTATATTTATGAAAACTTTCTCCTATTAGCTGGATTTGAAAGGCTGCACTGTCTACTCCCATATTCTCCAATGATGACCTTGAAGCCATTTAGTTCCGCTTTATGAAAACCAATCTTCTTTTTTTTTTTTTAAAGAATTTATTTATTTGACAGATAGAGATCACAAGTAGGCAGAGAGGCAGGCAGAGAGAGAGAGGAAGGGAAGCAGACTCCCCGCTGAGCAGAGAGCCCGATGCAGGGCTCGATTCCAGGACCCTGCGATCATGACCTGAGCCGAAGGCAGAGGCTTTAACCCACTGAGCCACCCAGGTGCCCCACCAATCTTCTTTTTAAAAAATATTTAATTTAAATCTTTCAAAAACTATAAAAGAAAACCAGCCTTTTAAAAAAAGATTTTATTTATTTATTTGACAGACAGAGATCACAAGTAGACAGAGAAGCAGGCAGAGGGAGGGGGGGAAGCAGGCTCCCCACTGAGCCGGAATGCGGGGCTCCATCCCAGGACCTGGAGATCATGACCTGAGCCAAAGGTAGAGGCTTAACCCACTGAGCCACACAGGCGCCCCCCCCCCCTTTTTTTAATCATCACTATACTAGTGACCCAAGAAAAAGCAGTATTGCATGTGATTCCTATCACAATTAAAAGCCTATTGTGTACCAAGTACTCAGCTAAGATCTAAGGGTATAGAGATGAAAAGATGTCCTCTGGGTGGGGTGCCTGGCTGGCTCAGTCAATGGAGCATGCAACTCTTGATATTGGGGTTGTGAGTTCAAGGTCCACAACAGGTGTACAGGTTACAAAAAAAAAAAAAAGTGTCCTCTGACTTCAGAAGTAGTTTAATGAAGAAGATAGAGACTAGACCAAATAAGGAATAGACCAAATATTAACAATCTAGCATGCTAAGTGCCAAGACACAGTTTTTCCAAAGTACAACTATCATAAGGGAAGCATCTAAGATTAGACAGCTTGGGTAAGTATTCCTGCGAAATATCTTTCAAACCCAGTTTAAAGAAACAAATCCTTTCCATAGTTTACAGCCAGTCCTTTTCCCATATTGTAACACATTTTCCAACTCTCTAAATTTAGCTCTACCCTCATAACCCTCATAAATCAATAAGAAAGGCATAAATGTAGAGAAGGAGCTTTTTTGATGATTCTCTCTGGAGAGTCCTATATGGTACTTATGTTTGTGTGTGTGTGTGTGACCTGGCATTTTTTTAAAGGACTCTTTCTCCCAAGTGTGGGACTCCAATTCGCTAGTGCAAGATCAAGAGTTGCATGCTTTAATAAGGTGTCTGGGTGTCTACAGCCTGCTTAAGATTCTCTCTTTCCCTCTCCACCCCGCCTGTTCCTTTCCTTCTCTTAAAAAAAAAAAAATAAAAAGGATTTGCATGCTCTACCAACTGAGCCAGAGAGGTGTCCCTGGCCTCTTGGGGTTTTACAATACCTACCACCTCCATTTAGCCCTGTAATAGTCCCCAGATGGATACAGTCCTTGCAATATCTTGACCCCTTTTCTGTAAAATGAGGATAGTTGGAATGCCTGTCTCACAGGATGTGAGGGTTAAATAAAATGATAAAATAATGCTCTTGAAACAGTGGCTGGTGTATACTAAATATTAGCTAGTGTTATTATAATGAAGCTAAATCCGTCTATGTTATCTCTAAGGCCACCTTTCCCATCTCATAAGATCAGGGCTAAAGTTACATACAGTAAATTGGGAGAAGGCAAATGATAAGATCGCAATTAACCACCTTATCTAACAAAAAGTGGCTATAAAGATATCCTGATGTTACTGTGGATGCTGAGTAGAGTTATTCTCAAATAAATAAAAAAAGTGCTAGTCATGATCAAATTTCTAAGGAAAACAAAAAGGTAATGAATGCAAACAAAAGCCCGAGATAAGAGTAGGGCATCTAGTTCAGTGGAACATCAGGATAACTCACTCTCACTGTCTCAGTATACAGTTTGTCTTTCCTATTGAAAAGTCCCGGTAAGAAGTGACTGATCACTACATAAAAGAATGGATTTTTTTTTTTTAAGATTTTATTTATTTGAGAGAGAGCGTGCGCACACTAGTGGGAGAGGGGCAGATATAGAGGGAGAAGTGGACTCCCCGCTGAGCAGGGAGCCCCATGTGGAGCTGGGTCCCAGGACCCTGGTATCATGACCTGAGCGAAAGGCAGATGCTCAACTGACTGAGCCACCCAGGCGCCCCCCAAAAGAATAGATTTTAATGTGATGAATATCACCTCATCTAATTTTTACATGTAGTCTTGTCTTTGTAATATATGCTGAGTGCTACAACATACTCATTATTTTAAAGATAAGGGAAATGAGGCTCAGAGATGCCAAATCCCTAGCTTACCCAGGATCACAAAGGCATTAAGGGTCAAGACCTCAATGAATCTTGGAACACTGAAAAAATAAATTAAAAAAAAAGGGGGGGGGGTCAAGACCGGGATCTAACCAAGCTTCGGCCACATTCTTTCTCTACACCAAGGAACCACACTTTTTTTGGCTTCCTTCCCTGACTTCATTATTTTTGTCAGCAATCAACAGCATGAATCATTTATTTATGATTGCCCTCATTAAAGTCAATCTTCTCATTTAGGTAAAGATGTTATTTTTTTCTTATTAGCAGGAAGAGAAAACGGTTAACAAGAGTTTTGTTCCTATGGAAATGATTCTCAAGATGACAAGACTGAAAACATTAAACCCAGCTTAATATAAAGGGCCACAGTTGAAGTTTGTGAGGATGTGTCCATATAACCATAAAGAAATTTTTTCTTCTTCTCACTACTTATATTCATCCTTCTCTTGGCTTCATCACTGCCAGTCCTGACAAAGACAATAATTTACACATAAATAACGCCTAGAATTTTGTTGTGCAATGCGGTAGCCACTAGCCACATGTGGCTACCAAGCCCTTGAAATGTGCCTAATTCCAACGGGGACATGCTGGAAGTGTAAAATACACAGTGGATTTTGATTAGTACCAAAAAAGGGAAAACAGTTCATTATTTTTGTACTAGTTATATATCGAAATGCTACCATTTTGTATAAATAGATTAAAAATAATTTCACCTGTTTTTTTCACTCGTTAATGTGGCTTCTAGAAAATTTGTAATTACGTAAGTGGCTTGCATTTGTGCTCGCACTATATTTTTATTGGACAGATCTAGCAGACGACGAAAAAGAGGGGAATTTCATTGAAAGGTAGTGCATTTCCTGAACGTTTCTGGACGGGAAGAGAAAAGGGAGAAGACTGAAGCCTGGGCACCGTAGGTAAAACCTACGAGGATAAATACCTGCCGTGAATTGAAAGGGGCGGGGGAGGGGGTGCATTTTGACCGTGTTCCTCCTTCCCTTCGCGGCGGCCAACCGGGCAGGTGGCAGAGGTTGTCCCGGAGCCCTCCTTCCCGACCAGTCCTCCGGCCGCCGGGTCATTGAACACACCTGCGCGCCCACGGAGCTGCGCGTCCGCGAACCCTGGCGCTGCCTCCACGCCCCCTCCCCCCGTATTTTTATTTTCCTGGCATCAACCGTCAGTCTCGCACTTCTCTCCTGAAAACCACCGCATAGGTTGGGCCCGCCTGGGGTAAGCGCCCCTCTCTGGCCTCGGCCGGGCGGCGGGGAACGAGATGCTCCCCCTCCCGCCGGGCCCCCGTGGCTAGCAGGGCTGTCTGGAGGCCGGGAGGCCGCTCGCCGGGCGGCCTAGTGGGCCGCGGCTCCCAGCCGGCCGCGAACCGGAGCAGACGCGGCGGGAGCGCCTGGGGCCTCCGGGCCGCGGGGGGCCGCTGTGACCCGCCTTCGCCCCCGCCGCGCCGAAAGGCGGGGGAGCCGGGTTTTGGGGAGAATCGAAAAGCCGAGGGCAGCCGCGGGGGGCGGGCGCTCTGGAGCGGCGGACTCGGCGGGTGCTCCAGCTGCCGTCCGCTCCGCCCGAAGCGCCGAGGAGCGGAGCAGAGAGGCCCGCCGTCCTCCTCCTCCATGAGGGCCGAGTGAGCGCGGCGGCGAGAGCCGGCCCGCGGCGCCTCCCCCCGCGTCCTCTCCCGAGCGCAGCGGCAGCGGCCCCCGGCGGAGGAGGAGGAGGAGCATGTCGGACGGTTTCGATCGGGCCCCAGGTGCTGGTCGGGGCCGGAGCCGGGGCCTGGGCCGCGGAGGGGGCGGGCCTGAGGGCGGCGGTTTCCCGAACGGAGCGGGGCCTGCGGAGCGGCCGCGGCACCAGCCGCCGCCGCAGCCCAAAGCCCCGGGCTTTCTGCAGCCGCCGCCGCTGCGCCAGCCCAGGACGGCCCCGCCGCCAGGGGCCCAGTGCGAGGTCCCCGCCGGCCCCCAGAGGCCTCCCCGGCCCGGGGCGCTCCCAGGTACGGAGCTGCTCTAAGGGATCCCGTCCTCCTGGGCCAACGCTTCCCCACGGCCCTCCGCGCGCGCCGACCTCGGCGCGCTGTTTCCGCCTCCCCCCCCCTCACCCCCGTTCCCCGAAAGCATTCCCCGAAGGGCCCGGTTGTTAACGGGGTGGGAACGGGCCCGGAACGGGGTTTCGAAGGTGGCTGCAGGAATCCTTTGTGCGCCCCGGCTGGGGGAGGGGCTCTGTGCGCGGTCTCCGAGTTTTGCCGTCCGGGGAGGAAGTAAAAATCGCCTTCCCCTCCCTGCCCTGGAAAGGGAGACCTTAGGCGAGTAACCCCCTCTTTTAACCCCCGACTCCTTAAAGAAAGGAAAAGAAAGCCCTCAAGCATTCATTTAGGAGGCAGGTATGGCTATAGATGAGCTAAAGCAAGTCTATTGTTCCCTTTGGCAGGCTCTCTGTATATGTCCTGGCGATAACCTTAAAATTCGTGACCGTTCTTGTTTAACTCTTAAAACCCAGCCCTTCTCATTTGGTTTTTCAGTAGATAGTAAGTTGCTATACAAAGGAATGAATGCGTCTAACACCTCGTTTTTCCTTTCTCAGAACAAACGAGGCCCCTGAGAGCTCCACCTAGTTCACAGGATAATATCCCGCAGCAGAACTTGGAGTCAGCAATGGCTAAACCCCAGGTGGTTGTAGCTCCTGTATTAATGTCTAAGCTGTCTGCGAATGCTCCTGAATTTTACCCATCAGGTTATTCTTCTAATTATACAGTAAGTAGGCCTTTTTACTGCAGTTCTGAGTTAATATTACTGGGATAATGTGGCTATTACTGTATTTCAGTAATCAGTATGCTGTGCTTTCTACTACACAAAAACATTGTGAATTCATTGAACTCCTGAAGAAGCAAAACTAATTCAGGAGTATATTTTGTAGTTACCATGGTCTAAGTATCAGAATGTAAATTGAGAGTAGACCTTGTCTCTTCTCACAGTTGTATTCCCAATATAGAGTACTTCCAGGCCAATGCAGCATATAGTTAAGGGCATTGTCGGCACATAAAACTAAGATTTGTGTTCAGACTTAATGGACCATCTATAGAATAATGGCCTGGCAAAGCTGATTTTAAATTTGATTTTAGCAAGATAGCTGAATATTCATTGGTAGTTTTAGGGTAAATTACAACATGGTTTTGCTGCAGACTAACTGGAGGTGGGCTTTTGATTGTTACACATCCCGGCTCTGTTAAAACCAGTTTGCTGGTTCTAATTAACTGCTGTTATGAAGACATGGAAGGGGTTTTGATAAAGTGTTTACACAGGTCCCAAGACTTTTAAATTTTCAGATTCATCTTTGTCAATATAAGAACTTAAAAAAATTGGGGCGCCTGGGTGGCGCAGTGGGTTAAGCCTCTGCCTTCAGCTCAGGTCAGGATCTCAGGGTCCTGGAATCGAGCCCTGCATCGGGCTCTCTGCTCAGCGGGGAGCCTGCTTCTCCCCCTCTCTCTGCCTGTCTCTCTGCCTAGATCTATTTCTGTGTGATCTCTATCTCTGTGTCAAATAAAAAAATAAAATAAAATTTAAAAAACTTAAATTGATCACATTTTTCTAAAGTGGGAGAAGATACAAAGCCCAGTTGGGATCCATAGAAAGGGATATGTCCTGGGTAAATACATAGCAATCAATTGTATGTAAGTGAGGCAGGAATCCTAAGAGGGTTAAAGAAATGATGATACTTGAGCAGAAGTCTTATGTTTCCTGACTTCTTAGTTTTATTGACATTTAATACAGAATAGTGTACATAAAGGTTAACTCAAAGTTTCACGAAGTGAACACTCAGGGAGCCAGCATCCAAATCAAGAAAAGGAACATCATCTACATCCCCCAAACTCCTTCCAACCCCTTCTGATCATCACTGCTGTCCTAGGTTAATTACTATTTTGACTTAACAAGTTTTGCCTGTTTTCAAAGTTTGTATAATTGGAGTTTCAGAATATCTTTTTCACGCTTTTATTCAACATCTAATCCATGTTGTAGCTCAGAGTTGAAGGTGACTTATTCTCCTAGCATTCCATTGTGTGAATATACCGTAGTCCCATTTGTCTTTTTTTTCCTCCTTCTTTGTCTCTTGATAAACGGTTGAGTAGTTTCCATTTTGGGGCTCTTGTGATTAGGGGTGCTGGTCTGTCCATGTGTTGGTGGATGTTTGCCCTTGTTTCTGTTGGGTATATACCTAGGAGTGAAATTCAAAGGACATAGGGTAGCCAACTCTTCTCCTCCCCCGCCCCCTGAGATTTTTCTTTTAAATCTCCACAGCTAATGTGGGGCTTGAAGTCAACGCACCCTGGTAACCAGCTTTAATAGAGAGTGCCAAATAGTTTTCCAAAGAGACTGTTTCAGTGTACACTGAGTAGTGTGTGATTTCCAGTTGTTTTGCTTCCTTGTCAGCATTTGGGATTTTGTTAAGTTTAGCCATTTTGGTGGGGGTGTGGTACCTACTTCTGGTTTTAATTTGTATTTACATGTTAACTAAGGGTGGTACACCTGTTTTGTTACTTCTTGGAGGGGGGTGGGAAGGGCAGTGCTTTCCTTCCATTTTTTGATAGGAAAGGTATGGGAAGGCTGTATTTCCTGTTTCAGAAACTCCATGCATCTTAGACTGCCCAGGAGAAAGCTTTGGGGCTGGGAAGGGGAAAATACAGGCAAGCAGGAAGAGCAGTTGATTTGGGGTGAAAGGGGCTGTCATTCATGTAAAGTAGAAAAGAGTACTTACTTTCAAATAGCCACAAAACTTTTCGGTTTGTCTCCCTATTCACTTGGGCCATTCTGTGATAGGAGGGATGGATGCAATTTTTTTCAGAGTTCTGTACCAACTAGTTTACATAGTTCTGCATATTTCAAGTGACTCCTGGGCTACAGAGCAGTGTACTGAGCCACGTTCACTTAACTTTGAGCCATTGTCCTCTGTTAGGCATTCCTTGATACCCTCTATTAGATCAGCTACTTCTGTTTCAGTCTGGCAGAGCACAGAGCAGACTGGGAGCCCGTGGCTCCTGTGTGGCCTACAGTATATCTACTTTGGTGCTGGTGGGTTTCTTTTTGGGGGGTGCGGGGGGAGCTCCTTTTAATAAGCTAACAACACTTAAATTAGATGTTGCAGATCTCAATATTCTGGTTTCTCTTGAAATCCCAATATGTGGTTGTACTAGACTATTTTTTTACTTACTTACTGAGAAAGAATGGGAGCCTGAGCCAGGGGAGGGACAGGAAGAGGAAGAGAGCTTCTCAGGCCGACTCTGAGCTGAGCACGGTGCCTGAGGCAGGTCTCAATCTCCCCACCCTGAGATCAGGACCTGAGCTGAAATCAGATTTACCCGACCAAGCCACCCAGGCGCCCCTGGGCTGTTACTTTGATAGAACAAAAGTGGTCTGGAGCTGAATGGAGGCAGCCCCCTTAGATGGAATGTGTGAGCTCTAACTGCTCACTGACTTGTCTCATTTGTTTGTAATCCACCTTGATTCTCTAATCATTCAAGCTTGCTCCCCCTGCTCTAGTGCATTCTCTAGTCTTACTCCTTTACCCTTTTACCTCTGTCTGTGCTAAGTATTTTTCTCTGTCCACTTGGTCACAGAATAGCAATATCCTTGTTTTTCCTTGACTCTTAGGATAAGGTCTTGTTGTGACGGAGACTTTTTCTTGTAGTAGCCATAATTCACTCACTTGTTCAACAGGTAGTTATTTACCATTAGTCAAGCACTGCGGATACAGCAGTGAACAAAACAGACAAAAATGCCTTGGGTCTGCTTTTATATGCAAGAAAATCCGGGTATCTTTGAGCTGGATCTGTTCTAAAGAATTCATGCTTTTTTTTTTTTTTTTTTTTTTTTTAAAAGATTGAGAGGGCAAGTACAGGGTGGAGGGTCAAGGGAGAGGGCCAGAAATTCCGAAGCAGAATCTGCACTGAGAGCAGAGCTCACCGCAGTGCTCGATCTCACCACGGAGAGTTGATGACTTGAGCTGAAACCAAGAATTGGCTGCTTAACTCACTGCACCACCCAGGCACCCCAAGAATTCGTGGTTCTTTCTAAAAAGCCTTTATGATAGTCTTTTGCTGTGCTTTCTTAACCCTTCCAAAATTCTGAACGCTTTTATCTTAGAGTCTTTCCTCTAATCCAACTGCTAGAATTTCTTGCTTTCCCTGCCTTCTTACCAGGGAGTTGCTGTATCTGTCTGTCCCTGCCTATTGCTGCTTCTCTGATGATAAACCATTACATCTTGAATATTTAATCACAGGTCAATTACTAGAACCAAAAATTCTACATAGAAATTCATAAAGCATTTATTAAGGGGCAGCTGGGTAGCTCACTCAGTTAAGCATCTGCCTTTAGCCCTGGTCATGATCTCAGAGTCCTGGGATTGAGTCCCGCATTGGGCTCCCTGCTTCACAGGGAGCCTGCTTCTCCCTCTGCTGCTCCCCCTGCTTTTGTTCTCTCTCTCTGTCAAATGAATAAATAAAACCTTTAAAAAAAATGGCATTTATTAAGAGACAGAAATCCCCCTACTACACACACACACACACACACACACAACACACACGCACGCACACACACACACCCAGCATTTTTCTAAGAACACTCCCCTCAAGTTACTGCCTGTTTGTCTTCTGCCTTTTAGTAGTGATGTTCTCCAAGATGTAAAAGTGACCAGTCTTAGTACTTATTTCTCACTGTTCAAACCTCTGCTGACTGATCCCCGTAATTGAATTGCTACTTCCTTTTGTGACCTTTGGGTGCTCTTTGGGTCTGAAAATCTATGCTCTAAACCCTCATCCCAGTAGACTTTGACCACAGTATGGTCTGCACAGTTTAACAAGTCCCAGTGTGTCAGGTCTGGTGCTAGGCATTAAGGGTACCATTTCAGTATTTTAGAAGTTTCTCTTTATAAGAACTGAATGGTTAAGATACTAATTTTAATTTTTTCTTCTCTGTGCATAGGCTTTCATTCCTGGGATGCCACCATTCTTTCAGATTTCACCTGTGAAATTATTCTGTAGCATTTGCTTCTATGACTACTTCTTTACTGTATGCTTAGGGCACCCTGGAAGTATTTCATCTTTCCAACCTGCGGGTCATTCCTTCTTTGCTCAGACTGTGGTCCCTGCAGTTCTCTTTTTTTCCATTTTATTACCTGCCTTGGTGATCCTATCACCTAGAATCTGAGCACTGCCTCCCTGTCTACTGATACCTGAAATCTAATTCTCCCTCTGAACTCCTGGCTGTGTTTCCATTTGTTTTGACTAGTTCATGAGGATCTCCCATTGAAACTTAAATGTTAAAAAGAGTTTATCTTGTGCAAACGTCTTATTTTTTTATATTCTAACTAGCTGCTCAGGCTAAACATGGTGTATTGACTCATTTCTTTCATACTCTTGCCCCCTTCAACCCAGTTAACTAAAGTCGCCTTCTTGATTATTCCACCATCTAAGTGATCAGTTTCTTTTTATTCCTGCTGCTTTGGATTAGGGTTCTATCTCTAGCAGCGCTTTCAGAGTATCTTCTGTGAAAAGTGCGTTTTCTATCTGATGTCCCTCCTAATGTCAGAAATCTAAGAAAAATACATAAAACTTTATTCCTCAGCTTGCAAGCCATCTAACTCCACTTTGAAGACTGAAAAATTTGTATTTGAAAAATCTGGTACTAGAGAAATAAACACGTTAGAGTTCTCTTCTGCCCACAATATGCTGTGCTTCCTTTTGTGCTTGAAACAACAGGTTCTGATGGGGCGCCTGGGTGGCTCAGTGGGTTAAAGCCTCTGCCTTTGGATCAGGTCATGATCCCAGGGTCCTGGGATCGAGCCCCAAATCTGGCTCTCTGCTCAGTGGGGAACCTGCTTCCTCCACTCTCTCCGCCTGCCTCTCTGCCTGCTTGTGATCTCTGTCAAATAAATAAATAATAAAATCTTAAAAAAAAAAAATCAGGTTCCGATCAATTCCCTGTAGTTATTTTTGGTAATCTCTACACCTGGTGTGGGGCTTGAACTCGTGACCCTGAGGTTGAGTCACCTGCTCCACTGACGGAACCAACCAGGCACCCCCCCTTGATCAATCAGTCCCTATAATGCTTATAATCAGAGCAGCTCTACTTTCCTGTTTTACTTTCAGACTTCAGACTTTCTTTTTTTCTTTTTAAGGATTTATTTTAGAGAATATGCACTCATGTGCACGTGTGGGGGGGGAGGCAGAGGGAATAGAATTTACAGTGGATTCCCCGCTGATCAGGGAGTCCAACACACAACTCTGTCTCACAAACCTGAGATCCTGACCTGAGCCAAAATCAAGTCTGATTTTTTTTTTAAGCTTTTATTTATTTATTTGACAGAGAGAGATCACAAAGCAGGCAGAGAGGCAGGCAGAGAGAGAGGAGGAAGCAGGCTCCCTGCTGAGCAGAGAGCCCGATGCGGGGCTCGATCCCAGGACCCTGAGATCATGACCCGAGCCGAAGGCAGCGGCTTAACCCACTGAGCCACCCAGGCGCCCCTCAAGTCTGATTCTTAACCAGCTGAGCCACCTAGGCACCCCCAGACTTCAAATTTTCTTAAGAGAAGTTGGTCTTAACTTTTAGATTAATTTTTTGCCACAGTGAATGACATTCGATACAAACCAGAAATTAATACCTTCAGCTGGGACCTGTACGGTTCCTGCTTTTCTCTATCATTAATAGGGAGACTATGAGTCTATAAAAGTATATATCAAAAATTTGTTGTTTTTTTAATCTTTTTTTAAAGATTTTATTTATTTGACAGAGATCGCAAGTAGGCAGAGGCAGGCAGAGAGGGAGGGGGAAGCAGGCTCCCCACTAAGCAGAGAGCCCAATGTGGGGCTCCATCCCAGGACCGTGAGATCATGACCTAAGCCTAACCTACTGAGCCACCCAGGCCCTCCTCAAAAACTTGTTTTTAATTGTAAAGCTCACATATATATGTGGCTAATATTAAAGTATATTTAATGTATGCATTTATAATGATGAACAGGTTTCACAATTTTATTAAAAAAATGGTCGGTATTCATAATAGGAGCATTTATTTATTCCAGAGCTAACTACTGTTATCCCTTGTCTATCTTTCCAGAGCTTTTCATGGTCTGTTAATCTGTCAAAATTAAACTGTACGAAAATAATGGTTCTGTGTTCTTTTCGTTTAACATATTGGTGATTTCTGTATTGTCATCTCTTGTTAGGTGCCTGTATGATCCCTTATGTGGGTAGAAGGTGGTATATTTAACCTGTTCTTTGTGGATTGTTAGATGAATTTTTGGCAATGAATATTCTCATACGTATGTCATAGTTGGGTTATAAGCCTTTGTCAGTTACTTGGAGTATAGCATAGAGGTTAGAAGTACAGGATTTGTTGTGTGCTGTTCTTCTAACTAGGTGTGTGACTACACAAATTAAGTTGTGCATGTCCTTCCTTGTTCATAGCCTAGCTGCTGTGCCTTTGCTCAGTGGTTTTTCCACTGGCTTTCGAACCAGTTTCCCTGTGTTCCCCAAGAACCTACACGATTTCCCCATCTGCCTCATTGATCTTGTTAGCTGTCACCCCATCTTCAGTTTCCCTATTCTGGCTTTTCTTTCTCAGAGGTGTCAGGTAAGCACCTATCTTCTTGGGGCCTACGAATTTCTGGAGCCTACAACGTAGAAACTCTGTCCTCAGATATTTGTATGGCTGGGATTTTTGCTTTTACTTTTTTCTTTTTTCTCAGATTATATAACTCTTCAGAATTCTTCCCATTTTTTTGTTAATTTTTTTAAAGATTTCATTTATTTATATGAGAGAAAGTGCAAGAGATCACTGAAGGAGAAGCAGACTCTGCTGCTGAGCAGAGAGCACAGTGCGGGCCTCGATCCCAGGACCCTCGGATCATGGCCTGAACTGAAGGCAGGCACGTAAATGACTAAGTCACCCAGGTGTCCCTCTGTTCTTATTTTTTAAAATTTTAATTCCAGTATAGTTAATATACAGTGTTAAATTAGTTTCAACCCCCCCCCTTTTTTTCCCATAGTATATCCTAATGTCTGAATCATGTCTTCTGTGATGGAAGATAGGCTCCACTGGAGGAGGATTTTGTCTCCTTGATTTTTGCCAAGACCATACCCCCAGCACCTAGAACAGTATTTGGCACTTAGTATGCACTCAGCAAAGGGTTTTGAATGGGTAACCAAAGTGACGTAACTGCTCTGTGCTCATTTCTTCCATCTGTGCACAGGGAACAGTAATCCTTCAAAGGTTTTTGGGATTGAGACAGCCCTGCAAAGTTCTTAAACTGTCACATAGTATACGTGCAATTGGTGGCGATTAGCTTGTTAATCAGAGTATCATCCTACATACCAAGGAGCATAGCTTTTAATCATTCTGCTCTTTGGGTACTCTTAGGTATAACCCTTGAGGTATGAGAATACAGTTACGGCATTGGAATACGTTTTAGTATTTTCCCAGCAATATAGAAATTTGCTTACCTAACGCCTTGTTGTGTGCTAGTCACTGGTCTAGAGATGTTTATTCATTAACTCACTCACTCCTCCTTCACACAGCTGTAATGTTTTTGGGGAATAAATTTGAATTTCATCAATATTAACTTATTTTAGAGTCATTTTTAAGATTTTGAATTTATTTTTAAGTAATCTCTGTAGCCAGTTTAGGGCTCAAACCTGAGATCAGGGGTTCCTTTCTCTGCCAGCTGAGCTAGCCAGGCTCCCCTAGAGTTGAGTCATTTAATTTGGATTGAGTTTTGAGCTCAGACATTTAATCTGTCTGTTTACCTGTTTTGCTCAGCAAACACTGTGGGCATGATTCAGGCACATGAATCTCTCTTCCTGGTAATTTTGATATTGGTATTATAGTGAAATATTGGTTTAAATTTTCTCAGTTGTCTTGTAAATCTGCCAGAATGAGAAGACAACTTCCTACCCAGTTAGATGGAGTCCTTCTGCTATAACATAACATTTTGGCCATTGGGTGGGGAAGAATGATTCAGTGTGCTTAATTTTATTGAGGAAAATAACATTTTATCCTGTGAAGGATTGTTGGTGCTAGAGACTTCTCACTTTAAAGCTGCCTCAGGTTCATTTTATAGCCAGTTGCATGGATTAAAACATTTTTTTAAAAACTTTTCATCTATAGGAATCCTATGAAGATGGTTGTGAGGATTATCCTACTCTATCAGAATATGTTCAGGATTTTTTGAATCATCTTACAGAGCAGCCTGGCAGTTTTGAAACTGAAATTGAACAGTTTGCAGAGACCTTGAATGGCTGGGTTACAACAGATGATGCTTTGCAAGAACTTGTAGAACTCATCTATCAACAGGTAGGTTGACTGATGGCACAAGTCATCATCACATACTTCCTTAAAGCCCAGGGGTGCTCATTGCTCCTTCACCTTCACATGCACAGGCCTCCATGCTCCTTAATTATGGTTCATGGGAGCTTTCAAGTCTCTGTTGTATGAAATTCCTGTAGCTTGGTGATCCAGATCTAGAGCCAGACTGGAGATTCAAGGCTCTGTACAGGCAGTTGAAAGGAATATTGGGCATTTATGAGGAAGGCTAGGGAAGTATCATACCTTTTTTCCATCCCCCTCTTTTTATAGGATCTGAAATTAATACACAAGCAGAGTGCAATTCTGTTCTCCTAGGTATTAAATTATATAAGCACTTTTGGAGTATGGGAGGAAAAAAACAATATCATGGAAGAACTTTCTTCCTTCAAAAAGAAGTCCAAAAAAAAAAAAAAAAAAAAGGCCAGACCATAAAACACTGTCTTGAGTTTTAACATTTATGCTTATGTTTATTTTAAATTTCCAGTGATTTCCATCTTAATCCCATAAGTCTAATGTCAGTCTAGATTGTTCAAACCTAAATTTTGTGTGATGCTAGCATATTGGTCTGTGACACACTAATGCTATTTTCAGGAGGAACAATAGTCCGAGCTGGATTTTTGAAGACCAATTTAAGGGCACTGTTTGAAACTGACCAAAAACAGTAGGAGATAAAAAACACTTAAGCTTATATTTCTATTTAAGTCATTGCTGAAAGAGCAACTTGAATTTGGAATATATTGAAGGGTGATTATGATGGCAGGTAATTTTCATCCTACCTAATGTTTCATTTGACTACCTTCACAACTTATTCTGGGTAGTTACTGGACCCCTCAGTATGACCTGGCCAACTCTCGGATTTCTCAACATGCTTGAGATTTTAGGAGTATAGAATTGTTCCATTTGTCCTGATGCCTGCTTTGGGCCCCTAAATGGATTGCAAAGAAATATGAGAAGAAAATGGGAGAAATTGTTAATGCTTTTCTAATTTTTCTTCTATTCAGTTTCAACTCTTCTGACTGGTTCTAGTTCTCCAGGGCTGTAACATAACAAACTGCAGTTTCTGTGATTATCTCAAAGCCAGTTCTTCAGCTACTACTCCGTGTTTGTCAGTATTCTTTGTCCATGATACACAGATTCACCAAAAGTTCTTAAATTTCATTGGGGGAATTTATTCATCGCAACCAACAAAAGAAGACCTGTTATAAAAATGGCAGATTAAACATGTATATTCAACTTTGATTCCTCCCCAAATACCACTACAGTGAAGGGGATTTTAAGAAACCAGAAGCCTATAGGGGCTGAGATGAGGAAAGGAGACGAAAGTACCAGTTTTGGAAACTAGAAAGGCAGATCTAAAAAATTTGAATTCCGGGCCAGTGCGGAAAGTTGAAAACCACCGTGACTTAGTGTGGAATCTCTGAAAGACTCTAGGACAAGGATGGAATGAGACTAAAAGGATAGCTTTAAAATCTTAAAACAAAGTAAAAAACTAGACTCTCTACATCTTTTTGCACCGAGTATCCAGTTTGAAGTTTTATTATAACCCTTCTTGGGAAGTTATTGAAGGGAAATACTCCACCGAAAAGGAAATTAAGTCATGGATGAAGATCCAGAAACCACAAGACAAATAAAAATAAATAAAAACAAAACAAAACAAAACAACTACAAGAAAACCACAAAACAGAATTTTATGGGAGTGGCTAGATGGATTTTCTCCACCTTCCTGAAAGGAGATCCGCAGACAATAGCTGGAGCGGCTTCACTGGAGTAAGGCAGAAGGCTCCAGGCAAGATTCCCTGACAAGATGAGTGTAATTGCTGTGTTCCAGTGTTTTAAGAAGAAACTTGGGAACTTGTGAGTTTAGGGGTAAATCAATGAGCTGTAAATAAAGAACAAAGTAGAGAAAATTTAAGTCTAGGGAAAACAAAGTTTTTCAAGAAAGGTGGAATCTGTATATTGCATGGTCCACCTGAAACTAATCAAATCATGGTATGACCATGTTGGTAGGTGGTGAGATTAGGAAATAGTGGAGAGGAGTGGGGGTAAGCAAGATAAAAGCTGGATATTCCTTGTCCATGTTGGGGAACTATAAGAAATAATGCCCAACTGAAATCACAGAGCGTGGATATACAGAGGTTGAAGCCTTTTCAACTGAAAGAATTGAAAATGGTTGTCTGTGGGAGTGGTTGAGGTTGTAGTGGGGAAGTAGGAAATTTTAATAACAAGCCATGTGAAACTTCATGTCTTTAAGTTGTGTGTGATAATTTTAAAACTAAACTAAAGGAAAACGGGCGATGGCCATAATGGGAAAAGGATGATTTTTGAATTTCAAGTCTTCTGTGGCACCGGAAACACATCCATGAATGATCTCAGGAGAAACCAGTCTTGTCTTTGCAAGCAAGGAAGTAATTAGAAATAAAAGACCTAATAATTAGGAAGTACTTACTACATGCTAGGTAATGTTGAACACTTGACATGTAATTAACTCGTTTAATCCTCCATGATTGAAGATACTACTCTTACCCCTTATTTTATACATATTTTAACAGAGGTTAAGGAACTTGGCTTAGGTTACTGCAGCTAGTAAGTAGACCCAGCAAAGGGTCAAAAACGTTTATTACTTCTAGACTATGGTTAGCTACTATCTTTGTAACCTTGGTCAGGTCCCTTACCCTATTAACGTGCTATCTAATATTAGGTGGTGAACTGTGTTCTTTACTATTCTTTAAAAACTGCAATTAAAGTTAAAGCTTTCTGAGTACTGTTTTGGCTATATCACACTGTCTTTGATATGTAGTGTTTTTTTCACGGTCTTAGTTTTTGGAATAGCTTATCTTTATTTCCTCTCTATCCCAAGTGTGTTTGGAGTATTCTTAAATGTTAATCTCTTGTACCAGGTACCATTTATCACCTCTTAGGAATCAGATGGAAGCCCAGGGAGGTTGAGTGAGGCCAAAGTCTGTGCCAGCATATGCCTGAAAAACACCACAGAACAGTCGTTTGCCAAATACTCTTACTTGTAATTAGCACTGTGCAACTGGGTACATGCACCTTATGCAAAAATTGATTAGTATAAAGAGGTCTTGTCTGTTTGCTTTCTGGTGACCTCAGGTAAATGATGGGGAGAACTTAAACATTTTCTTCTTGTTCTTGGTGTAAAGTTGGGAGGGAGAGTTAATTTCCTTATTGCCTAACAACTAAAGACTTGTACATTTGTACGGTGTGGTCAGTTTTAGGGGTGGAAATGTTTTCTTCTTTAGATTGTTGCTCTTAAGTATTTGCATTAAGAACAACGTATTTGTGTCCTAAAAAGGTTTTTTTTTTTTTTTCTTTTTGAAAGGCCACGTCTATCCCAAATTTCTCTTACATGGGAGCTCGCCTGTGTAATTACCTGTCCCATCATCTGACAATTAGCCCACAGAGCGGCAACTTTCGACAGTTGCTGCTTCAAAGGTCAGTGTGAATATATGAAATTAAGGGGAAAGTTTTAGACCTACTAGAATTTAACCATTCCTCTTTTCTGAAGACTGTACATAATAGAAGGTTACAGGGGAAGGTAGGGAGGACCATTATTTGTATTATAATATTGTATATACTATTAAAAATTATAGTCCCCCATATCAGTCTTTTTTTTTTTTTTTTCTGTAATCTCTGCCTTTGGCTTTTAGATGTCTTGGTTTTGTTTTTTGTTTTTTAAAGATTTTTATTTATTCATTTGAGAGAGCACAAGCAGAGGGAGTGGCAGAGGGAGAGGAAGAAATAGACTCCCTGCTGAGCAGGGAGCCTGATGTGGGGCGTGATCTCAGGACCCTGAGATCATGACCTGAGCCAAAGGCAGATGTTTAACCAACTGAGCCACTCAGGTGCCCCTGTGCCTTTAGTTTTGTGCTTAGAAGGCCTTTCATTTCCCAAGATCTTAAAAAATTACCTCTTATATATTTCTTAGTACATCTGTACTTTGCGTTTGAGTGGGTTCTAGTTTATTGCCACAGGTTGAACTAGTTTTTCCCATACCACTTTTTAGAATGATCCATTTCCTTATTGAGTTGAGCTGCTGCCTTTATCACACTACATCCCTGTATTGAGGTTTTGAGTCTAGAGTTTAATTATATTCTGTTCACCACTTGTTCTATTCCTTTTATTATACTACTAAAAAGCTCCCAATTTTTTAATATCTAGTATGGTTGGTCCCCTTCCCACATCTCTTGGGTAGAATCTCCTTTGCTATTCTTACATGCTGCTTTTCTCCAATGAACTTTAGACTCAGTATGTGAAATTTCATTGATCTTTTTGGTATTAGATATTTTTGACATGACCTTGAATTCATAAGCTAGTTTAGGGAAACTAATTTTCTTATGGGAGTCGTTTTATTCAGTAACAAGGTTGCCTTTGAGTTTGATTGTTGGTCCATTAGTTCTTTAAAGATACTTTCAGTGGTTGCAAAGTATTCCATTATGTGGTTAAACTGGACTAGAACAGACTAAAGATCCCAACAATAGACTCCAGAGACACTTGAAAATTAAGCTTTTGATAGAGATGCTTCACGTATGTGTGTAAAGGGTAAATTGTGCTGCTGACACCACTGGCTAGCCGTTTGTCAGGGAAGAAAACAAAGATGGGTTCTTGTCTCTTTACTCCAAAATATATTTCAAATCTATAAAAAACCTTAAAAGTGCAACACTAAATACTAAAAAATTGACAGTATTGATAATTAAATCATAAGTTGGTAAAGCCCTTTTAAGCAAGACATGATATCTACAAGTCCGAAAACAAGAGATTAAACCTAATTACATATGGATTATAATATTGGGAAGGATCATAAATTTATATGAAGTAAAAAATAGGGAAATTTATAAAATTTATAATTTATAAACGTATAACACATGGCAGTGAATGCTAATATGAAAAGAGGGACCTCTTAGGCATGAGTAAGAAAAAGACTGTTTTGTTTTGTTTTTGTTTCAAGATTTTATTTATTAGTGGGAGAGAGGAAGGGAGAGGGAGAGAGAGAGCACAAGCAGAGGGAGGGACAGAGAGAGAGGGAGAAGCAGGCTCCCCTTTGAGCAGGGAGCCCAGCCCAGAGCCCGATCCGAGGACTCTGGGATTGTGACCTGAGCCAAAGGCAGTTGCTTAACCAACTGTGCTACCCAAGCACCCTTAAAAAGACCAGTTTTTAATTTTTAAATTTTTTAAAAAGATTTTTAACAAATTTATTAGAGAGCAAGAGAGAGAGAGAGAGCATATGAGCAGAGGGAGAGGAAGAATCAGACTCCCCTGCTGAGCAGGGAGCCAGATGTGGGGCTCAATCTCAGGACCCTGAGACCATGACCTGAGCAGAAGGCAGACACTTAACTGATTAAGCCACCCAGGCACCAGTTTTTGTTTTTGTTTTGTTTTGTTTTGTTTTTAAGATTTTATTTATTTATTTGCTAGAGAGAGTGAGGGCATGAGAGAGAGCTCACAAGCAGGGGGAGCAGTAGGCAGAGGAGAAGGAGGCTCCCTGCTGAGCCGAGAGCCCAGTGGGGAAATCAGTCCCAGGATCCTAGGATCATGACCTGAGCTGAAGGTAGATGCTTAACCTATTGAGCCACCCAGGCATCCCAAGACCAGTATTTTAGCAGAAATAGACTGCTCTCTAATAAATTTTTTAAGTAGGTAAAACTTGGGGAAAATATAAATGACAAAGTTCTAAAAAGCTGTCTAGCCTTACCTTGATGAATAGCTTCTGGAAAGGCATGAAATGAGCACTTCTGGGAGGTAGCATAGCAGAAAGGCTAGCTGCTTTTCCCTTGGATTTCTCACCCCTGCCTATGCCTTAAAGTCACCCTAGGGACTTAAAATAGGGATCTAAGACCCTGTCCTCATTCTTCGGAATTCTGATGTAGGTGGAGTGAGGTGGAGCCTTGGTGGTTTTTTTAAAGCTTACCAAGTGATTGAACTCTAGCTGTGGTTGAAAACCACTCTTCCACGTCTCTTCTGACTACCCCATCTGTGCTTACATAATATTGTAATACTGGCAAAGATACTAATGGAAGTGCTAGGCCTTTAGCAAGTAAAAAGCAAGGTATAATTCTATTAACTTTAAAAATATTTGTGTATTTTGAAAAGTTACCTTTATAGCAGTTATCTCTGGGTTTTATGACTGTTTTTTATTTTTCTGTTTTTAACCTTTCTGAGATAAGCATGTATTGCTTTTCTAATTGAAAAATCGTTAACTTAAAGTTTGTTTAGAGATGTAGGTCCCTCTCCTCTAGATAATCAATGAGCTACAAGGGTAGGGATTTACTTTTGCTCTTGGATGAATATATCTTAATGTATAATCTAATAGTCATTGCATCTATAAAACAAAAAGGTCATTTCATCAAAGCTACCAATAAAGTAAAAGAGTAGCCAGTAAGGTGCTTGGATAACTAAACTGACATTAATTAAGTTATCCTTTCTATTATTAGCCAGAATGTTTCATTTATAGATATCCCAGCTTTTTTTTTTTTTTCTGATGAAGAATTAATGTTTAGGCAACAACAAATGTCTTACCATATCTGACTCAAACGAAATGTTGCTCGTTTAATATAGCTTATAAGCTATAGGCCACGTAGACACGATAAATTATCTTGGGTTTATGGTTGATTCACAGATTGACCGGAGGTAAATTCTTGGTAAGCAGTGACTTCTTTTTACCTTAAAAAATTTATTGTTTTTTTCCAAAACCAACCTCAACTGATTGCTTATACATGGAAGCCATTCAGTCTCCATATACCCCTCTCTTTGTCTTTAACAGAACTGTCAACAATCAGCTTTACAAAACACATAGCTTTCCTAGAACTTTTTCCGCCACCTGATCAATAAAGATAAATATTTAACGCCAAATTGGTAAACATTTAAAGTACATTTAAAAAATCCTTTTTAATAACAGCTGACTCCGTAATTCACTGACATAGGCAATGACAGGTTTACCGTGATTGTTTCAGATACTTTATAGGATGGCAGATGGGCCAAGTCAGGGGAAAATAAAGCTAGGGAAACGAAGTTATTTGACTCCTTTGGTCTCTGGGATATTAAGACCAAACTAATTGCTGTCTGTTTCTATGTGAATTTCAATTGGGGTCTTTCCCCTCCATTTCTCTAATTTGTATAACGGAAATTATTAAGGATAATGGGCTTAATACGACTTCATTTTATTTTCAGCTTAGTTGGAGACCATTATCTATATCTATATATCTATATAAAGATGTGTTTCAAAGTTCATGTACTCAGAGTAGAACATTTAGAGAGACAATTTGAGTAAAAACAATGCTTTCAAAAGAAATATATAAAAAAGAGCTTTCTTGACAAAAATCTGATAAAGATGAGGCATTTTCTTTCCAGTGCCAGTACACAGTGAACCTCATGAAACCTGTGTTGCTTAAAGAGATTACAAACTTGATCCAATAAGAATAGGTGAAAATAAACCCATTAGTTTCTTAAAACTAGGAATTTTCATATAAAAAGATGATGCATGTTCTGGTCTCTACAATAGACAGGAACACTTTTTACTCCAGAAAGTCAGGGCATTATTGGTGCATGTTGCTTGTCTCTGTATTGCTTGTGGACAGCGAACCCGCCAGCTGGTCATCGTGTTTGTTCAGAAAATAAAGCAGTGTGTGGCTCTGAAAGGTGTGTCTTCCTTAGATGTCGGACCGAATATGAAGTTAAAGATCAAGCTGCAAAAGGTGACGAAGTGACTCGGAAACGATTCCATGCGTTTGTCCTCTTCCTGGGAGAGCTCTATCTCAACCTGGAGGTGAGGAGAGATTGTTCTAAGTCCTGACAAAGCATGGGAACACAAACTGATGCAAGGGGGAGTAAGGCTGGGTGAAGGGAGAGATGGTGCCTCACTGGCCACTCAGGGCAGCGCCTGCGTTCTAATGGAACGTCCCGTCATGTTTGTTTCTCCTGTTTACAGGGAGGCTGCTGGGAAGTAGTTACTGGGAATTTTAAAAAGTCTATGTACTTTTGGAAAGCCATGGTTTCCTTACAAGTGTAAGCTCTTGAAGTACAGATAATCATACCTGTTTGAATTCACACATTTCGTGTGTTGACTTTCAGGTGGTGGCTCAAAAGCAGCCCACTCTGCAGAACACACAGCTTTGAGTTGAAAGGGCAAGGTGGGCACTAGAGTATCTAGGGTTCCTTCCACCCTAGTTCACCCAGGATTGTTCTTCTTGGTCCTGTTTTATAAATTAATCTTCTACATTAAATGCTTTTGTTCAAAGTCTGTAGCTAAACAAGTTTGTAAATTGGTGGTATATTTGGGTATATGTTAGTAAGCAAGTAAGTGCTGAATATTACTTTGTAATGGATTTGCTTGATTTTTTTTCTTTGACTAGTTAATCCCAGAGATAGGTTATACCTTCTTTAACTTTGATTTGAAAACTTAATTGTAAACACTGCTGAAAAGACCATGGAACCCACCACCAAATGTGCATCTTAGTCAGTGCATCTAAAAAGTCCCTGTCCAATCTGGTACCTAATTTACTATCCCATTTTACCATAGATGGACCTTTTTTTTTTTTTTTTTTTTAAAGTAGGGACCATTCCCAGCATGGAGCTCGAACTCCCAACCCTGAGATCAAGAGTCTCATGCTTTGCCACCTGAGCCAGCCGGTACCCCTGGATGGACTTAATTTTTTAAAAATGTCATCCATTACTCTTTCAGTTTAATTTTTATATAAGCCAAAATAAGAACATTCATCTAAAATGTGCTGTAAATGAAGAGTCTTTTTAAGAATGCAGGTGTTTCCTCTGTGGATGTAATGATGCCATGTCTGTGGGGAGTGTAAAGTTGAGGTATGGCTCCCAAGCCTATGGCTCTTCTGGCTGGAGAGCTACCTTACTTAGACGATTCTGATGCAGAACAGTATTTTTAAATAGTATAAAAAATAAGAAAAGGCTGCATGCTCCAAATGGCCTGAGAATGCTTTATGACGCAATAATTTATAAAGGTGACTTAGGTTATCCTGACCATATGTTATGTGTGATAAATGGGAAATTTTACCTGTGTTTACTGGTTGTATTAGAGATCTTATATACATGTAAAATAAGTCTAATTTCGTGAAGATACCAGAGCATTTCTGATTTCTGTATTGTTTAACTTAAAACACTTATTTTGCTAACACGTTAGACCATTTATTTATCTGTTGTAATATTTTGGCATCGTTGCTTCTCATTTTCTTCTGTCCCAAAAGATCAAAGGAACAAATGGACAGGTGACAAGAGCAGATATTCTTCAGGTTGGTCTTCGGGAGTTGCTGAATGCCCTCTTTTCTAATCCTATGGATGACAACTTAATTTGTGCAGTAAAATTACTGAAGGTAGGTTTTATGTATGTTTTTCTTAAAATTAATCTTTCTACCGCATTTATGATTTAAAGGAAAGTATAGTATGCAGTGAATTCAAGATTAAATTTTTACTTTAAATATTGACACTTTGCCCTTGAATTTAAACATTGGAAAGGCAGTATGTACTGATTTTTAGATTTTATTTTTTTGAGAGAGCATGCATGAGTGGGATGGGGTGGCAGGAGAGGGACATGCAGACCCCATGCTGAGCACAGAGCCTGACATGGGCCTCAGTTTCATGACCCTGAGATCATGACCCGAGCCGAAATCAAGACTTGGGACACTTAACCAACTGAGCCACCCGTTCTCCCCTATACTGATTTTTTAAATATGAAAATGTAAATTTAGAAGCAAAAAAATGGAAGTCCTTCACCCTTCGTCTCTAAATTTCTTTTCCTTTCTTTCCCATGTCTGTATTTGTGCCCTCCTAAAATCACCCTCTTTGTGGCTTTTTTATTATCTAACAACAATCTTAGATTTTTTCATCGCCCAAAAGATTTATCTTTCTTCAGTAACTTCACTTCTATATGTGCAATTGTTTATGTAGGTTCAATTCCTACACATTTGGTGGGTCAGTGAACATATAGTTTATTTTGAGAAGTAATGTCAAGTTTCCCTTCTAAATGCCAAACTGGTGTGTGTTTGGTTGTTGTCCTACTGATAGTGAGTAAGTATACTGCTTTCCCCATATTCTTATCGGTGATGGATATAATCAACCCGGGTTTGTTTTGTTATAGGTGATGGATGAGTAAAAACAAAAATCTCGTTTTGTGTTTTCCTGATCATTTGTGAACTTAAGCATTTCTTCATGTTTGTTAGCCTTTTTTTTTTGTTTCTTTGAATTCTTGTTTTATGTCTGTACATCTTTTTCCCCTGAAGTTTGTATTTTTTTTTTAATTCAGGGTTTCCATACTTTCTGTGTATTTCAAAAAGTAAAAGGTTGATTAAAACTTTATAGCCTAATTTCCATAGAGAATATACCCTATAGTCATTGACACATAAAACCTGTGATTCAGGTTCTGCTTTAGTTTCTCTCAATCAGAAAAACAGGGTATTAGAGATTCCTGACTGTTAGGTGGTAGAGAATAATTGGGGATATTTAACTTACCAAATTCATTTTATTCCAAGAATGCTTGAACTGCTACTAATATTTTTTTAATAGAACTTATGTACTTTACTGAATTCCTTATTTTACTGATTATCTGCTTTTTTTAGTTGACAGGGTCAGTTTTGGAAGATGCCTGGAAGGAGAAAGGAAAGACTGATATGGAAGAAATCATTCAGAGAATTGAAAATGTTGTCCTAGATGCAAATTGCAGCAGGTGGGTAGCTAGCCAGCAGATCTCAATTTCTTTTTCTGTAGAGATTGTTTTTCATCTGTTATATATGCTGTCATCAAAAGAGTTGAAATCTTACAAATCTACAGAAGTATATTTTCTTCAAAGGTACAATATTTTAGCTATGGCTTGTGTTCACCTGGCCTTTTTTGTTCAGTTATGTTTATAAATTGAAAAGGTTTAGATTTTCCTGTGGTGAGATAGGAATCCATTGAAAAGTAAAATGATTCAGACTTTAAATTGTTCAATAAATACTTGGATAAAGTACTGTTTTAAGTCCAGTTGGAAGCATAAAAATGCAGGATAGCCACTGCCTTTAAGAACCATATAGTCACAGTTAGATGAAACACCTTTCAAGGCTGCTTAAAAAAAGGTTATGTCAGTATAGCAAATGTCTAAAAAATCAAAGCACTTAGATGTACATGTTAAATTTATGAAACGTAGTTTTAAGAATCTGTGGTATTCTAGGGCCGCCTGGGTGGCTCAGTGGGTTAAAGCCTCTGCCTTCAGCTCAGGTCATGATCTCAGGGTCCTGGGATCAAGCCCCACATCGGGCTCTCTGCTCAGCAGGGAGCCTGCTTCCTCCTCTCTCTCTGCCTGCTTCTCTGCCTACTTGTGATCTCTGTCAAATAAATAAATAAAATCTTAAAAAAAAAAAAAAAAAAAAAAGAATCTGTGGTATTCTAGAGTCTGACAACACTTTGGTGGATACCCTTAATTCCTTTTCAACTTCTTTCTGCAGAGATGTGAAACAAATGCTCTTGAAGCTTGTAGAACTCCGGTCAAGTAACTGGGGTAGAGTTCACGCAACCTCAACATACAGAGAAGCAACACCTGAAAATGATCCTAACTATTTTATGGTATGCCAGCATTTACATTTTAAGTTTTGTTTATTGCTTGGATCCAATTTCAGAAACTTCTGGGTGAGGTACATAAAGGTATTCTCAAAAAAAATAAAAAATAAAAAATCTCAGAATTTAAGGCCAGTAATTCTTTTCATTGGCTTACGGTCACATGGCAGCCAGGAGGCCAGGTAAATAGAGGAAGAAACATGGAATCCTCTAAGGAAAGGGTGGATTAGAGGAAGATCCATCCACTGGAAAGGGAAATCGGTGACTTGAACAGAGTTGTGTGGGATTGTGGAAAGAAGTTTTCCCAGGAAATTTATAACCAAAGAGCTGCATCTCACACTTTGACTTTGCACTTTATAGTAAATTTAGAAAATAAAAGTGATCCCTATACCAGTAATGTCCTGAAGCTCCTGACATGACCAAACCTAACACAATAACGGAGAAATGCTCCTAAGACCCCAGCTTTGGAAATTCCTTAAAAAATGGTGGGGAGGGGAGAATCACAACTAAAAATAAGCTGACACAATGCTAAATCACAGCACACAGCAAAAGAGTTCATCATGAGTGTGACCGACTAGACAGCAGGGTTACAGCCATAGGAACTTGAGAAAATAGAATAGAAATCTGAAAATCATAGACTTTCCTAGTGAGATGAAAATGGCTATCAGGAAGCTAGTTTCTTGTGAGTGCTTGCATTATTGAGTGCAGATGAGTGACCTTAGCCATGCCTCATTAATTAACGTGCTTTAAAAAGTCAGTTTTGAAACGCTTACGTATTTGTATCACTTTGATCCATCCTAGAATGAACCAACATTTTATACCTCTGATGGTGTTCCTTTCACCGCGGCTGATCCAGGTAGGCCGTTTCACAGGCTTTGCCCCCAATTTCTTGGTAATCTCGTGAATTCCAGAAAACCATACCCTCGCCAGTGTGGAGTTGTAGCTTTTTGAAGTGGGCACATTGTTCTAAGATGAGGGTAAATGTTTTTCTCCTATAGAATATTCTTTACAAGGACAACCACTTTGAACCATTACAAATGGAAAGTCTGACTGTATAGTGTCTTGTCACCCACACAGTGGGTCAGTGGGTTGGAAGAATCCCTCAATTAAACACAACCATTTTTGTTTTATATTTTCTCTAATAATTTCATTTTTATACTGTAAGCTTTCAGGTAGTTAAGATAGAAGGGGAAGATGGTTCTAGCTCACTACATAGAGTACAACAGTCATTACTGTGGGTTAATACTTGCAGATACTAAAATTATGGGTTTCGTTAATAGTCAGTAGGTCAAAGTTAATTAAAATCTAAATCTCAGCACACTTCCCCTTCCAGAAAAGGGCCATTTATAGAAAGATTGCTTTAATTGTGATAAATGGGACTACAGTACAAGCAAGGGAAAATTTTCCCGTTTGATGAAAATTAGAACCATTTGTTTGGAATTTTCCCATTAGCTTCTTCTGGATAGAAGGCACTGACTATCTGGTTCCTAAAAGAAGGTGGAAAGAAGTACTGCTTAACTTTCAACTTTAAATTCTGAAACACTCAAAATATAAAAATCACATGGGACACTTGGGTGGCTTAGTCTTTTGGGCATTTGATGCTTGGTTTTGTTTGGGTCATGATCTCGTGGTTGTGGGATCAAGCCCTGTTGGGGAGATTGGGGAGATTGTGGGATCAATCTCCTGTGGGAGATTTTTAAAATATCTTAAAATATATATATTAATGTATATAATTGTTATATAAACTACAAAAAACTGACTGATTCATTATGAAGAATAAATCAATGTCATTTTGCCAGATTAATGCACACTTTGGGTGTTTTTAAAGAAATAAAACCCTACGGATAACTAGTAAACCACTCTGTCTTATGACCCAGCCCTCACCCCCCACCGCCAGTCCTTCCATTGCTTCCCTCCCAGACGTAATTACCATCCTGAAGTTGGGGTCATTGTGATGTCTTTTTACTTCCTATGTGTCTATAAACAGTGTAGTATCACACAGTAGCAGTAACCTAAGTGGTATCTTATCGTGCACATCTTTTGCAACTTATTTCTTATTCAGTGTTTTTGCTGTTTATTCACATTGAAGTATATATAGCTTTGGTTCATTTTAAATGCCAAATAATACTGCACTCAGATGAAAGCACCGGTTATAGGTACCTACTTAAGGGTGGTTGGGTGGTTCCCACTCGTTACTAGAGTCAGTACTGTACAGACCTCTTTAAGTAGTCCTTGAGCTCGAGCGGGAGGTTCTTCAGGGTGAAGGAGTACGGTTGCTACATTGTAAGTTACGTGCATCTTCTGCTTCACTAAATGTTGCTAACATGCTTTCCCGTCTGCCTGTGCCACATGCTCTGTCCCCAGCAGAATGGGAGGGTTCCTGTTTCTCATCCTTGGCAACGGTTATTACCAGACCTAATTGTTGTCAGTTAGATTGTACGAAATTGTAGATTTTCATTTCCTTTCCTACTGATAATGAATTTCTTTTCATGTTTCTCCTGACAGTTGTTTTCTTTCTTTTAAGAATTTGCCTAGTTGTGATCTTTGCCCATACTTCTCTTGGATCACATTTTGTCTCTTAACTGTTTTGTGATTCCGTACATAGACCAGAAAGTGACTCTGGCCTTCTCCCAGTATATGCTGTCTTTCCATTATGTTTGTCTAGTCTTGTAGAAGCATCGAGTTTTCGTGTAAATGTATCTGTTTTGTTCCTGCTCTCTATGGCTGAGAATGTTTCCGTATTACCATCAAATTCCATTTTCTTCTTATTCTTTTATTTATTTGACAGAGGGGTCACAAGGAGGCAGAGAGGCAGGCGGCTGGGGGGGGAGGGGCGGGTAGGGAAGCAGGCTCCCTGCTGAGCAGAGAGCACGACTTGAGACTCAATCCCAGGACCCTGGGATCATGACCTGAGCCAAAGGCGGAGGCTTTAACCCACTTGAGCCACCCAGGCACCCCATAATTCTATTTTCTTCGAAAAGTCTTTGTTGCTTTTTGTATTTAGGTCTTTAATCCATCTGGCTATTTTTACGTGCTAGAGTAGGAATTGAATATTCCCTGTTCTCTTGTTGTGGCAACTGGTATTGAGTTACCCACCCTCCCTTCTCAACGTAATGTCTCTCTGACGTGTACCGCGCCCCTCCTCTCTAAACTTTGATCTTACTCCTGTGTCTGTGCATGTGGACCTTTTGTCTGTCTTAATACCAATACTACAGTCTTAATTACTACTTTCCTTTATATCTTGCTGTGTCTGGTGAGACAAATTTTCTTACTCTTCAAAGTTACCTTGAATCATTTTGGTTCTTTGTTCTTTGTGTCTCATTTGTTTAACCTATTTGTGTTTTTGTAGGCTTTTTTGTAATTCTTGTTTATAGAAGTTTCTAAACATGCTTCTTTTTGTTTCACGTTTTTGTTCTTTTAATTCTAACCCTGCTGTTTTTATTATCACATAAAATTTATTTTGATTTTTTTTTATTGCAATCTGATATTTAACGGTCTTAAAGTTTTTTTTGGAAGGGATCTCAAACTTACAGAAAAATTAAAAAAGTAAAAATTAATACAAAAAATACCTGTCCACCCCATTACTCAGATGTACCTTTTGTTAACTTTTATTCTATTTGCTTTATGGCTTTTTCTCTCCACACTTTTCTAAACCATTTGAAGTTAAGTTATATATATTGTGGCCATTTGTGACTAATCTCATGTTTTAACTGCTTTTGTTTTTTTTTTTTTCTTCACGAAAACTCCTTATGGCTTGGGTTGTGGTAACATCTATCCCTGCCAAGGAGCCACTGGGGTAAAACTGATTTGGAACAAGTTTTTGTCATATGTGGGAAGTAGAAATTTAAGGTGTAGGCCCATTATTACAAATTCTCTGAAAACCCGTTTCTTCAGAGTACTATTGTTTCCACTTTAAACCCAAGAAAAGACAAGCAAGCTTCTTTGCTATCTCTCTTTGCCACCAGAGTGTTTTCCATTTTGTTTTCTTCCTGGTCCACCTCTTGCTTGAGATACCTACTCTTTGAAGGGCCACTATTCATGTAGAGAGAGGTAGGCATGGGCATGAATTCCATCTCTGTTTCACATGGATCCAAGACCTTGCTTTCTGACCTTCTGTGGGTTTTTAAATCCAAGCCCCTTTGTTACCCAGAGCATGTGGTCTGCCAGCCTCCTGGCTGGAGTAGTTATGTATGATTTTCAGTTCCCTTTTTGTTGGTCATCAAGGGACTTGGTTTTCTTTTTTCTGAACTCATCTGTGCATTTTAAAGAATGTTTGTCTTAATGTGTTACCTCAAGTATTTGTTGCAGGAAGGTTCTACAGTTAAAATTGTCTCCAGATTGCCAAAATTGGATGTCAGAATATCACCAACCCTTTAAGCTGGAATTAGCTTTATAGAGACTGGTAATCTTGGGGGAAATATGGTCTAGCGTAATTGTTGAAATTTGAGGTAGCTGTTCACAGGAAACCCAATTTTAAGGTAACTAGTTTTAATACATACTGATTGGTTTTATTATTCAGAGATAAGTACTCCATACAGACATGCTAATCTTAAAAGATACTCAGTAACTCTGCCTAAGACAGTTGGCAGATGGAGAGCTATAAAATTACCCGTATTGCCTTGGAAGAATCCAACCAAGGGAAAGTTTATATAGCTGAAACATTTATCAGGTAGCTACCTTCCAGCTGTCTCTGAGGGAAGAAAAGAAAATCCCCTGTGCTCAGAACCTTTGCTAAGTTAGCTAATCTGATTGAGAAACAGGGGCTAGTGGCTGGTAGCTTGTAGCTACCTAGCTCCATTTACTTCCGTGGGAAAGAGTAAGGGGAACCAGAAGCCAGCCTATTTGATTAAAATCCTTCCTTGTGGAAGGAAGAATAGGAATATGGAAAAACATGTTCTTTCCCAACAACATAGATACATAGATAGGTAGATACATTTATGTATGTATGTGTGTGTGTGTATATACACACACACACACATATGTATAGTGTATGTATGTATGTGTATATACACACACATATACATATATATGTATAAATATTTAGTTTTATGGAAAGAAGCAGCAGGGAGTATCAGTGGCATACACGTTGGCTGTGACATGTGCTCTGGTATATCTACAGTGGCCTTGAATTGCAACGTTTAATTAGGAGAATAGTACAGTTAAGATTTATGAGCACACAGGTGCAAAAGCAAGCCAATTAAAATATGTGTTTTGTAAAAGCTATTAAATATGCAGCTGGAAGCTTCCTGCTATTTAAATGTTGGATCTACTTAAAAATAATATTAAAAAGCATTTTTAGGATAACTGGCAATTTTATCACATTTGTCAGCATTCAATTTTTAAAAATTTTTTTTGTAGATTACCAAGAGAAATACCAAGAGTTACTTGAAAGAGAAGACTTTTTTCCAGATTATGAAGAAAATGGGACAGATTTATCAGGGGCTGGTGATCCGTAAGTTCTTTTTAGCTATTAACTTTCTTTGTGGTCATTCTATGACCATAGTGTGTCGATGGAGTTTAGATTAGAAAAAGGCCAACAAAGAATGTGCATTTTGATTTGATGGTGTTACAGTAGTATGTATGTGTACTTGCTTGCCAAAAATTTTCAGGAAATTGTATTAGAAAACACAGACTATGATTCTGAAAATGTATATATATCTGGAGGGGGAAAACTAAAATAGTGGTATACTCAAGCTTAGTTTTATAAAAAAGATTCAGTTCAGCTTTAGTACTGTCAGATCTTAGGCAAACTATGCCTGTTCTTCCATCTGTAAAGTAGAAATAGTCGACCCCTCCTTGAGTTCTTTTCAGAACTAAGTGAAAATACATATATACTTAGAACCACCTCCTGGCAGACAGTAAAAGACTCAGCTCTTGGCTGTTAAAGGATGAATTAAGATTAAAGAGAACATGGGTCACCACATAATAGTGTTTGGATTGATGGAAAGGTGTGAGTTACGGTTCCATTCACATCTTTCAATCCCTACCCTACCTGCCATTCTTTGTAATAAAGGAAACTTTTGCTACTCCCTTACCATCAGATTGCATTACACCGAGTTATAGAAGAACCAAGAACTTATGAGGTTTAGCCCCCCAGCTTTAGCACTTTATGTGAATTTGGACCAGTTACTTAGGTTCTCTTTCTTCTAAGTGGAGGAGGGAATAAATTAAATCTGACTTAATTTTTCTTACATCTCATCTGTCATGTATGTTGTAGGTTGAAAAAGTGAACCACTTTTAGTCTGTCTCCCATCTAGGTACATTTATAAGTCTGTTTGAGATCTAATGTTACCATATATTTTTTTAAATTATAATTTAAAGATTTATTTATTGTCAGAGAGAGCGCATGCACAAGCAGGCAGTGTGGCAGGCAGAGGCAGAGAGAAGCAGGCTCCCTGCTGAGCAAGGAGACCCTTGCGGGACTCAATCTCAGGACCCTGGGATCATGACCTGAGCCAAAGGCAGAGGCTTAACCGACAGAGCCACCCAGGCATCTCGTAATGTTACCATATTTTTATATGTTAGTTTAATTAAAAAAATATATGGGGATGTAAGGACTCAAATCCAAGTAAGAAAAAGGTTCAGCCCTGTCGGGTATACCACTGGAAGTTCAAGCTGTTCTTGGCGTTGAATTTCAGGTTGTCCTCTGAAGTTCTGCTTGGTAAACATTACATGCTGTTGCCCCTGATACACTTGTGGCCATTTTAACACATGTACTGGAAATGGAGGAACAACGACAAAAAGATCCATCAGCATTTGATAGGATTGTCAAGATAGTTTTGTCATACATGTAGATGGAAAGGATTATTGTGGGGTGGGGAGACCCTATAGACATCTTGTTATTAGAGAGGAAAAGTGTAGAAAAGGGAAACGATGGGCCCCTGGGTGGCTCAGTCATTAGGCACCTGCCCTTAACTTGGGTCATGATGCCAGGGTCCTGGGATTGAGCCTTGGGCTCCCTGCTCCACGGAAAGCCTGCTTCTCTCTCTCCCACTCCCCCTGCTTGTGTTTCTTCTCTCGCTCTGTCTTTCCCTGTCAAATAAAGAAAATCTTTTAAAAAATAAAAGGTGGGGGGTAGGATTTGGAGTCAGATTGTGGCTGTGCCACATATTTAACCCAAATCTGAGAGTATTTACTTAACCTCCTTCCAGAGTCTTTTTTATCTCTAAAATGGGGATGATAGGAGCACCTGGCTAGTGCAGTCAGTAGAGCATGTGACTCTTGATCTCAGGGTTGTGAGTTCGAGCCCAATGTTGAGTGTAGAGATTACTACCTATCCTTTTAAGATGGCTATGGGTATTAAGAATACATATGTTTAATCCTTAATGGGTTCTTTAAAATTTCTACCCATATTTAACTGTGGAAAGCTTTGCTTTTCATCATTTTAGACTTCCTAATATTTGGGAAAATTCTGAGATAGATGATTTTGAAGTTAGCTTCTTGTTAAGGAAGTGATTCCAAATAGATGGAATGTGACTAAATTGTCATTTCAGGAATACATCTTCCTTCCTTCTTTCCTTCATTCCTTCCTTCCTGATTTGACAGCACAAGCAGGGGGAGTGACAGGCAGAGGGACGGGAGAAACAGACTCCACTGAGCAGACAGCCTGACATGGGGCCCAATCATTACCTGAGCTGAAGGCAGAAAATTAAGTGACTGAGCCACCCAGGCACACCTATCATTTCTGATATTAAGTAGATATAAAATAGGGCGCTTGGGTGGCTCAGTCCATTAAGCCTCTGCCTTGGGCTAAGGTCATGATCCCGGGGTCCTGGGATCGAGCCCTGCACTGGGGTCCTTGCTCAGCAGGGAGCATGCTTCTTCCTCTTTCTCTGCCTGTTGCTCTCCCTGCTTATGTTTTCTCTGTCAAATAAAGTCTTAAAAAAAATAAATAAAACTTTGCATTATTGGAGGTGAATGGCATATCTGAAATTATGTTCTAATTCTAGTGTGATTAAGGTGAACTTACGAACATACTATCAGTCTTGAGTCCCCAAATTTATATATTGAGACTTTGAATTCACTTTCAGATTAGGTTAAGAATTTAACATATGGGGGGAAGAAAAAAAGAATTTAACGTATGTTGGTTGCCTGACTGCTCAGTCAGAAGAGCATGGGACTCTTAATCTTGGGGTTGTGGGTTTGAGCCCCACATGGGGTATAGAGCTAAACCTAAATATTTTTTTTAACGTATGTCTAAAAGGATAACAGAAGCTTAATTTCAAACACAAGACACTGAGAATCCAGTGTAAAATATAACTCCTCAGATTAAGCGTTTGGTTGGAGGATTGACAGGTATATAATTCTGAAAAGTGCTTGCATTCTTTAACAGTCTAAGAAAGTTATGTCACCAGACTTTTTTGTGTGGCTTAGCATCTTTGATATTTCTGAATTGGAAAACATGAAACTTATGAGTCATCTTTACTTCTTTCATAGATACTTGGATGATATTGATGATGAGATGGACCCAGAGATAGAAGAAGCTTATGAAAAGTTTTGTTTGGAATCAGAGCGTAAGCGAAAGCAGTAAAGATAAATTTCAGCACATCAGTTTTATAAAGCAGTTTAGGTTATGGTGATTTAGCAGAACACAGGAAAATGTGTCACACTTATACCAAATTAAGGATGTTGAGTTATGTTACTAATGTATGCAACTTTAATTTTGTTTAACACTATCTGCCAAAATAAACTTTATTCCCTATAACTTAAAATGTGTATATATATATAATAGTTTATTATGTACAGTTAATTCCACTGTTTTGGCTGCAATAAAATCGATTTTGAAATAAATAAAATGTTGAAAGTAAATTTTGGTAGTTGGTTAGAAGCTTACCCTTTAAATTCTACTTTTCTTGAGGGGAAAAAGTCTTAGCCTGGAAATATATATTATTGCAAAATGTAGCATCCTTTTTTAGATGAGTATATAGCTTGCATTTAGTTTTATGTTGTCTCAATGAATTGGGTTTCAAATATGAATCACAGTCATGAAATCTTTAGCACTGAAGTCTTAGACTGTACCATTAACAACTGATTTACATATCCAGATGCTATTCAATACCAAGGGCTTTTAAAATATCATTAAAAAAAAAAAAAAAGACTTGAAACTCCCAACTAAACAACCAGGATTCTTCACTTCGGATTTATTGGAGTTGTTCTCTCCCTCCCTACCCTCACCCCTCAACTTCATTACCTTAAAGCGTGGAACATTATTCTGCTTTATTTATGGCTTTCATTTTTATTTTGTAGCATGAGTTGCATTGACTTTTTTACTAGAGAATTTTACTAGATCTTTGTCACTCAAGTTTTCACCTGCTTTATAATTGATACACCCTGAGGATCACTTTTCTAATACTTTTACTATAATGTAGTACCACCTTCGCCCTATTTAAAAATTATTTGTACCTAATGTCAAAGCCTTTTTCCAACTAACTAAAAGTAAAACTTATGTACAAAAGGATTGCTTGTAAATATGCATGTAAATAGTTCTGTTAATAACCCACTGTTTTACATTTGGTACATCTGTGTCTGCTAATACATTTAGTTTTCTCACTTTTCTGCTTGTTCAGTCTGGATTAAAATTAGACTTTGAAAATAAAATTTAAATAGTTTTGTTTTCCTCTAAGCTTTTGGAGTGGTATCCTGGTATTTTAAAGAATTTCTGTTGAACTTTGATGTGAGAAAGTTAAGTGTTTTGAAATCAAACTATGCTAGGATAGATGATGTCCTATTCAGTGTGTGTTGAGTAAGTATTCCGTTATGAGTCTACTTGGAAAAATTAACAAATATAAAACAACCTTCAGATTCCTTATTGTAAAAGGGAATGATATATATGATTGGAAGTTTTGGAACTTGTAATAGGATTCTTTTTTTTTTTTTTTTTTTTAATGGCTCCTGTAATATGGTGGATAATTACCTTCATCTGAGGTTCTCCAAAGACTGTGCTCATTGTAAATCTTGGGAGTGAAAGGGAAGAGGTCTAGGGAAGGGGCAGTACATTAGACCAGGGGCCAAGTATATGATAACAATGTGCTTTAAACTTCTCACGGTTGCTTTGTGAATAACCATCCAGCTTAGTCTGCTAGCTCCTTGTCACCAGTCACTGCTGTACTCAGCAGCTACCAGCAGGATCATCATGTGTTCCGGTTACTAGTGCTGTTTAAATAACCGCCCAAATTTAGTGTTTTCAAACAATAAGCGTTTTATTATGCTCTTGGGTTCTGTGGTTCAGGTATTTGGACAGGGCATGGCTTTTTCTATTGTGCAATGTTTGATGCCTCAGCTGGGGAAACTGGAGGTGGTCAAATGACCGGGAGCTATAATCATCTGGGGGCTTCTTCACTCGCATAGCTGGCGGGGCCGAGATGACTGGAAGCTATCACTTGGCCAGACCCACCTACACATGTCCTGTCCACGTGACCTGGACTTTTCACAAACATGGCAGCTGGATTTTGAGAGGGGGTGTTGTAGAAGACTCAGGAAGAAGCTGCATTTGGAAGCTGCATACAGCATTAACTTCCATTATAGTCTTAGTTCTGAGTCACTGAAGCCATATCAGATAAGAGGCCACCAAGAAATGTGTGGATATGTTTTAAAACTGCAACGGTATATCCTGAAAGGAAGAGCTAGGCCTCTGTTGCGTTTGTTGGCCGTATCTTCAACAGAAACATGTGTCCTCAATCTCTTGTAAAGATTACTAGTACAGTCTCCAGTGAGCAAGGACACACAGATGTTAGTGCAGGTCATAGGCTTGTGTTCTGGTAAAGTACAAATATTTGTTTGTACAAAATCTTGCACTTGTGTCATTAACTCAACCTTCTGTCTTTATGTTGTCTGTGCCCTTCCAGCCAAAGACTACCAGGAACATACATGTACCTGAGCAGGGTGGGCTTAGTACTTTTGCACTAAAGCAGAATAGGCACATGGGGAACTGTGGGCTTGTAATAGGACTTGGGCTTTGGTTAGATAATTTGGGAGAGGGTCTAAGAAACTGGAGGCTCATGTGTCCAGGCTGACCTAGTCCAACAGTGCATGGACCCAACTCTGTTGCTTCACCCAGGCAGCTGGAGGTTGTTTCTGGTAGATTTGTACCAGTGTAAATTCATAATTGCCACCTAAGCTACCAGCACTGCCAATAATGCTACTGTGTTTATTACCTTGCTTACTTCAAACCCTCCACTCTGTTCCTCGTGATTCACGGAAGAAATCGGCAAATGTACACAAATGCATCTGCATTCATTTTATCCCTCCTCTTGTACAGGAAGTATCCCTCCTGTTCAGGGCCAGCTACTCCACTCGTTCTCGAATCCCATGCCCTCTCACGTTCTCATGAACTCTGCTGTTACTTGGTCTGTACTTTTTCAAATCCCTCTATTGGCCCTTTGCTTGAGCTGTTGAACATGTCATTCCTCTCATCAGGAGAAGTCTGGCCCTCACATTTCTCTGCAGTTCTGCTTCCTAGCCACAGATTGTTTAAATGTCCCATATTCGTTTTCCATTTCCTTCCTATTTTGCTCTTCAGACCTATAGCTTCTGCCCCTATATACAACAGCCCATGGTAGAGCTGCCAAGGACATTTATGCCACAAAATCCAGTAGATACCTGACTCTAGCTTGTTCTCTAGGCAATATCTGATACTATCAAGGGGCACCAAAATTGAAAACCTCTAGGCATCTGGAATAGAATAGCCTTTTTTCTGGCTGTTCCTCAGTTTTTGTGGGATTCTCTTCTCTTAACTAATGTGTAAGTATTGGTGTTCCTCAAAGCTCAGTCAACATTTTCTTACGTCACCTATATCCTTGGACTATTTAATCCTCTCCTAAAGCTTCAGTTAGCAGCTATCAGTGTTGATTTCCAGATTTGTTTCTAATCTGTTTCTAGACCTTTGTTAATATATTTGAACTAAGAAGACTTCTAAAATTGAAGCACTGCTGGGGTGTCTGAGTGGCTCAGTCAGTTGAGTGCCTGCTTTTGGCTCAGGTCATGATCCCAGGATCCTGGGATTGATCCCTGCATCAGGCTCCCTGCTTGGCAGAAGCCTGCTTTTTCCTCTTCCCTTCACTCTGCTTGTGTTCCCTCTCTCTCGGTGTCTCTCTCCACCAAATAAATAAAATCTTCAAATAAACTAAAGTCCTGCTATTCCCTAAATTTTCTTGTGTCTGTCTGATTGATGGCACTGCCCTCTATCCACTCACTCCAACCAGAACTCATGGAACTGTTTTTAACTACTGTTCAGTTATCTCCAAGACTATTGAATTTGATCTAAATATTTCTTGGAGCTGTGCTCTCCATCCTCACTGTCTAATCTTCAGTCTGAAATGCCATCTTTCCCATTGTGTTTTCAAAAGACTACTGGGCTCCCCACATCTCTTTGCATCATACAATCCGTTCTTCACTCAGACATTCCAGGGATCTTCTAAAGTACAGATAGCGTCACAAAACCCCTTAGTAGTAGACAGTTAACAAATAGAAGATTCTTAGTCATTAGAGAAGAAAAAGGGGAACAGGACAGGACCTAAGTCAACGCGTGTAATACAAATTGATGTTACTGATCAATGAAAACAGGGCATCTACGGGTGGCTTTATTAACTTTTACATAAGATTGAGGCCAATTTGCTTCTCAGACTTTCAAAAACAGAGATGAATTTAAGGAGTTAGATTTCTTCTCATTCCTTGGTGCTGCTACCTTTGCTTAAAAAGTCCTTGATTGTCAACAACAGCCAAATTATGGAGAGAGCCCCAATGTCCACTGACTGATGAATGGATAAAGAAGATGTAGTATGTATATACAATGCAATGCTACTCAGCCATCAAAAAAATAAAAACAAAAAATAAAAAAATCTTGCCATTTGCAACAGTGTGGATGGAGCTAGAGTATATTATGCTAAGTGAAATAAGGCAGTCAGGGAAAGAAATTACCACATGCTCTCACTCGTGGAATTTAAGACATAAAGCAGATGAACATATGGGAAGTGGGAATAGAAAAAAAGGAGAGAGGGAAACAAGCCCCAAGATAGTTTTAAGGATAGAGAACAAATTGAGGGTTGATGGAGGGAGGTGGGTACTAAAGAGGGCAACTGTGGTGAGTGTTGGGTGTTGTATATAAGTGGTGAATCACTTAATTCTACTCCAGAACCAATATATGTTAACTAAGTAAAAATTTTCTAAAAAGCCCTTTAATAGTTTGCCATCACTTTTTAAGACAAAGCCCATAATTCATAAATCCATAATCTGGCCCTTGCCTATCTCTGAGTCCCCATTCAGGCTTCTCTTTCCTAAAAGTCTCTCCCTCCTCTTTAACCATTCTTAAATCAAACTAGCCTTTTGAGGGGGCAAGATCTTTCCTTTGGGCCTCAGGGTCTTAACACAGGCTGTTACCACTGCTTGAAACACTTTCCCCATTGTACTTGGCTAACACCTACCTGCCCTTTGGATTTCAGTGGAAGTACTTCCTCAGCCTCAGGTCTGTGCACTACACGGTCTCACAGACCTCTGTATTTTAGTTTAGGAACATTTAGCCACTACTGTGATCAAATTAGTGTCTACTCCTTTCATTCCAGTTAATCTCCAACTCCCACCCCTCGACCCTAGATCGCATTTCCTGCTTTATACCCAAGATGCCCAGCACATAGTAGGTTCCCCGTAAACATCTGATGATAATAAATTTAGCAGACACGCTGCTTGCTATTTTAGAAAAGAAGTGCAGAGACAGACTTGGTACCAAATTAGGAAGAGGACTCTTACCTTTGGTCAAGTTTCTGTTTGGCTGTTTTTTTAACAGCTTGTTTGGATTATTTAATAAGCATTACTCCACTAAAATCCACTCCTGTAGTTAGCACTTGGCCGAACTGCGCTACGGGACGAATCACAACCTGGGGGGGACCGGTCCCAACTCGATACGGGAAGTAAAAATCAACACGGAAGCAACCACACTCAGGACTGGGAAAGCCCGCCTCCCTTACTTCCGGTCCCGCCTTTCGCTAGGAGCGCGACGGGGACTGGCCGCCGGAGCGGAGGGCGCGGACGGGGCGGGACTTCCTGTCTTTTTCCGGAGAGGAAGGACGCTTCCCCAGGTTGCGGGAAGATTTGAACTGCTGTTGCTTTCCTGTGTTTTGTTTTGTTTTTTGTTTTTTACGGGTTCATAGTTGGCGCTGCCGCTTCTCTCCCGCTACCCAAACAGGACGGACGTCTCGGCCAAAACACTCTCTCTGTGGCCTTATTCCCTTGCGACCGTGATTGTTTTCTCTCATCAAGAAACATCACTTGTTGGTAATTTGTCAAATTCAAGAAATAACCCTCGAGAAACAGTCTTGGGCAGGCTTCAAGCATTTTGGCAAATTAAAGGGGCCTTTGGCCTCATTTCCACGACTTTTCATCTCAGAACTGCCGTGTGAGTCCAAGACGTTGGTTGTTTTGGTGAGGCCTTTTCACTAAGTAAGTATTGCCATTTGGAAGAATGAGCGCCATTGATAACAAGTACAGACTTGTGGCTTTTTTGATCGTTAAACACTGACGTAATGTACCGGGTGGTGAAAAACAAACAGGAATAAGATGGTAGAGATGAGGCTGAGATGTGGGATGGAGCTGGATTATGTTTTCTTATAATATGCCGGGAACTTTAGATTTTCCGCTGTTTCTTGTGTCTGCTTGTTATTTAAAATAAATAACAATTATATCTCAGTAACTTTTTTTTTTTTTTATTTCTTTGACAGAGAGAGAGAGATCACAAGTAGGCAGAGGCAGGCAGAGAGAGGGGGAAGCAAGCTCCCTGCTGAGCAGAGAGCCCGATGCGGGGCTCGATCCCAGGACCCTGAGATCATGACCTGAGCCGAAGGCAGAGGCTTAACCCACTGAGCCACCCAGGCGCCCCACCTTTTTTTTTTTTTTTTAATTAAAAACTTGGCCAAACATAGAGACCTTTTCCCAGTTGGCAATCAGAAAATACAGATTTTCCAGCCTGTTTGTTTTTTTTTCTGAAATAGCAAGTGGATATCTGAATTTATATGTATATGTATGTGTATGCATTTATTGCTATGTATAAATACATTTATTGCTATGAATATTTATTGCCTGTGAAAAGAACAAGCACCTGAACAAGTGATGTGAACTTGGTATGGTCTGGATTGTGGAAAGTTACCTGTAACAGCAGTACTGGAAATGGAGAGGGAAAAAACTGAAGAAGGTGCAAGATAGCTGCAGAAATGGGGGGGAGGGTTGACGGACTGAAATGGAAAAGGAGCCAGGTTCATAAAAGAAACCTGCCAAATCAGCAAGCTATGTTATAGGGGTGTGGAGAAAAATAGTGAAAAGTCAAATATTGCTAGCATTGAGATGCCATTAACTCAAATTGCAAATTTGGAGGAGGAGGAATTTTGAAATTCACTTACTTATTCTTTCATCATTAAATAAATATTTATTGCACCCTTATTATTTGCTAAGTGTTGTTTTAAATGCCAGCGATAATACTGTGAATAAGACAGATGAGGTCTCTGGTCTGATTTGAGTTTATATCCTAGTGGAAAAAGACAAAAAGCGGAGAAATTAATAGAATCAGTTTTGATAGTGATAGATGGTATGAGTAAAAAAGATGAAATGAATTAAAACGGGACTGGGAGGGATGCCTGGGTGGCTCAGTCTATTAAGCTTCTGCCTTTGGCTCATGATCCCAGGGTTCTTGAGTCCTGCATCCCACTCCCTGCACCGAGGGCAACCTGCTTCTCCCTCTGCCTGCTGCTCTCCCTGCTTGAGCCGACTCTCCCTATCTTTCTCTCTGACATATAAATAAAATCTTTAAAAGAAAAAAAGTGATTGGGAGATGGTTGGAAACAACTTTAATTGAGATGAACAAGTCAGGCCTTTGAGGAAGTGATATTTAAGCTTAAAAGCAAAGATCCAGCCATGTGATAAGCCAGGGAAAGGATGTATTAGGCAGTAAGAACAGTGCAAAGGTTCTGAGATAGGAAACAGCTTGTTTTGAAAACATTAAAAAGTTCAGTGTAGCTAAAGTCCTGAACAAGGAGAAGACAGTAGGAGATGACATTTGGAGAGGAAGATGAAGCCAGATTATGTGGCTGTTATAGGTCACAGTTTGGAATTTTATTTAAGTGCAAAATGGTAGATTGTGAGCCAGGATGTGCTAGATCTTATTTTAATTTTAAAAGATCCCTCTGGCTACTGTATGTGGACTGGACTTGAGGGAGTTAATAGTGAAAGTGAAATTAGGAAACACTATAGAAGTCTGCTTTGGTGGGAGTGATGATGTTCCATTTTAGTCATATTGATTAAGTTTGGTTTCCTCTGGCACAAGGACATGGAGAGAGGTCTAGCAGACAGCTTGAAGTTCTGGGGAGAGGTCAGGTGGATTTGGAAGTTTTCTAGAGAGGGGAAATTAATAAAATTGTATAAATGTCCTCAGGAGAAACCATATGCTTTAATGTGTACTTCTAATCTAACATATTTTACAAAAGATTATAGTCATATGCACCTGATTACATACATTGAAAGGGGGTAAGATTTTTTTTTTAAAAGCAAGAGTGGGCATAAAAGCAACACGAGTGGTTATAGTAAGAAGAGACGAAATGGGACTAAGGTCCTAAATCCTTGATTTAAGAGAATGGTGAAAGGAAATGATTACACTAAAAACAGAGGTAGGGGTCCCTGGCTGGCTTAGTTGGTAGAGCGTGACTCCTAATCTCAGGATCATGAGTTCAAGCCCCACGTTGGGTGGAGTCTACTTAAAATTAAAAAAAATTAAACTAAAAACAGAGGTAGATGTAGTGGGAGAAACCATGGCACTCCCTCCTTTTTTAAAAAAATTAAAAGGCAGAGGAAAAGAGAATTTGGTGCAGGGGAAGGTAGAAAACATTGTCACAGAGTGATCAATTTAGTAGGATGAAGACTGAAGTTACTGGATGTAGGAAGACTTTGGTGACCATAATGAAAAATTTCAGTAGAAAGGTGGAGGAAAGCTGGATTACAATGTATTGAAGACAAATGGGAGAGAAAGTAGACAATGAGTGGATATCATACTCAAGTTTTTTGGTAGGCAAAAAGAGCATACTGGGGGAAGTTACTTTTTTCTGTCAGGTGAAAGTTGATCACCTGAGTAATAGGAGATAATGTCCTAGAAGAAGATAGATTAGTGTTTAGAAAGGAAAGTCTTAAAAAGGATGATGTCCTAAGGGCACCTGGGTGGCTCAGCTGGGAGAGCTTCCAACTCTTGGTTTCAGGTCAGGTGGTGATCTAAGGGTCCTGAGATGGAGCCCAGCGTTGGGCTCCACGAGCAGTGGGGAGTCTGCTTAAAGATTTTCTCCCTCTGCCTTCCCCACCCTCCCTCTTTTCCTCTCTCTCTCTCTCTCTCTCTCTCTCTTTCTCTCTCTGATAAATGAATACATTTTAAAACAAAAAAGGATGGTGTTCTAAAGGGAGATGGATAAGTGTCAGAGAAGGTGGCGATGGTGTTAGAAAGGAATCTTAAGATTTAATGAGCTGCAGGATGCCTGGGTGGCTCATGGGATGCCTGGGTGGTTCAGACAGTTAAGAATCTGCCATTGACTCAGGTTATGATCCCTGCATGCTGAGGTCGGGTCCTCATTGGGCTCCTTGTTTGGCAGGGAGCCTGCTTCTCCCTCTGCCTGCCACTCCCCCTGCTTGTGCTCTCTCTCTCTCTCTGACAAACAGACAAACAAATGAATAAAAATCTTAAAAAAAAAAAAAAAGATTTATTGGGCTTCTACAAAGCAACATTGCAATTCTGGTACTGGGATATGTGTTGTCTGGTTTTATCCTTGCAACAGTCTTGTTTCTGTGCTCCATTTTACAAATAAGGAAGCAAACAGCCTGAAGCTTTAGCTAGTAAATGTGGGAGTGTGAATGGAATCCAACCTCTAATTCCCTTTCGGTCAAACCTATATGGAAAACACAGGTGATAACAGTCATTTTAGAGATAGGGAAGAGAAAATTGAATTCATTGAAATAAAAGTAAGTCTAAGACACTAGAAGGTTAATTAGCTTGCTCAGTAGTGACATGGAACTACATTAATTTCAGACTAGGACAAAAATCCAGGAACACTTTTTCAGTGTTCTTTTTTCTTAGGCCTAATAGTTACTTTTGGCCTGCCTTTTGCATGTATTACAAAGGATTTGCTATATTCTTATTGCAAAGAGGGAATTTGCTTCTATATGAAATGACTTACTGAGCATATGATTTACAAAAGTTAAACCTCAGGAGAACTAAAGCTATTAAAAGTATAAAGGCAGTTATAACTTGGTGGGCTTTTTTCTCCTTCTAGTTTATCTTCCCACATTGGAGTAAAGACCTAGGGGTTAATCAAGGCATTCTGTTCAGGTTGTTAATTTCAGATCATTTAGAAGTATGTAGTAAAATAATCACTTCTTAAAATTTTATTTTAGAGAGAAAGAGAGTTGGGGGGTAGGAGCAGAGGGGGAGGAAATGGAGGGGGGGCAAGAATCTCAAGCTGACTCTGGGCTGAGTGCAGAGCCCAATGTGGGGCGCGATCTCACACACGACCCAAGCCAAAACCAAGAGTCAGACTTCTAACCAACTGAGCCACCTGGGTGCCCCAATAATCACTTTTCCCCCAACAAAAATAAACGCAAGGGAAATGCATTTTGCTTATGTTCTTGGAAAATGCATCCAATTTTTTATGATAGAACTTTTGTACCTTAAAAGAACTATTTGTGCTACCCTATTTCCTATTTCTTTCAGTCTTCACCTTGGAAGGACATTTTATCCCTAGTCCTAGTAATGGCAGCTGAAGTGCAGATGGTACTTTATGAAGATGATTCAGTGCAAGTGCAATATGTTGATGGTTCCAGACTGCAGCTTTCTCCGTGTGGCTCCGAATTTTTATTTGAAAAGCCACCTCCTATTTCAGCACATCCTTTAGAACAACCAGAAAGAATTCGGCAAAGGACACACTTTGTTATTAGCACTTACCGAGTGAGTAAAGATGACACAAAAATGGCTCTTTCTGATATCAGAATATTGTTAAGGTGGTCGGAATATGGAAAGTAGTTAGTATTCCAGATTACAGTCACTCTAAATTGATGTTCAAGTTATTTTACATTTTTGAAGATTACGTTTTGTATTTCTTTTTGTAGGAGCAACTACAGCGAGCCCTAGATTTTCGAAATTCTTTTGCTGTTTGCCCTTTTTTATCTGAAAGCATCATACCTTCTGAAAGAAAAAAGGTAATTTTTTAAAGCTTTTTTAATAAGTAATATTTGAGGGCAAGCAAATGGAAACAGGTAGTTGCATATTTAATCTTTTTCTTCATGAGACTTGGGAATACACACCTTGCTATAAAATGCATAGGTTTTTATTTTTCACCAGACTAGGATGTTCAGGTATGTTAAATACTGATTGAGACTCTGAAGGTACATAGTTCATCTTCCTGCCTTTTTCTTTGTAGCCAAAGATTCTACTCAGAACTTTTTTTATTGATGACTTTTTGATTCTCAGAGGTATTCAAAAGTAAGAAATTATGTGGCCATTTTTAATAGTTTTATGTGCAGTTCATGTGCAGTAGAGATGTATAATTTATAGGTATACACACTTTATTTTTTTGCTTGTATTCTATTTTGAACTTTTATGAATAATAATATAGTTATCATTTATTGAGGATTTACTATGTTCCAAGAACTAGGAATGATATTTAAAATATTTAATAAGATCAGTCAGTATGGCATGGGTTCCTAATCAGCAAAATGGATGTCCAGCCAGTCAGAATAGGTATATTCAGCCCCTTTTTTACAGGTGAGGGAATTAAATCTCAGAGAGTTTACCTAATCTTGTTCATGGACATTTTCTAAAAGGCAGTCAGGATTTGAACCCAGTGTATCTGACTCTGAAGACTGTCTTTTAATCACTTTCCACTGTTGTCATGATGGCAAAGGAGTCGAGAAAAATTGTAAGGTGTAACTTAGCCTATAAGTTAGTACTACTAACTTTTGAGTAACTTTTTTCATTGAAACTGTATAGTTTGCTGTAGTAGGATTATTAGGTAATCTAATTCTAGAAGAGAGAATTTTTTTTTAAAGATTTTATTTATTTATTTGACAGAGGTCACAAGTAGGCAGGGAGGCAGGCAGAGAGAGAGGGGGAAGCAGGCTCCCCGCTGAGCAGAGAGCCCGATGCGGGGCTCGATCCCAGGACCCTGGGATCATGACCTGAGCCGAAGGCAGAGGCTTAACCCACTGAGCCACCCAGGCGCCCCGAGAGAATTTTTTTTTTAAGATTCATTCATTTATATGAGAGAGAGAGACAGAGCGTTGAGTGAGGGGAGGGGCAGAGGGAAAGGGAGAAACTGACTGACTCCCTGCCGAGCAGGAAGCCTGATGTGGGGCTCAATGTGGGGCTCAATCCCAGGACCCTCAGACTATGACCTGAGCTGAACGCAGACACTTAATCAACTGAGCCACCCAGACTCCCTGAAGAGAGAACTTTCATTTATTTATTTTTTTCAAGATTTATTTTTTATTGTTTATTTATTTGACAGAGAGAGAGAGATGACAATTAGGCAGAGAGGCAGACAGAGAGAAAGGGGGAAGCAGGCTCCCTGCTGAGCAGAGAGCCCGATGCAGGGCTCGATCCCAGAATCCTGAGACCATGACCGGGGCCGAAAGCAGAGGCTCAACCCACTGAGCCACCCAGGCGCCCTGAAGGGTGAACTTTCTGAACTGACCATCCTTACAGCCCAGCTTTGCCATCAGTGAACACTGTACTAGCATCTGTACACATAAATAGCATATAAGTTTAAGAGGCTTTCTTGACACTAGTTTTTGTGAATTTAAGGTTTTATATAAATGGAAGCTGAAATGTTTAACTGTTGCCAAGATTAATTGATTAAAAGACTGTTACATGACACCTACTGTTTTTATCTTATATGAAGAGATGCTGTAGGCACTGGCACCAGTTACAAGTCTGTTTGCTATTGGTCAGGATCAGTTTACCTTTGAGTAATTCAGGGTTTTTTTGTTCTTAGATTTATTTATTTATTTGAGAGGGAGAGATGCAAATGGGGGAGGGGCAGAGGGTGAGAACCCCCAAGCAGACTCTGCACTGAGTGCACAGAACTCGATCTCATGACACATGAGATCATGGCCTGAGCCAAACCCAAGAACCCAATGCTCAACTGACTGAGCCACCCAGGCGCCACTAGTAAGTCAATTTAAAAAAAAAAAAACATTGCTCTTTAAACTACCTGGAATTTATTTTAAGGTATGGTATGCCAGGTGCTACTTAGGATAGATACTTTATACATGTTATCTTAGTCTATTTGATAGCCCTTTGAGATAGCTTTTCCCACATGCTATTCAGTAATTCCAGTACAATTGATTAAGTCATTCTCCCCTTCTCTCCTTGTTTTGGAAAAGTTTATGTTGTCACATGTAACATCAAGATATGCTTGATTCTGTTTCCTTATTATCTGAGTTGATCTGTCAATGATTTTTATACTAGTTCTACACCATTTAAGTTGTGATTGCTTTTAATGTAGTACATTGTGTTGTTTGTACATTGCAGTGCTGGTCTTCCCTCATTAATATTCTTTTTCAGGGTAGACTTTTGGGAAGGGCTGAAAATCTATCTCTGATCCATTGTATTTTTTTTTTTTTTTGGTGAGTTTATTGATCATCATACATTTCAAACAAAAATATGTCTAACACTAAATATAATCAAGATCATCTTTTTCTTTTTCTTCTCTTTCATTTTTTATATGTATGTGTGTGTTTATTTTACATCTCTCTAAGCGAGATAATCTTAACAATATCAAATATTCTGTGGAAAAATGCATATAGACCAACATGTGGCTCTCCGTTTTTCATTCTCTCTAGGTAGTAAAACACAAACCCAACTTCAAGAGATTTCTTCCCCAATATGTAAGCATCACATGTATGGAAACATTGGACTGTTGACAAAATACTCCCCATCTCTCTTTCTCCCCTCCACTCAGCTTATCTTCGTTGACTTCTCAGAAGTGAGATGGCCCAGTCCTGACACCGATGATGGCATGATACTAACACAGAGCGGCAGCGTGAAGATAGCATCATTGGATGGACACGCATACCTTTGCCTGCCCAGATCGCAGCATGAATTTACAGTACATTTTTTGTGTAAAGTAAGCCAGAAGCCAGACTCGTCTATAGTATTGTCAGAAAAGAAGAATCAAGCCAGAAAGGACAAGCTAGTTGAAAAATCAGGCAAAATCTGTACCTATGGAAGTTTACCAAGACAGAGACTGAAGAATAAAGAGAATGAACTTTATTGTCCACTCACGAAATCCAAGGAAACTTTAGAGAAGGAGAGCTGTACAGACGGAGCTGAAGGGAAGGAGGAGCCACCTCCGCCTGGTACCCGACACACGTGTGTATACACGTGGGTGAAGCAGCGCTGGCCTGTGGCCTCCTGTCCAGAGGAATGGAAATATCCTTTGTCTTTAGCATTTCATTTTCATAATAAAATCAGCAGTATGTCGAGAAGCGAGGCAGACACCACCCAGAGTAGAACATTCACTTCTGAGATTTCAGAGGAAAGAGGAAAAGAGGTTTCTGTTCTTCCCAGGGCCCTGCTACTCAGCTGTCCTGTCCCCCACCTGCACAGGTAATGGGAGAATGGCTCCTTTGTCATCAAGCTCTTGTCAGAGCCTGTCCTTAACTAAAGATAATTTTTCTTTCTCAGTCATCTGCTGCCATTCATAAGGGAAGTTCATTCAGTGGTCCAAAACTTTGCTCATAACCGATAGTAAATCATTTCCCTAGCCCATATGTTTTGTAGGTCCCTTACTGTCTGCCCATGCGTTGAGTTTGTGCAAGGCTGACTGTACACTGCATCCTCTGTGACGCACAGAGACTGTGGAGATGACCAGGACACAGTCCCTGCTTCTCCGGGAGCTTAGACTCTGTGAAGGTCACCGTCACTGAAAAGATGATGAAAGTGTGTTGATGGCACAGGGCTTTGGTGGTGAGCACAGAGGAACATCAGCTGCCGCTCCGTGGAGCCCATCACATGGGGGGCTGGAGCCTGGAGCTGACGGTTTGTGATTCTGGGTTCGTTCTTTCATGCCTAGTCTCAGAGGCCACGCCTGTCTTTGGTGAGCTAACTATAAATCAATTCATTGAACATTTTTTTTTAAAGATTTTTATTTATTTGACAGACAGATAGGCAGAGAGAGAGAGGAGGAGGAGGCAGGCTCCCTGCTGAGCAGAGAGCCCGATGCGAGGCTTGATCCCAGGACCCTGGGATCATGACCTGAGCCGAAGGCAGAGGCTTTAACCACTGAGCCACCCAGGCGCCCCCATTGAACATTTTTGAAAAAAGCAGTGAACATTCTGTCGACTAAGAGGTCAATATCCTCTCTAAGGAGTGCAGTAGTGATGGTAATAGCTGACGCGAGGTGCCTATGTGCCAGGCACCCCGGCAGTGCACCTGTTGGGTTAGCATAGGAATTGCATGAGGTGAGTACTATTATCACCCCATTTTATAGAGGAACTTGAGACACAGGAAGGTTAAGTAACCCGAGCAGAGTCACATAGCTAGTGTGTGCAGAATTGGGCTTTGATCCAGATAGTCTCTTAGGATATATTTGTTATTTAAAGCAAAACAGGGGAGTGATTTTCAGGCTTGTCATGATTATCTAGTTAAAATTGGAAGTTCTAGTATTTTAAGTACACACTGAAAGAGATTTAGGCTTCTGAATGAACAGTTTTCAATAACTTGCCACTAACCTCAGATTAAAGTCCATTTTCTTTAAACCTGTCTAAACAGGCCTTCCATTTTCTTTATTTATTTATTTATTTATTTATTTATTTTTTTAAAGATTTTATTTATTTATTTGACAGGGAGATCACAAGCAGGCAGAGAGGCAGGCAGAGAGAGAGGAGGAAGCAGGCTCCCCGCCGAGCAGAGAGCCCGATGCGGGGCTCGATCCCAGGACTCCGAGATCATGACCTGAGCCGAAGGCAGCAGCTTAACCCACTGAGCCACCCAGGCGCCCCGGCCTTCCATTTTCTGATCTCTTCCTACATCTGTAATCCTCACCACTTCCCTTGCTCTTTCTACTCTTGCTCAACTGGCCTTTTTAGAATTTCTAGAATGCCTGTCCAAGCTTTGTTTCACCGCTGCATCTGCTCTTTTCTCAGCCAGGAACACTGCTTTCTCTTTCCCAGCTCGCTAACTTGTGCACATTTGCAGGTCTCAGTGGAAGCCTTTCTTCCTTCGGGTTGTTGTCCTAAAGTCCCCAGACAGGATTAGGTTCTTCTACAATCCCATAGCATCCAGTAACTTTCCTTTCTTTGTGTTCTGTGTCTACTGTTTAACATCCCTACTTGATAGGCATCTTCACTGAGGGCAGTGACTGTGTCTGCTTTTTTGGGTGTTATATCCCTAGTGTGAATGACATAGATAATGCAGTAAATATATGTCATTTGAATCCTAAATTTTAAAGGTTAGTAAAACTGTTAATTTATAAAATTGTGCTGAGATTGAATAGGGAGATTGTTAAAAATACTGAAGACAATACATGGAAACATAACAAAAGTTTTCGATTTCCTTCCTACGCTTTTATATTAATTTTTACTTTTCTTTGATCTAACAAGTTAAGCAAGAAATACATCTTGTTACAGTAGCACTATTTTGTTGACTTCTAAAGGTAATTATGTTGAGTGACCAGAATTGCAAGCTTGTATTTTGCCCTTCACAGGTGGAATTTTTGTGACTCACTTTCAGAAAGACAGATGAATGAAGAATATTCCTATCCCGAGCTGGTGAAAGTGGTTTGGTACAAAGGTGTAACTTACCGGTAAGGCACCTGTGTTGGAGTGGGAGCTCTTTAGCGATGTCAGAGGGGAGGGAGGCAGACAGACTCCCGCAAAAGGACACTTAGGCGGGGGCCATCTTTCTTCTGTTTGGTCCTAAATTTTATAGGTCTCAAAACGTCGTTTTATGAGTGCACATAGGGGTCCTGTGACTGATTCACATTAACCATATTCACAGGATTTTTGTGACAACTTCAGAGCCAGAGAGGATTAGTTTTGCTGGTGAATGGAATACTCATGTCAGTTAGGATACCACTTCCCAACATTAGGGGATCTAGTTGTCTGAATTAGTCACATCAAAATATTGCCTGTTGAGTGTGGAATTAGAGAAGATTAGAGGCTCCTCTGTGTCTGCATTATTCCACTGAATTATTCCTACCACACCACAAAGTATACCTCTCTGGTGACTAGAATGCTAATATTGGCTAGATTCAGGATTTCACTACTATAAATAATGCTAGAAGAGCCCTGCACAATTTTGTTCTTTGGGCCCTCCTTTTTTAGATGAAAGCCCACTCCCTCCTGACAACATATTCTTCATATATTTTTTTAAAATGGACTTGGCTGAAGTTTTTACATGTTATATACCCAATACCTTAAGTGTAGTTGGCTGCCTCAGATGTGATCAGTCACCTTCTCTTAGAGGTGGCGCCTTTCACACATGGCTAATGTCATTCATCAGGTACTGATTCTGCTAGTTTTATTATTGAAGAGTAATCCTATTTTCAGGATCTGAAGTTGTCATATTTAACTTCTTTGCAGTGGGCATTTCTTTGGTAATCAGTATATGCTGGCTACAGTGATTGGCAGTGGGGATACCAGGATGATAAGATGCCTGACTTCCAAAAACTAGACTCAGTTGTTGAAATAGGTATATTAATCAGTTCTATGTGTTCTATTTATCGTTTGCAAAAAAATTAATTTAGCTGGTTGGGTGCAGAGTATGAAATTATCCCTTTTGCTGGATAGGCAAAATCCCATACTACTCTGTTTATTTGTTTGTTTGCTCTCATTTATGTTTTAATCTCAATTGGGAAAAAATTTAATGATTATTTTTCTTCCTTAGACTAAACCATAAAAATGTGAACTCAATAGAGATTTATCCTGGAGATGGATCTGTTTTCAAGTCAGAGGGAGCTTATTTTGGGAGGTATTTTACATATTATTCCATTCAAGAAGGATCAGAAGAGGTAAGCTGACAATTAGGTCTCAGCTCAAGAATTTGTATATAGCTGTTTCTAAATAATTTTGAATATATGTAGGAAATCTGATCTTTACATAACATTGCTTGCCTACACAGTCTGGAGAATTCATATAACCTTTTGCCAACATTATCACAATGATTACTAACCACCTTATTTTTACTGCATTCTTATCCTCTATTCTGCCAGTCATTTGCCTAAGTAATTCGTGTTAATTTTTTTAAAGATTTTCTTCTTAAGTAAGCTCCACACCCAAGGTAGGGCTCGAACTTACAACCTTGAGATCAAGAGTCACACATTCTACTGACTGAGCCAGGTGGGTGCCCCAATTTATGTTTAAATCAGAAGTTAATCTATGACATGAGAAGTCATAGAATTTATCAATAAGGAAACACTAAAACCAGCAGCAATACTTTGAATCAGTATTCTTTTTTGAATTAAAATATGTACATTAAAAGCACATTCTTTTTTTTTCTACCAGGTAACTGTTTGCATATTTAAAATACCTCTCAGCTTCTAAATCTTTATATACAACTAGAAAGTTGAACAAGGGGCACCTGACCAATACAGTTGGTTGGGCCTCCAACTCTTGATTTTGGCTTATGTTGTGATCTCAATGTTGTGGGATTGAGCCCCGTGGTGGGCTCCACGCTGAGCGTGGAGTCTGCTTGGGATTGCCTCTCCCTCAGTCCCTCCCCACACTCTTTTAAAAAAAAAAGAAAGAAAGTTGAACAAGATTGTCCTCTGTTTTGAAAACAGTGAAACATAATGATATATTTAATCTATCAGACCAAAATGTAATCATGTGGCTATATTGTTAATTGTCTAAATTTGCTTGTTCCCAATCTGACATGTGACATCCACCGTTATGTAAGGATCACCATAGGATCACCTGGCTTTGCTTTGCAGGACGGAACATAATGAATATGTTTTCTTTCCATATTACAGAGGGGAAATTGGAGTGATAAATTGTCAGTTTTTCCATCTATACTTCCCACTGTCCCCTCCACTCCCTATTTATATTTAAAAAAAAAATTTTTTTTTTTAAAGATTTTATTTATTTATTTGACAGACAGAGATCACAAGTAGGCAGAGAGGCAGGCAGAGAGAGAGGTGGAGGCAGGCTCCCGGCTGAGCAGAGAGCCCCATGCGGGGCTCGATCCCAGGACCTTGCGATCATGACCTGAGCTGAAGGCAGAGGCTTAACCCACTGAGCCACCCAGGCGCCCATCCCTATTTATATTTTAAGTAAATCCCAAATATCTTTCCATTCATTAATATTTTTTTATATATAACATATATATAGGAACAGATTTCCCACTGGGTCTATTTGTAGGAAAGTATTCATTTATTCAGTACATGTTATTTGAATACTCCTAGGCAGACATTCTGTCAGGCACTGGGTACAATGAAGAGCTCCTACCCTGAAGGGTTCATAACTTAGTAGTCAGATAAGCAAATGAGTAAATGAAATGAAATGAACGTGTCACCAGTAGTGTGTGTGTGTGTGTGTGTGTGTGTGTGTGTGTGTGTAGTGCATGAGACAATCAAGTAAACAGGCAAGTAGAGTAGGTATGTGTACCTCTACTGCTGACTGCTATGTACTGGGAGTTTGAAAATGTACAAGATAAATACGGTACATCTTCCTGGAGCTTCAGTTTTACTCAAAGGTATAAAGGTGAGGGATGATCTTCTTTTTTTTTTTTTTTAAGATTTTATTTATTGAGAGCAAGAAAGCACGAGTCGGGGGAGGGGGAGAGGGAGAGGGAGAAACAGACTCCTGCCAAGCAAGGAGCCTGACACAGTGCTTGACTCCAGGACCCTGAGATCTCAACCTGAGCTGAAGGTAGACGTTTAACCAACTGAGCCACCCAGGTTCCTCTGGGATGATAATTTTTATACTGAAGCAAATATATCAGGGAGGAGAAACACGAGATTTTGGGATAAAACAGAAGGTCCAGATGAATTGTGCTTTTGTGGTGGACCACTTTGGGCGGGTTTCACTCTCACACCTCTGTGAGCAACACTTCACTTCACCTCTGTCCACTGGAGTGAAGAGATTTAGAAATCCTGTCTTTTCGGGATAAAATTGTTGGCCCCTTACTTTAACCCATACTCGAAAATAAATTCCAGATGGATTAAAGGGCTAAATGTAAGAAACCAAACTTTCTCATGGTCAGGAAAAAATATGGAAGAACGGGGCTTATAATCTCGGGAGAGGAGAGGTCTTCTGAAGTACAACACAAAACACTGGAAGGCATAAAATAAAAGCTTGGCAACCATGAAGTTTTCAAACTTATGTTAAATTTTAAATATTTAACTTCTGTTAAATGAGATGAAGCTAAAAAGATAAGCAAAGGCCTAGAAGAAAATATTCTGCATTACAAATCAGAATAAAAAGACCAAAAACAAAAAAACCTCTCATAGAAAAATGAGCGAACCGTAAGAATGGTTACGCCATAGAAAAGACAATATAAATAACTCCTAGTATGTGGAAACATTAAGGTTTACTGCTTGCATCAAAGAAATACAAATTAAAATAACATATTTTTCACTCATGGAATTGTCGAGAGGTTGATAGTGTCTACTGTGGGCAAGGGTGTGGTGAAAAGGGTGCTTTCATAGCACTGCTTGGAGTATAAATTGATTCTTTCCTTCAGGAAGGACAATGTGATAATATCAAGTTAAATTGGCTAGAAACCCTGCCTCTTAGTATCTATCCTAGCAGAATATTAGCAGGTATACACATAGAAATATGGCCAGGGATGTGGACTGTAGCATTGCCTGTAGTAACAAAAAACTGGAGGCAGTCGAAATGCATCAGTAGAGAAATGGTGAAATGAGCTGTGTGGTCAGATTATGGGGATGCTGTGCAGCAGTTTAAAGGAATGAGGAAAATGTAGATGCAGAGAGAGAGAGAGTTTGAAAGATCTCCAAGACACCGTGAAAAAGGAAAGTTACAGAAAAACATGTATAGTGATATCTTTTGTAAAGAACAAAAACCCCAAACCCAAATATGACTGTATATAGTACACATGTAAATGCATGGGGGAAGATCTGGGCAGATAAAAACCAAACTGAAGGGATAACCTGGGTGGCTCAGTTGATGAAGCATCTGACTGTTGATTTTGGCTCAGGTCATGACCTCAGGGTTGTGAGAATGAGCCAGCATCAGGCTCTGTGCTCAAAAGGGAGTCTGCTTGAGATTCTCTCTCGCCCTCTCTTTCTGCCTCTGCCACTCATGCTCTCTCTTTCTCTCTCAAATAAATAGATAAATCTTTAAGAAAAAAAAATGAACTGAAGTGGTTACTTTTGGGGACGAGTGGGGGATTTTGTGGGGGAGGGAGAGTAGGGAGGGACTAAATCTTGTATTTTTTTTTGCTTTGTCCCTCCCCAAAATATTAGTAATATATTGCTACTTGTATACTTAAATTTTTAAATAGGAAGGATATAATTACTTCTGTAGAGATAAGAACTTGGTGCTCTGGAACCACATTAGGAGGGGCATCTGACCCAGAATGGGGGAAAAATCTTCTGGAGGATGATATGGCTGAGCTAGGATCTATAATTACATTTTATTTTATTTTTTAAGTAATCTCCACACCCAATATGGCACTCAAACTCACAACCCCAAGTCAAGAGTTGGATGGATCAAGAGTTAGATGCTCTACTCTGAGCCAAGCAGATATCCCTAGACCTATAATTTTAAAGAAGGAGTTACACAGAAGAAGAATAGAGGTTGGAAGAGTATATAGCTGAGGGAACATACTTGCTTCACTCCTTGCATGGATGGTTTCTTGTTGGTAAAATTGCTTTTTAAGTGTCACCTCCTCAAGGAGGCTTTTCCTGACTATCCAAATTAGAGAAACTACCTATGACACTGTCATGGTTCCCTCCTCTTTTTTTTTTCTTCCCAGCAATTAATACTATGCGACATTTTCTTACTGATTAATGTTCATTTACTAACTAGCCCACACTAGAAGTAAGCCCTGTCTTGTTCAACACACCGTTACTGCTAGAGCAGTAGATAAACGTCACTTAACTAGAGGCTGGGGTGAGTGTGGAGTGTGGACGGAAATGAAAATGCTATACATAGACGGAATGCTAGAGAGATCTAATGTTGGGGGGAATGTCCAGGGAAAAAACTAAACCATGAAGTTGGGCCAGCTCATAAATGGGGCATGGGAAACTATATTGCTTTTGCAGAGCCGCTGAAGGATTTAAGTAGGGAAATGGCATCCTATTTTTGTTAGGTCGTTTCAGAGGACGATAAACTGGAGTGGGGAAGGGGTAGACCAGTTAGAAGACATGTATAGCAGTTCAGGGAAGGAAGTATGAGGACTAGGCAGTGGTAATGAGAATGATGGTGATGGGAATGGACACAAGAAATATTAAGGAAACAGAACTGATGACTGGATAGTGGGGATGAGGAAGGAGTTAAAAATGATGACAGATTATTGAATAAATCAGTGAGTGGTGGTGCCAAGCACATTATTAAGCCAAAATTTTATCAAATCTAAATTGTTTTGATGATGGCTGCTTTTTGATCTTACCAGGAGTCATCAATAAAACATTTAAATTCTATTAGATCTCAACCCCATTTGCCTAAAAGTAAGATACTCTTAATTATAAGGTATATCCAGATTTCAGAGGTGTTAAATTGTGAAAAATGAGCATCTTAGAATTGATGAAATGGAGGAGTAGAAAAGACAAGAACTCTTGGGATGCTTGGGTGACTCAGTCCATTAAGTGTCTGCCTTCGGCTCAGGTCATGATCCCAGGGTTCTGGGATACAGTCCTGCATCAGGCTTCTTGCTCAGTAGGGAGCCTGCTTCTCCCTCTCCTTCTACTTCTTCCCCTGCTTGTGCTCTCTTTCTTCCTCTCTCTGACAAATAAATACATAAAATCTTAAAAACAAACAAACAAACAAACCAAGATCTCTCAAGGAACTCAGTATCCAATAGAGAAAGATATAAATAGTTAAAATCCAATAGTTTGAGTGCCTATCATGTGCCTTAGAACATTGCTGGGGATACAGAGGTCAGCAAAACAGACACAGCCTCTAGCTTCATGAAGTTCTATCCTAGCAGGGAAGACAGACATTAAGTAAAAAAATATTAAGTTGAAATCATAATGAAAACCAAGAAGCTAGAGTGGAGGGTACTGTGCTTGTGGACATAACTAGGTTTTACCTAGTCTGTGGACCTCAGTAATGGCTTCCCTGAGAGGAAGGGAAAGTAGGAGTTAGACAAAGGGAGATGATGGAGGAGGGAACTGAGTTCCAGGTAGAGAGAACACACCACACGTATATACGAAGTATAGAAGGAGAAAATGCGGATTTTGAAATGAAGCTCATTCCATTTTTTACATGTCAAAGTGAGATATCGAGTGGAGAAGCTTAGTAGAGGTTTAGATACTCAAGTCTACAGTCCAGGATAAAAGAGGAAGAACAATCTTTTGACGACCTACTGTATGCTAAATTCTGCCCTGGGTGCTTTATCTATGAATTATATCATTGATCCTCAGTCTAGATGGTAGGTAGTAGTATCCCCATTTCATAGATTGTAGGCGTCGTGGTTTATGAAAGTCTGCATAAGGGGCACCTGAGTGGCTCAATTGGTTGGGCCTCCAACTCTTGGTTTCAGCTGGGGTGGTGGTCTTCTCTCCTGGTTGTGAGATTGAACCTGCCTCTGTGGGGCTCCTGCTTACTGTAGAGTCTGCTCCAGATTGTTCCTCCTCCTTCTCCCCACAATGCCTGCCCTCCCTCCCCCCGCTGCCAGTTCCTGCTCCGTGCACTTTCTCTCTTAAATGAATAAATGGATAAAATCTTAAAAAACAAAAACAAAAACAAAAATGTTACATAAACCTGCCTGTCGTTACAGTTAGTAAGAGACATACCTGTGATTTGAATCCAGCTTTGTTTTAACTTCAAAGCCCATCTTCTCTCACTGATGGTAAAGTATGAATGGGCTATATTCTTTTGTGGTTCAAATTAGATCTGTGCTACTTTTTTTTTTTTAATTTATTTATTTGACAGATAGAGATCACAAGCAGGCAGAGAGGCAGGCAGAGACAGAAAGGAGGAAGCAGGCTCCCTGCTGAGCAGAGAGCCCGATGCGGGGCTCGATCCCAGGACCCTGAGATCATGACCCGAGCCGAAGGCAGAGGCTTTAACCCACTGAAACACCCAGGCGCCCCATGATCTGTGCTACTTCTTAGCCCTCAAATTTCGGTTTCCTTATCTAAAAAAAAATAGGTATTAATAGTTCTTATCTCAGAGTTGTTTTGAGGAGTAAATGAAATAAACCATGTACATTACATAGCATAGCACCTAGCATATATGTTCAATAACATATATGAATTGAACATACGAACATATATGAACAAATGAACATATATGTTCACCTAGCATATGTTCAATAAATGTTAGCTGTTGATATTATATTTATTATGCACACAACTTTGGACTCTGCTGGGATTACCCAGGAAGAGTCAGGAAATCGGAAAACAAGGCTGAATACAGAACCCTGGGGAAACACAAATATTAATGAGTCTGAGAAAGAGTGAATTCAGAGGGAATAACAAAATTTTTTTTCAATTCAAGAAGCTGAACTTATAAGGAATACGTCTTCCACAAATTGTAGCAATAGTTCTTCCATTAATAAAATATAATAAAATTATTTATTTGTTCAACTAAAATAGTTTTTTAAAACCTATATGGGCTTTTTTTTTTCCTTTTGGTCTGAGGGGTAAAGGGGGGAGCTTATATGATAAGTTTTCTGCTAATGTGTAGGAAAATTAATGTGGTTGCCATATTAAGTACAGGCAAAATTTAAAGTGTGCAGTAAATTATAGGGCATTAGAATGCAACTTTTGTAACTCTCCAGGATGAAAGCTAGACTTAAAAAAATGGGAAAAAAGGAAGAGCATAAAATACCTTTAAAAATATACCTTTTAAGGGCTTTTGATGAAGTTAAAATAACTGCTTGCCTTGTCGTAATATAAATATAAAACTGAAAAAAAAATAATGATGGCCAGGATTTATTATTGAGCTATTTCATTTTAAATTAATTTTCAGAGAGAAGAAAAGACTTATTCAGTAAATAACCTTCCTCCTGACAGACCAGGAAGTCTGTTCTCTGTGTGTTCTCTCATTAAACAGGCAACCAGGTAAGTTCTTCACATTCAACTGACTCACGTGTTTTGTGTTTGAGAATCCTGATACATTTTCTGGTGGTTAGAGTTAGATTAAGAATTTGTAGATACAATGGAAGTAAGTGTTTTGGTGAAATCGGTCAGTTTTTCTGGTCTCTTCATTTATAAAATAAGATAATCACATCATTATAACAGTTCTTCTGGCTTTGAAATTTAAAATTAAATATGGAGAAACATCCAAATATGGCAAACAAGTGGTGGTAGGAAATGAGTGCCTTTTCTCTGGGTGAGTACAGTGGGTGCATCGTCATTGTGCCTTGGAATCAGCTGAGGATTTCATGATGCCTTTTATATTTTCATGCTTTTTTATCTTCAGAGTAATAGAGATTCTGAAAATGAAGTGTAGTTTGGTACTTTGGCTCATATGTTTTTAAAATTCTACTAACTAATCTGTGGCAATCAGAACCATGAAAGTGTATTGTTGGATTAAATTATTTTTTTTTAAAGATTTTATTTATTTATTTGACAGACGGAAATCACAAGTAGGCAGAGAAGCAGGCAGAGAGAGAGGGAGAGGAGGAAGCAGGTTCCCCGCTGAGCAGAGAGCCCGATGCGGGGCTGGATCCCAGGACCCTGGGATCATGACCTGAGCCAAAGGCAGAGGCTTTAACCCACTGAGCCACCCAGGTGCCCCTAAATTATTTTTACAAATGTCTAAGCAACTTGCAAGCTAGATTTGAAAGAGCAAGATTGGTAATTTGATTTCCCACAGACAGTTGATCCACCTCCCTAGCACTCTGAGACAATAGAAAGGAGCACCTGAAAATTCTCTCCATTTGGAGTCATTTCATTGCTAAAAAAAAATCAGAGGAACGGGGCACCTGGGTGGCTCAGTGGGTTAAAGCAACCCCCTTCCAGGGGAATAGAGGATTTCTGGAAGAAAAGTGTTCTGAACATATTTTAGTGGAAATGAAATTTAGTGGAAATGGAAATTTACTTGCCTAACATGTTGTAGAGTAGTGAGAATGCATTGCTAGAATTGGAAAATGCCATTATTTGCAAATGTTTAAGTACTGTTTTTCATGTTCACAGAATTCTTCAACATTGTACCAAGACAAGCCTTTCTTTAAGCCATAATTATCGTATATGCTGCTGGAAAATGGTATCTTAAAATTATTATTCTTATTACTCTTTTAAAGATTTTTATTTTTAAGTAATCTCTATACTCAGTTTAGGGCCTGAACTCACAATCCTGAGATCAAGAGGTCACATGCTCCACTGACTGAGACAGCCAGGGGCCCCTTAAAATTATTTTAAAAGGAAGATTTTTAAATTATTTTATTGTTTGCATACATACCTCTAAGTTCAAGTTACTTTCATCTAAGTCAAGTGAGAAATTCTTTGTAACATTAATATTGCTTTATTAAGAAAAATATCCACTTACTAGAAAAACTCTGCAAAGTCCAGCTTTTATGTTACACTTTGTCTGTAATTTGTGTTTCTTTTTTCTTAGTGGAGAAAGAGGGCAGGGGAATTGATTGGATTTGAAGTATGTGGAAACGTAGTTATCTTAAACTATGATATTACAGTATTCTGTTGTATTTCCATAATTGTAAAAGTAAATTCTTTAACATTGACTTAAAGGAAATGATTCTCAGACTTTGATTTCTGTATCTGTACTAATTTAGTTACAAACCTATATGTTGCTGTAGTTCCTAATGTTTTTCTGTGTTCTACGTAAAATTCAGCAGAACCGTGACTTTCCAAAGATATTAGAACTTAAACTGCTTGTCATAGACTAATTTGGGTATCCACTTCTGAAATAGTCAAAATATATGTAAGAATTCTACAGTATCCAACTTCTGAATAAAGTTGCTTCAGAATTTCGTAATTATTTAAGTCAATAATGGATAACTCTCTTTCCTGCTATTTTTATTAACTTGGTTTTAGGTACCTGGGATAAAGGATAACAATATACTGCCTTTGCTTTTGAGAGAATCATTCATACCCAGTGTGGGAAGATTTCTTGCATACTCTGATGACAAAGTACATGCTCTCTTTTTAGATGGCATTACTCTGACCCTAAATTGGAATTTCAGCTCTTTTATGGAAAAGATACAGGTGATTATATTTCAGACTGAAATCTTTTTTTCATTTTTTTAATCTGTGGAAATAGAACAAAGAAAATAAAGTACCACACTATTTCAATTTATTTTTTGAAGTGTAAAATCCGTTAAGTTTTAGTGATCTCATTGGATTTCCTAGCAAAAACCAGAAAGGATGACAAATAATCATTCTTATAAAGGTAATGGATTATATAGAGAAGGACTGGTATAGAGGAGTGGTTAAATAATACCATAATCCTTGTAAAAGATAAATTTTAAATTAATTAAAATAAACCTTTAATGATTCATCTACTTATTATTTTTTAAATTGAAAAATTAGAGAGGCTTTTGTTGCATTTTATGTTTGTTTCAGTTTTGAAATTATAAAACTTACCTTTCCTCCTTGCTTCTTAAGGTAGATCAAGGTCTCAACTTAGGTTGGGGTAGGTTAACTTTTCCCGATGGACAAGATCAGTTAATTCAGATTGAACATCCTGGACCATATAAAAGGTACTGAAAAGCAGTTTTAAAAATTCTCCCCACCCCCCCTTTTTTTTAAAGATTTTATTTATTTATTTGACAGAGAGAGAGAGAGAATAAGAGAGAACAAGCAGGGGGAGCGGCAGGGAGAGAAAGAGGGAAAAGCAGGCTCCCTGCTGAGCAGAGAGCCCTACTCGGGGCTCAATCCCAGGATCCTCGGATCGTGAACTGAGCTGAAGGCAGAGGCTTAACCTACTGAGCCCCTAAAAATTATTTTTATGATAGTAATAACTTTTCCTCTTAGATGGGAAGCATATAAACATTATTTAAATGTTATAGATATTTTTAGTTTTTCCAGGTAGATAATGTGCATGATGTTATTCTAGCAGGTTTCAGAATTTACAGTAATACTGGCATCTAGCATAACTAAATAAATCAAGTCAGCTTTAATCATTTCCATTTGTATTCAAGTGGTTTGTCAAAATAAATGTTTTCAATATAACTGACTTGCTGTGGAAATTGGACTGTGGAAAGCTGTGTTACCAATTAATTAATTCCTTAACCAATTTGAGGTAAGGTTTACACAAATAACTAAACTTGGGTATATTTCTGTAAAGTGGAATAAAATAATTTGCTGATGCTTAAGATGGAGAAGATTCCTGAAATCAGCTTTTTATGAAATGGTTTTTTTCTTTTGGTTTATGTAATTTGTTATAACCAGTCAACTTGAACATTCTCGACATGTTACTGATTTTACTTGAGAATATTCACAAAAGAATTGCTTTTTTTACCTCACGAATTTATTTTTCCGGAGGGGGATTGGGATTTATTGCATTTTGGTTTAAATGCTCCAATATTCATTGCTGGCTTGAATAATTTGCATCAAAAATTTAGTGTCTTAGGGCCCCTGGGTGGCTCAGTTGGTGAAGTGTCTGACTCTTGATTTTGGCTAAGGTCATGATCTTGGGGTTGTGGGATCAAGCCCCAAGTCTGCTTGAGATTCTCTTCCTGTCCCTCAGCCCTTCCCCTCCCTCTGCTTGCATGCGCACCCAAGCATATACTCTCTCTGTCTAAAATAAAGAAATCTTTTTAAAAAACTACAGTATTTGGCAAACATTACTATTATTATGTTTCAGCTCATCACTTCAGATCATTGATACTTGTTTTGTATATTCAGTGAGTTATATATAATTATACATTTATAATGTATAAATTATAAATTTATGGGTGTGTTCTGGTTATAATTATATTTATATATAAATATAATTTATATTTAATTTATAAATTATAAATTTACATAAATAAATTTATAAAAATTTATATATAAATATATAATTATACATTTATAATGTATACATTATATACTAACGGGTGTGTTCTGGTTTAAATTTTATTTTTTTATTTTTGATGGGTTTCTTTTTTTTTTTTAATTTTAGAAAGCAAATGCTCACTTGTCTTAATGTGTAAAGACATTTTCATTATAAAACATAATGAAACTCATTTTACTTTGTAAAACTAAAAGGAGACTTTAGACATTTAAATTTGAATTTTGAGTGAAATCCAAGTATCACTTTGTTCTGATTCTTAAATCTCATCTTTATTAATCATGACTATGAGTAAATCATTTTATCCTTGATGAATAATGAAAAAAACTTGCCTTTTCCATTTCCTTTAAAAAAGATTTAAAAAATTGCCCACTTGGGAATTTATCCTTTTCCCCCAAGTTGTCTTAATAATTTTTCCTTTCTAAAAAATGCTTTTATAAATATTACACAAGCTCATTTCAAATATTTCTTTTAATGTTTTCAATCTAGATATGTGACAGCAGTTATATCATGGTGCAGAAGACTGACCCAAACTAGTCAGAGAGAGATGCCCACACATCCTTCATCTTCTCTTGTTGAAGAAAATTGGTATGTATATTTCTTTTAAATTTCATCTGTGTAGGAGAGACACAAAAATTAAAAACATCAAATGGTAAACTCTAAGACTTCCTGATAGCTTAAGCTTGAAAATAATTTATCTTTAATCAGATATTTATTACATTTCACCATATTTTATCTGAAGGGCAGAAAATTGCATTGAAAATTTCATATCAAAATGCGTGATTCCTTTAATGTGATAAATTCATCCTGAAAACTTTATGGAAAAGTTTAAAGGCTTTTTTTTTTTTTTAAGTTTTTATTTATTTATTTGACAGGCAGAGATCACAAGCAGGCAGAGAGGCAGGCAGAGAGAGAGGAAGGGAAGCAGGCTCCCTGCTGAGTAGAGAGCCTGATGTGGGGCTCGATCCCACGACTCTGGGATCATGACCCAAGCCAAAGGCAGAGGCTTTAACCCACTGAGCCACTCAGGCGCCCCTAAAGGGGTTTTTTTAAATTTTAGTAATATTAAGAGAAGTAAAATGTTGACTAACATAATAAACTTTCAGAAAAAGTTGATTTTGAAATCATTTCTATCGTATTAATTACCTATCCCATATTAATTGGAAAATCAACAAATAAAGTATTTTTAGTCCCTCTTGTGTGCCTTTCAGTGAGCAGGGGATTGGGCTTCAAAGGAATATTTAGGGAAGTTAAGTCATTTCAGGGAAGGAACAAGGGCAGAAGTAAAAAACATGTTTTGTCCTATGAAGACAGGAAGAAAACAGTTTTTATGGAGCAGATGCTATCTGTTCGATGGATAGGAATGGATCTTGTGATCAGTAGAGGAGCTCAGACTTGATGGAATTACTAGATTGTAAGTAGAACGAATCTTAGAAAGGTCATTAGGAAGGTTAGTATCACTGAGCGGATAATCTGAGTACACAGGTATCCCCCGCTTTTCGAAAGTTTGTGTTATTACACCACTGCGCTTTTACGAAAGACCTCCATCAGTTTGTTCCCGATTTTCTCGGGACCCACCACCCTGAACACGCCTGATCTTGTCTGATCTCAGAAACTAAGCAGGGTGGGGCCCCATTAGTACTTGGATGGGGGTATGTACCTGTTTTTGCTAACCAAAAGAAATCCAAAAATGATTTTTGGTTTTAAGAAAAAAGGCAAAAAGTGAAAATAGCATTCAGTATTTTTCCGCGAGCTCTTATAGAGAGGCAGCTTGTACTCCGAGCCGGGAGAGTGGCACCTCGGAGCTCCTTGCCTGGAAACTACACTCAGCCGCTCAGCTTTAAGCCGCCAGAGCTTTGAATGTGGCTGGGAGCCTCTGTGCTTTCTCTCAATTTATTTTGTGCATCTATCAGCAAGATGAGTCCTCAGGTCTCAAAAAAAGGCCTAAGAGAGGTTATTTTTTGGGTGTGGGAAAGATCAAAAAATTGTCCATAAACATTAGTGGTAATTATTTTTCAACTTTATGCCATTTCAGTGTGTGATAGTTTTCATAGAAACTCTGTACTTTTGGATAGTGGAGGAAGCCTGTGTTGGAAAAGAGGGATACCAGGAATAATTTAGGAAGCTTTAAGGTAGTTTGTAAGGTGTCTTAGCATTGCATGGTGAAAAAAATATAAACATTAAGCCTGATTCTTATCACCTTTTCCTAAATTACTTAAAGAGGTACAAATCAAATCAGTAGATGTTATTGGAATGACTTAAGTATCCTAAGGATTCAGCTTTCCAGATCTTCCATTCTTCAGCTACAGCCCATTTGGGAGCAGAAGAGTTGCCCAAGTAGCTGGCAAAAAAATGTAGTTGGGATGAAAGGGAAATTGTATGTGACTATAAGATTGGTCACTTCATCATTGCTCAGCTGGCAAGGTTTCAAGATGCTAGGCTTTTCATAGGAAGGCTTTGAAGAGGATAACTATTGAGACAGATGCAAAGTGAGGGCTTGAGGGAAGTGCATACTGGTGATAGTAGCTCTGGGGGAAAGCAGCGAGGAGCAGCAGAAGAGGAACCGAGGAAGAGTAGAGAGAGGAGATGCAGCTCCTGACAGTAGCTAGCTCCATTTCCCTTGCAAAGCCCAAGACATCTCCACTGTGATTTGTTTTCTTGTCAAGGAAGGCGGGTTGAAGGAAGAGAACGGATTGCTCAATGAAGAGCTACCAGAATTCATTTCAGTATTTTTTTTCCCAACTCACCTTCTATTATTAATTTACTGATTCAACTTTTTAAAAAGGATGCTAGTCAAAACATGGAACAGCAGATAGTTCACAAGAAGTTGGTTCATCATATGAGCAAGAGCATTAAAGGTAGTTTGTATTGTTTGCTTATGGCCAGAAAAATATTTCCTATGTAGGGGAAAAAAAGTGTTTTGCAATGATGAAGAATCAGCAGGCTTTGGAGTAAATCATATCCAAGTCTTTACCACACATGCTTAAAGTGTTGAGAGATCTCTTTCATTCTCCATCCATAGGCTGGAGTACAAGGAAAGAGAGCAAGTTGACAAGGAGGTGTATGTGTCCCACTGTAGTAAAGCCAGTAAGAAGACAAGTTCTATACCCCTTTGTGAACTGTGAAGACTATTCTAGAGACTTGAATAGAGAGATCTTTTAGATATTAAAGTCCTCATTAATTTTGCAGAGAGCTAGTTGAGTTACAGTATTTCCTAGTTGTGTCCACTACTCATATTTCATTCTAGCTTAATGAGGAAAAAGAAAGAACACACGTAAAAGAGTCTGCTGGAGTTGTACAAATTTAACCCTCTGCCCTACCAGTTGCTCCAATATCTGTTTCTGTGGAACATGGTTTAAGGGTTAATGTTCATCATGTTAACCATTCCAATCAAGGAGAAGAGAATGTTTAGTATGTTTAGTATATTGTGTTTAAGAAAACAGTAGTTAGTCTATTCCAGAATAAATTTATTAAGAACTACTTATTATGTTTTGGGGCACCTGGGTGGCTCAGTCAGTTGAGTATTTAACTCTTGATTTTTGGCTCAGATTATGATCTTAGGGTTCTGAGATCGAGCCCCGTGTGGGACTCCGTGTTAGGCATGGAGCCTGCTTAAGATTCTTTCTCTCCCTCTGCCACCCACCCTCTCCTTCTCTAAAGGAAGGGAGGAAGGGAGGGAGGGAGGGAGGAAGGAAAGGAAGAAGAGAAGAGAGGAAAGGAAAGGGAAAAAAGGAAGGAAAGAAAAAGGAAGAAAGGAAGGAAAGAAGGGAGGGAGGGAGGGAGGAAGGAAGGAAAGACTTACTATGTTTTGACACTTAATTCAACTGTGTAAAAGCTTAGCTCTCCAAAATTATCTCTTTCTGAAGAGTTCCATATAAATGAGGTCTCATTATATGTGCAAAGTACAGAAGAACAAAAACATCTTTTCCTCCTGAAAAAGACAATCTAGGTACGAAGATCAGAAAATTAAAGAGTTCAAGAGAAGGTATTGCAAATCGGTATATGATTAGTTAACATAAGGCTATAGGAATTCAAAGGAGGGAGGACTCCTTTCATAGAAGTGATAGGATTTTACTAGGTTTTTTTTGGTTTTGTTTTGTTTTTTAGATTTATTTATTTATTTGAGAGATAAGGGAGAGAGTACGTCCATGTACACATGTGCAAGTGTGGGAGGGGGGCAGAGGAGAAGGGAGAGGAACAAGCAGACCCCCTACTGAGCATGGAGCCTGATGCAGGGCTCCAACCCCCCAACCCTGAGATCATGACCTGAGCCGAAATCAAGGGTCGGCTGCTTAACTGACTGAGGCACCCAGGCACTCCTAATTTTAGTAGGTTTTTAAAGTTTGACTAAACTTTGAGGAGGAAAGCAGAGGTTATGTCAGGTTAGTATTAAAAAGTTATAGCCAACAGGACCTGTGGGTGGACAGGCTCCTAAAGGAATGGGGCCTGGCACTCCAGCAGCATATGGGAGAGGGAGAACAGAATATGAAGGCCCAAACAAAAAGCTCTGATTTTATTTATGCTTATTGTATTTATTTTATTGTTTGATGTGATATCTGGGATTTCATTCTAGTTTGCTTTTGTCTTTTCTTTGGTTAGATACCAATCTTTTAAATTCCTGCATTTTAGTGAGAAAGCTACCTTTTTATGGATGTTAGCAGTTTTTGACCTCATATTTGCAAATGGTCTGTTTGAGCAGGTAAAATTAGGTAATACAGTGTTTCAAACAGGGAAACTTTTCCCCGTTTTTATTTCCTTTCTTTATTAACTGTGCAGTGTCCCTCAGGTTATGGTAGTGTACCGTGTACCACTGACTTTCCAAAGTGTACCTTTTTTTTTTTAACTGTGTTTCAGATAAATAGAAAAAATGGGTTATTAAAAAAAAAAAAAGAGTTTAGCAAGAATGCCCATTACCTTCAAATGTCAGTACTTGATTTAAAAGTCCTCGAGGTGGGGACTTTTATTATTCATTTTCCTTTTTCATTAAAAGCACTCAAGTAAGTATCGGTTGAGTCAAGTTGATGTGTTGCTAAATAAAGCCAATATAAAGAGAATTCTTTTTTTTTTTTTTAAAGATTTTATTTTTAAGTAATTACACCCAACATGGGGCTTGAACTTATAACCCCAAGATCAAGAGTCACACACTCCACTGACTGAGCCAGCCAGGCGCCCCTATAAAGAGAATTCTTAACTTCTGGGCTCTTCTATCTACAATTCTAAACTTTATGAAAAAAAAAATCAAGTATGATTATTTGAAATATTGTAGCTATAAAAGGATCAGACAACTATCATGAACTTACTTTTTCTTTTTGCACAGGTCTGTGGCCTCTGAGCTTGAAAAAATAAAGAAGTTTAACTGTATCCTTTAAACCAAACTTATTGTCCTGTATAATTACTCCCTTTCCATTCTAGGCTTAATTCATGAGTCTGTGCTTTATATTATATATTCTGAAGTTTTCTTGAATAACATTTAAGATGTATCTTAGCTATAGAAGGTGCATCATGTCAATATCTATACTTTTGAATGAGTTTAAATAGGACAAAGGGCAATGAACTAGGGGTAGGTCTCCTACAGAGACTTTTTCACTTATATAATTACATTTTCTCCATATCCTCACCAGCGCTTATTATCTATTGTCTTTTGGATAATAGCCATTCTAATAAGTATAAGGTAATACCTCACTGTGGTTTTGATTTGCATTTCCATAATGACTAGTGATAATAAGCACCCTTCCATATACCTGTTGACAATTTGTAGGTCTTTGGGAAAATATCCATTTAGTTCCTCTGACCATTTTTTTTTTTTTAAAGATTTTATTTATTTATTTGACAGACAGAGATCACAAGTAGGCAGAGAGGCAGGCAGAGAGAGAGGAGGAAGCAGGCTCCCTCAGAGCAGAGAGCCCGATGTGGGGCTCGATCCCAGGACCCTGGGATCATGACCTGAGCCGAAGGCAGAGGCTTTAACCCACTGAGCCTCCCAGGCGCCCCCCTCTGACCATTTTTTAATCAGAATTTTTTGCTGTTTAATTGTATGAGCTTTTTATGTATTTTGCATATTAACCTCTTATCAGATATATGATCTCAAATATATTCTCCGATTCCATACATTGTCTCTTCATTTTGTTGATGGTGTCCTTCAATGTGCAGAAGCTTTTTAGTTTGGTGCAGTTCCATTTGTTTATTTTTGCTTTTGTTGCCTTTGCTTTAGGTATCAGAACCAAAAAATCACTGCCAAGACAGATGTCAAAGAGCTTACCCCCCATTTTCTTCTAGGGGTTTTATGATTTCAGGTCATATGTTCAAGTCTTTAGTCCACTTTGAGTTGATTTTTGTGTATGATGGAAGATAGGGATCCAGTTTTCCCAACTTCTCTTATTGAAGAGACCATCTTTTCCTGCATTGTATATTCTTGGCTCCTTTGTTGTAAATTAATTGGCCATGTATGCTTGGGTTCCTTTTTTTTTTTTTTCTTTTAAGATTTTAATTGAGAGACAGAGAAAGAGAGCATGCAGGCTGAAAGAGAAGCAGAAGGAGAAGAACAAGTAGAACTCCATACTGAGCACAGAGCCCAGTGTGGGGCTCGATCTCACGACCCAGAGATCATGACCTCAGCCAAAATCAAGAGTCAGATGCTCAACTGACTGAGCCACCCGAGTGCCTCCGTGGGTTTATTTCTAGACTCTCTATTATGGTCCATTGATCTATATATCTTTTTTTATGCCCATGCCATACTGTTTTGATTACTGTAACTTCATGATATAGTTTGAAATAAGGAAGCATGATGCCTCCAACTTTGTTTTTCTTGAGATTGTTCTGGCTAGGGGCACCTGGGTGGCTCAGTGGGTTAAAGCCTCTGCCTTCGGCTCAGCTCATGATCCTGGGGTCCTGGGATCAAGCCCCGCATCAGGCTCTCTGCTCAATAGGGAGCCTGCTTCCCCCCGCACCCCGCCTGCCTCTCTGCCTACTTGTGATCTATGTCTGTCAAATAAATAAATAAATAATCGTTTAAAAAAAAAAAAAAAAAGGTTGTTCTGGCTATTTGGGTTCTTTTATGGTTACACAGAAATTTTAGGATTGTTTGTTCTATTTCTTCGTAAAATGCTGTTGGAATTTGATAGGGATTGCTTTGAATTTGTAGATTGCTTTGGTTAACATGGACATTTTTACAATATTAATTCTTCTAATTCATGAGTATAAAATACCTTTCCATTTATTTGTGTCTTCAGTTTTCATCCTAAATGTCTTTCAGTATACAGATCTTTCACCTCCTTGCTTAAATGTATTCCTAGGTATTTTATTCTGATATAATTATAAATGGGATTGTTTTCTTTTTTTTTTTTTTTTAAAGACTTTATTTATTTATTTGTCAGAGACAGAGGGAGAGAGAGTGAGCGAGCACAGGCAGACAGAGGCAGAGGGAGAAGCAGGCTCCCTGCCGAGAAAGGAGCCTGATATGGGACTCGATCCCAGGACGCTGGGATCATGACCTGAGCCGAAGGCAGCCACTTAACCAACTGAGCCACCCAGGCGTCTGGGATTGTTTTCTTAATTTGATAGTTTGTTATTAGTTATAGAAATACAATTGATTTTTATAAATTGATTTTATATCCTGAAACTTTACTGAATTTATTAGGTTGGATTTTTTTGTTTTTTTTTTTTTAAGAGAGAGAGGAGGGGGAGAGGAAGAGGGAGAGAGAGAATTTTATTTTAGAAGATTTTATTTATTTGAGAGAGAGAGAACACGAGAGGACAAATGGTGGAGAGGGAGAAGTAGGCTTCCCACTGAGCAGGAAGCCCAATGCAGAACTTGATCCCGAGATCATGACCTGAGCTGAAGCCAGACGCTTAATGGACTGAGCCACCCAGGTGCCCTGAGAGAGAGAGAATTTAAAGCAGGCTCCACACCCAGCATGGAGCCCAACACAAGACTTGATCTCACAACCCTGAGATCATGACCTGAGCCAAAATCAAGAGTCAGACGCTTAACTGACTGAGCCATTCAGGCTCCTCTGAATTTATTAGTTCTGAGAGTTTTTTTTTTGGTGGAGCCTTAAGGATCTTTTGTATATATTATCATGGCATCTACAAATAGAAACAGTTTTACTTTTCTGATTTGGATGCCTTTTCTTTCTTTTTTTGCCTAATTGCTCAGGCTAGGACAGTATGTTGAATAAGAGTGGCGATAGTGGGCATTCTTATCTTATTCCTGATCTTAGAGGAAAAGTTTTCAGTTTTTTACCACTGAGTATGATGTTAGCTCTGGGCTAGTCATACATGGCCTTTATTATCATGAGGTAAGTTCCCTCTATACCCAGTTTGTTGAGAACTTTTCTGCATCTATTGAGATAATCAGATAATTTTTATCCATTTTGTTAATATGGTGTATCACATTGATTTTCGTATGCTGAACCATCCTTGCATTCCTAATAAATCTCACTTGATCATGGTGTATGATCATTTTAAGGTATTGTTGCATTCCATTTGCTAATATTTTGTTGAGGACTTTTGCATCTATATTCAGCAGAGATATTGACCTGTAATTTTTTAAAAGTTATTTTTAAAGTAACCTCTACACCCAGTGTGGGGCTTGAATACATGACCCTGAGATCAAGATCGTATACTTTTCTGACTGAGTCAGCCAGGCACCCCTGTAATTTTTTCTTGTAGTGTTTTTATCTGGGTTTGGTTGTTAAGGTAATGCTGGATTTGTAAAATGAGTTTGGACATAGTCCTTCCTCTTCTATTTTTGGAAGACTTTGAGAAGGATTAGTATTAATTCTTATTAAATGTTTGTTGGAATTCACCTGTGAAACCAACTGGTCCTGGGCTCTTATTTGTTGGGAGGTTTTAGATTACTGATTCAATTCCCTTATTAGTGATTGGTCTGTTCAGATTTTCTCTTTTAAGATTCAGTCTTGGTAGGTTGTATGTTTCTAGGAATCTGTTTCTTCTAGGTTGTCCAATTTGTTGGAATATAATTTGACCAATTTTTCTTATGAAATCTTTTGTTCTGTACATTCCTACCCCATTCATCTAATTTCTTTTATCTTGTGATATTTCTGTAATCCTATTCAAATAATAAAGTAGCTCTGCATCAGAGGACAGGTTTCTTTCCACTCTATATCATTCATTCATTCATGCTGGTGAGGGGCAGAGGGAGAGAGAGAATCTTAAGCAGGCTCCATGCCCACTATCAGTGCCTGGGCCGGGGCTGGGGTTGGGGGGCGGGTCAGTCAGTTAAGCGTCTGACTCTTGATTTCTGCTCAGGTCGTGATCTCCAGTTTATGAGATTGATCCCTGTATCAGGCTCTGTGCTGGCATGGAGTCTGCTTAAGATTCTCTCTCCCTCTGCCCCTCCCCCACATCCCTCTCTCAAAAATTTTTTAAGAATACACTGCACAGATTATTTATGTTCCTCACTGTTTCTTTTATTCTTTTATTCCCATACCACTCTTCACTTAAAGAAATGTTGAGATTTATCTTTATTTATTTATATTATATTTATTTATTTTACATTTATTTATTTATCTTATTTATTCTTTTATCTCCTATCACCAAACCTCCATTCAAATACATGTACTCTCTTTCCTTTCTTCCTCTCTTACATATGAACCAGTTTCCTCATCTTTAAGGGGTAGATCTTGATAAGTTCTGAAGTCTCAGATCTATTATGAATCCTAGAAATCTTCCTAACAGAGAAATAATATTTTAATATGAAGACCAGGCTTTCTGAAATTAAATTTACTTATATAAAGAAAAATGTGGGGGAAAACTCCTTAACTAAGCAACTTAAGTGCTACTGGAGAACAGTGGTATCCTAAACCAGATTTCTAACAAAAAAAACAAACAGTCTTCTGATCATAATGAATCAAAATCTCCAGAAACCTTGCTGGAAGAAGTTAATGAAAAGAGAGTATCAGTGGCATTGAAAAAAACCTCTGAAATCCTTCAGGATATTGACTGTCTTCTATCAAGTTCTAAAAGATGAAAAACAATTATTATATACCTTAAAGATGTTGTTTCAGGTGACTAGTATAAAATTGTTAGTAAGCCAAGAAATTATATGTATTACTTATTCACGATGATTATATGAAAAATGACATTTAACTTTGGAGGTTACCTAACTTGTAAATTTTAAAATATCTATAATGTACTTTATTAATAAAGAACTGTTTTTTAGAATTTTGAACAATGTCCGATTTCAGATTTATGAGAACATTTTATAAAATTATAGTTGCTTTTTATCTTATGGAACATTCACTATTAATCCTCAAGGTTTTTTTTTTTCTTTTTAAATATGCAGAATTGTGTGCATTTGGTCATTTGCTATTTCAACAGAACTACCAAAAGAGAATTTGATCTTTACATATGTATACACAATATTGCTTCAAGCTAAGAATCGAGCTCTTCAGCAAAGACTAAATTTTATCTGAATTGTCTCATATTTTCATTTCTTTTGAACATCTGAAAAAAATTTATGCTATACAAGTGTGTGAAGCTAAAATAGCTCATCAGAAATGCTGTTTATTGCAACCTAGTGCTGTTTATTGGGAAAACACAGAACCACACATCTAAACGGACTTCAAGATTAGACCAATATAGCAGCAATATAGCAGAAATGTTCTAATTAACTTCTGATTTCTAGAAAAGACCTGTTTCTTGACATGAAAGAAACAACAGGAAGCAGGGGAAAAAGAACAAAGCAAGCAGAGCATAGATTAGGAGTGATAATGTCAATGATTTGAATGGGCACAATGTTCTCATGTTGGCTTTCTCACTCTGGGCTCCTTGCTACCTTCAGGTTTCAGCACAAATTACCATTTCGTCAGAAGGGCCTCCCCTATTTAGTCTCTATTACATCACCCTATTTATTACCTTTACAGCACATACTATAGCCATCCAGCTTTTCTTTGTGGTCTAGATCCTCCACTAGAACTTGAGCTCCATAAAGTCATTCTGTAGCCTGTTACCATGCATAGTGTTTGGCACACAGAGCATTCAGTATGTGTTGTATAAATCAGTCAGTGCCTTTGGGCTTTAGGGTGACTACAGATAAAATTGTGACAATTTTGTTGTTTTGGTTGAAGGAAACCATCCATGTTTTCTTCAATAGTTCTAGAAAACTTAGAGTATAAGACATGTACAATGAAGCTAAAAGGGCAATGCGAAATTGTTACAGCATTCAGACAAACTGTCCTTAACATGACTAAAGGCACCCCATATTGTGGTTAATGTATTCTTTTTAATTAGCTTTTAAACTATGTGGGTTAAAATGTCTATCATTTTCCATCTCAGTTGAGTCTTTTCCACGGGCTAAAGACCAAGGGTGTGACAAGCAATGAAAAGTTCTATCACTGAGAAACTGAGCCATACTTTAGGGTTGTGAGAGAGAGGACTAGGAGTGTGCTTGGAATTGAATATCTCACTTTTTACTACAAAATTGTCTTTCAACTGTAAAATATCTCACTACTGCCCTTGCTTTCCCTCTCACCCTTGTTTTGAGAAACTGTAGGTAGGAAGAAGAAAAGCAATGCACATTTTAGAAACTATTCTTTTGCACCAGTGCTTCCTAGAGCCAATGCCAAGCTAGACATCTTGGTGCTCACTCGGGGCAGGAAGGCAAGTGGGACCTGGCCATACTCCCATTAAGAAGCTGCATTTTGAGGCCGGTTAATTGGCGTTATGCAGGTTTGTTTTTTTTTTTTTCTTTTCCCCAACTCCTGTGCGTTTAGTAGTCATGATTAAATGGTCCAGCCCTGTCACTGCCGCCGCAATAAAGTGTAGCCCCCACCGTCCGCCCACAAAGTGGCAAAGAATAATTATCAAGAAATCCCCAAGGGGGCGTGGAGCGCTGCGAAGGAGCGGCGGATCTGCAAGATCGCGGGGTCCCTCCATCTCGTGAAAAACTCCGGGGCCCAACCTCAAAGACCCAGTACAGGAAGCCGGAAATTCCTCTCCCCCTTCGAGACCCAAAATGGCCCTTGGCTCCTAGCTCTAGCGTCTGGGTATAGGGCCTGTGCATCGACATTAGGTGGTTACTTCTCCATCCCCAGCCGCCAGTAAGATGCGTTGTGGATATGCCGGCTGCTAAGTCTGGGGCACGGCGCCGGCAAAGCCAAGAAGGAATGCCCAGGTTTGATAGAGGAAGCCAACAAGGGACTTATTCCACTGTCCCAAAGGTTTCCTTATGGGGCACGACGGGGAAGAATTCGTGGCAGCCAACACCTGCTCCAAAGAGCACTGAGCTATCGGTTCTCGTCCGTTAGGAATGGGGCCAGTATCCCGGCGTCCTCTCTGCCGGCGTTCGGGGGCTGGAGCCGCTCTGGCCGGCGGCCGGCGTCTCTATGGTGCCGGCCGAGGGGCGGGTAAAGGGGCGGGGCCGCCGTTCGCGCTGCGGTGCTGGGTGGAAAGCCGAAGGTGGGCGCGGCAGAGCTCCGGGAGGTCCCGGGCGGGAGGGGGACTGAGCGGACTCCGTGAAACTGCGTCCTGAGGTGGGAAGCCATAGCTCGTGGTTCCCAATGGGGAGGGCGTCAGGGGCGGCGAACGCGCGGGGCCCGAGAGCCAGCGGGGTGTGCTTGGCGGCCGGCACTGTCCGGCGATGCCGCGATGTGCGCAAAGCCCGGCGTCTTCCTTGGGCTTCGTGGAGCCTTCGAGATTCCACAGGCACCCAGCCCTCGCCTAGGCTCTGTGTCCCTGGCGTTTCCCTGGCCCAGAGAGGGGTGACGGGGGTCTTGCAGGAGTTGCCCATTGCCACTAACAGGCACGAGAGTCCCACGCGCCCCGGGTCCCTGGAGGCGTGAATACTCTTAAGTGTGACAGAGTAGTACCTTGCTTGCATGGGAAATGCGGGGTTCCTGCCCTATTTTCTTAATCGGCATTTTAAAATTATTGCATCACACCAGCCTTGGGCAAGAATGATTTGGGAAATTTTCCCGAGACTTGATATATGTTTAAATTGAGAATTGTATGTTTTATTCCTAATGGTACATGTAGGAACTAAACATTTTATATTCCGGCTATAAAAAGTTTCTGTGAAACTCAGCAGGATTTGTGTTTCTCTCCTTTGCAAATTACTGCGTTATATTTGGCATCTGCTCTGGGCATTATAGAATTAAAAATTTAAATATATTAGGGGCGCCTGGCTGGCTCAGTCAGTGGTGTGTGTGAGACCCTTGATCTTGGGGTTGTGAGTTCAAGCCCCGCATTCGGTGTAGAGATTACTTTTTTAAAATTAAAATTTAAAAAATTAAATATACTAACTTCTACAGCACTGGCATTGAAAAAGACTTACTTGTAAAGCAATACTATAGGTAATCAGATTTTGAACTGCTTTTACCTCAGGTTTTTGTAAATATTTGTGTGATGGGCGAGTGAAGCAGGTAGTTTTGGGGGCATTTGTTTGTTTTGACAGAAATATTTGTCCAAGATTATTAACAAACTGCACAATAGTGCATAATTAAAGTAACTGGCTAATTATGTTTGTGGAGTTGAAGATTACTACTATGTATACTTAAAAGACCCCCTAGTTGATGACATTCTACTATAATGGAATGCAGTGTGGCAGTTTGACCATTGTACAAAGTGGCTGCAAGTCATAAGGACCTGTTATGCTATTATGAGATAAAATGTCATCCCCAAAGTAGTTTTAGTTCATAAGCTGAGGGTTGCTTACCGGCTTACCCCCTGTTTTAATGCAATGAAATATTTATTAAATACCTTCAGCACATTAGATTTTATGCATGAGAGGCTTAAAAGAAAATTATAATTACTCTTGAGGGAACTACCCAACAAAAGTAAGTATGTAGACTAAACAAAGTTATTTTACAGTTTTTGAGGTTTCAGGGTCCATTCTGTTTGTAGGGGAGGGAAGGAAGTGGCAAAAAGAAGAAAAAGGTATGAAGAAAAATGGGTATACTTGGGTGTCTTAGAGACAATAAATAAAGGCAGTACAATTATTAATGTTCTCCCCCCCGCAAAATGTGGTTTTTTTTCTTATCGGAATCTAAGCCAAAGATGTTAAATCTATGCACTAATACAGTGGAATAGGTGTCAGAATTGTGTTTCTGGAACCACAATTATACCTTTATAAAAATGGAAAGAGTACTGTGTTAGATACCTACTACTATATAACAAATCACCCCAAAACTTAGAGGCTTAAAACATTTAACGAATATTATCTCATTGTTTCTGTTGGCTCAGACTTTGCAAGGGCTAAGCTGGGTGATTCCAGCCCAAAGGCCCATGCAGTTGTCATCCAGATGTTTGCAGAGCTCTGGGCACCTAAAAACTTGACTGCGGCTGAAGGATCTACTTCCATGTTCACTCATTAGCTTTTTGTTTCTCTCTCACCAAGCAAACTGTTTTATACTTTCCATTTATAAGATGCATTTTGTGTTGCCCCATTAGGTGTATGCGTTCCTCTTCACAGAGCATGATATATTTTTATAAACAATAAGGTTTTCTTTTTCAGGTCACTAAATTTGGATCACCACTTAAGTACTTGAAGTGATCTTTTGATGTTTCACTTTGCTTGTAACATATCATAAGCTCCCTCATTCTTTTAGAATCTGAACTTATGTAAAACACAAGGTTAGTAACATTTAAATATATGTTGGGGTGATAAAAATTGTTCCAAGAGTAAAAGAAGGTGGATGTCATGCAGCGGCTTTAGCGTGACATCATGCAATTTGCAGTTAAGTGGATAATGACCTCTTAATATTTGTTCCTTTCTGGGATAAGATTTGAACATAAATTTGTAATAAATACAGATTCGAGCATAGTTTGAATGACAGCAGAGCTTTTCTGTTGGGCTTTTGCGTAAGTGTGTCCAGCCTACATTCTTAGACCCATCCACCTGAATGGCCTTCTTTCTTCTTTGGGCTAAATTGTAGGCCACAGCTTACTGAAGGAGGGGAATGTTGCTGCTAGTGTAGCACCTCTCCAGCGTAGTTATTAAGTGAGATTTGTGTGTCCCAGTTCCCATCCAGCTAAGTGGATACTGGCATCTATCCTTGGTGCAAAGGGATATTTTATAAAACTTAAAATTATATGCACTGAACCTTTAAACCGGTTGACTAAATCCATGCAAGGTTCAAGAGTTTATTTTGTAAAGTAGAAGCAAATGATTCATAATTTATGGAACTGTAAATCCTGAGGTTTATAGAAAGGTTTCATGACTTGGAGGTATCTTTTGCATTTTTTCACTTTGGTCTTGTTTGAAAGTACGTTGAAGTCACTCATTTCCTCATCCTAGAAGAATCTGTACACTTTAACCTAATCTTAGTGCTTTTCAGAACAATTTTCATTATTGCAAATGGCCAAGAATTTGAGGATTGTTGTAGACTCCATTATCATTAATAAAACTGTTGTTCTGTGCAAAGCAAGTCTTCATAATATGAAAGAATTAAAGGAATCTATAAGTTTATTTCACCAGCAGATAGAGAAATCTTTGGTACAGACTTTGCCTATGTCAACTAATACATAAATATAAAAAAATAATTTTTATATTATCAACTTGGCTTATAAGAATTATATAAAATTTTTAGTTTATTGATGTTATATATTATTTTTATTAATAGATATTTATAATGTTATAAGTATACTTCTACTTTTCAAAAATTACACCTTTAAGGGACTGACTTTAGCATCCTGGTCTGAGTTATTTAGTGACTTCTTACTAATTTCAGAGTAGCTCTATTTGCTTTGTCGTCATAATAGGAAGACATTGGAAATGTTTAGGGAATTATGGGCACCTGGGTGGCTCAGTTGGTTGTGTCTGGCTCTTGATTTTGGCTCAGGTTGTGATCTCTGGGTCGTGAGATCCAGCTCTGCTTTTTTGGAGCCCAGCATCTGGCTCCACACTGGGCTTGGAGCCACTTAAGATTTTCTCTCTCTCCCTCTCCATCTGCCACCTTCGCCCTTGCCCTCCCCCTCCCCCATCGACTCAGGTGCTCTCTTGCTCAAGCGCTCGCTCTCTTGGAAGAAGGAAAAAAAAAAAAGAAAAGAAAAGAAAATGTTTAGGGAATCCAAGAAAGGGGGCAAAAGTACTAATCATATGTAAGCCCATGGGTGAAATATAAACCAAGTGAACAGTTTTCTGTATTTTTAAAATGTGCAGTATATGTACATATTTTTTAACAAAAATTAACATTTTACATATTTTATAGGCTTCCTTTTAAATTTTAATATGTTGAGTATCTTTCCATGCCAGTAAAGATGGGAATAGTTATTATAGTTTTTTTTTTAATGGTTGCATAATATTGTGGCATTTATTTCACTAGTCTCATGACTAGTGACTTTGGACATAACAGTTTCTTATTTTTCCTTATAATAATGCCATGGTAAATATCCATATGTAACTTTTTGTATTTAAATCTGCCTATTTTCGGATTGCCTGTGTAGCTCAGTCAGTTAGGCAGCTGCCTTCTGCTCCTGTTGTGATCCCAGGCTCCTGGGATCAGGCACCACATCAGGCTCCTTGCTCAGCGGGGAGCCTGCTTCTCCCTCTGCCTGCTGCTCCCCGCGCTTGTACTCTCTCTCCCTCTCTTTCTGACAAATAAATAGATTTAAAAACTTTTTCTAGAAAATAAACTAAAAATAATTTTGACCTCCACTCTAAAAGTCAAGCTAGCTGAACTATGTAAAAAAGTCTGTTTACAAATTCATGTAAATATCCCAAACTTGATAACCAAACTGATTACCAAAGGTATCTAATCAGAGACATTTTCCAGGCAGCTAGTCAACAAAACTGATTCCCTTTCTTAATTTAATCAGGGAAATGTTCTATTATATTGCAAAACTCTGGTCCATGTGGATGTGACATTTTAAAACCTAGAGTTGTTGTTTTCTTTTTTCTTTTTTTTTAAGATTTTATTTGTTTATTTGACAGAGAGAGAGATCACAAGTAGGCAGAGAGGCAGGCAGAGTGAGAGAAGGGGAAGCAGGCTCTCCACTGAGCAGAGAGCCGATGTGGGGCTCCATCCCAGGACTCTGGGATCACGACCCAAGCTGAAGGCAGAGGCTTCAACCCACTGAGCCACCCAGGTGCCCCAAACCTAGAGTTTGATTAAACAACTCTACTGTATTAAACTATGCATTGCAGGTTGAACCCATGATCCAATCTCAGGTTTCATCTGAGGATTGACTCTCTCTAGTACTACTTAGCAATTAAAGCCTAACAGACTAACTACTAGCATGCACTCCTCTTCCTGTCCAGCATAGTATATTTGTGATTATGCTGTTCTTACGCGACTGAAAGAAAGAGACCCCACTTTCTACAATATGTGCTGAGAAGGCCAAATACTCTTTTCCAACCTCCCTTGCAGCTAGTCATGTGATGTAGGCTCAGCCAGTTGGACATATACCCTGTCCCCCTGTAAATATTATATGAAATCAAATAAGCAAATACTTGAGATTTTACTTATTTATTTGACAGAGATCACAAGTAGGCAGAGAGGCAGGCAGAGAGAGAGAAGGGAAGCAGGCTCCCTGCTGAGCAGAGAGCCCGATGCGGGGCTCGATCCCAGGGCCCTGGGATCATGACCTGAGCCAAAGGCAGAGGCTTTAACCCAGTGAGCCAACAAATGCCCCAAAATAAGCAAATACTGCCAACAGTCTTCCGAGACAGCAGCAGACAGCCCTGTCTGCACTGGTGCAGTGTCAGTGGTAATATCTGGTGACAGGTTAGGCAGTGGAAGCTGGGCTCAGTTGTGGGGAGGTCTTCATGGGACAAGTTGTTGATGTCCTTTTCACTGAGACGCTTGAGGCATAGCACTGAAGCCTGGCAAATCTGTGATTTCCCAATTCCCTTTTTTTTTTTTAAGATTTCATTTATTTATTTGTCAGAGAGAGAGAGAGAGCACACAAGCAGGCAGAGTGGCAGGCAGAGGCGGATAGAGAAACAGGCTCCCTGCCAAGCAAGGAGCCCGATACAGGACTCGATCCCAGCACCCCAGGATCATGACCTAAGCTGAAGGCAGCGGCTTAACTGAATGAGCCACCCAGGCGTCCCTTCCAATTTCCTTTTAATAAAGTGTTTTTGCATGTACTGCCCAAGTGTTTTCTTTTCCATGCACTTAAGAATCCTAACTGATACAGGATTGGAGTTAAATAACAATTGTTCCTCTAATCATTTAGTATTCTATACACATTCCCCACCCCCCGAATACACACACTGATTGGATTTCTGGTATTCACCTTTCAGTACTTACGTTACTCTGCTTTTCCAAGTTTATTGTCATTAACTCTCCTCAATGAAGTTTAGAAACACTTTGTGAAGTTCCTAAAAGAAAAATCCCTGTATGATTTTATTTAGAATGCTATTAAATTTATAGACTCCATTTGAGGAGAATAACACCATCAATGTTGTCTTCTTATTCAGTAAAATGGTCTGGCTGTCTTGTGTTAGTTAAGTTCCATTAAAGAAGTAGAACTACTTTTCCTGCCAAAGAGTGGGATTTATAGAGGGATTAGACATTCTATAATTGCAGGGGCTGAGAAAGCAGCCTGGGCAGACTCCTGCCTCTGAGTCTGTTGTTGAGCCTGAAGCAGTTATAAGTCAGGTAGACAGACACAGTCGAGAAGCGAAAGTGGATGTGGAGAAGAGCAAGGACCAAATGGAATCTGCACTGGCTTCTCACCAACTCCAGTTTTGATGCTGGGGGTGATCTACAGGAGAGGCTAGCACTCTTTACCCTGGGATTGCACATGCAGACCCAGGATTTGGAGAAGCTGAAGGAGTTGCAGGCCAGCCTGCTTCCCGTGCCAACAAGGTGAGCTAACAGATCATATGCAAGCTCCACGTGCAATAAGACAAGAACTTCACAAGGAAGGGAATTCTGGAATCTGTGCTTTTAGCTAAGCTGAGCTGACATAGTACAATTGATTGATCTTTGTGTCCTTTAATACAGGTTGTTTTCTTCATAAATATTTCTTGTTTAGTTTATTCCTTGGTATTTGGGTTTTTATTACCATTGTGAATATTCTTTCCCATTGATGATGGCTTGTCTGTTATAAAGATTAGTTTAGTATTTATCTTGAATTAGCCACCATTCACAACTTACATTCTAATGATTTTCAATGGATTCTCTTGAATCAGCAGTCATTTTCACTTGCAAACTAATGTAATTATCTTTTTGTTGCTGGTAAGGTAATGATACATTTTCTTTCCTGCTCCCTCTTCCTTTCCTTGCTTCCTTACATGGAATGAAACTGCCAGAACAATATTCTAATAGCTATACTATTTCTAAATTTAAGGTAATTGTCTCTTGGTTTTCATCATTTTGGTTTCTAGTAAACTAGTGTTTCCTTAATGTTTAGTGAATATAGAAATTACTTGGTATTCATACTTGCTAAAAATGCAGATCCCAGGAATGGATATTATATTTTGCTAAATGCCTTTTAAAGTATTAAATATGCAGTTCCTGCTGGATAACAGATCCAATGTATGAAGATTTTTTGTGAATTCATTCAACACTTATTGAGCACTTAGTATGCATAAAACGTATAGTAGTAAACAAAGTTGACAGAGTCCTTGCTCTCTGAACTTTTGTTTTCCTTCCTAAAATGTGTTTAGAGCATAAATACTTGAACCAAGTCTTTTGGCTCTAAAGGTATTACTTGAACCATCATTTAAGCTTAGTTTCTTTGAGCTAACTAGGCCACTTTATTTTTCTTTTTAACCAGTTTAAAAGTGATGAATCGTATTGCACTGTGGTCAGAGAATTTGGTCTGAACAGTTCCAGTTTTTAGATTGTATTGAAGTTTTTCTTACAGATGAGTAAATGAGTAGTTAACTTTTGTAAGTGTTTCATAGACATTTGGAATGTGTTTTCTGTGTAAAATATGTAATTTTAGACCTGCATATGAAATCAAACTTGTAATTATATATTATTTAGACTATCTATACCTATTTTTGGCTACTTGATATAATTTACATATTTTACTGCTTTGCAGTTTGTCATGTAAGCATCTTCTATTTTTGAAGGTTCTATTTATTTATTTTTAGAGAGAGAGAGAGCAAAAGTGCAAGAGAGAGCAGGTGCAGGGGGAGGGACAGAGGGAAAGGAAGAAAGATTTTCAAGGAGACTCCACTCTGAGCATGGAATCTGACTCAGGGCTCGATCCCATAACCCTGAGTTCATGACCTGAGCTGAAATCAGGAGTCGGATGCTTAACCAACTGAGCCACCCAAGTGCCCTGTAAGCATCTAACTTTACTGTGACTTGAATATTTTACCCCTTTTATCCCACTAAGTCTTTTGCCATGAATTTTGTATTTGATATTAATATTATCATGGCTGCTTTATTTGGCTTCTATATTCTAGGTATATATTTTTTAATCTCTTTATTTTGTATATTGTTGAGACTTTTTGTTTGAGATATTTTCTTGTGAACAATAACTTGGATGTTTCCTTTTGTCCCAGTCTGTTTCTTTATAGATAAATGTAATACGTTCACATTTATTGTGGTATTTGTGTTTGATGTTTGGTCTCTTTTGCTTTTTTGGGAGGGTTGGGGTGACAGTAAAGTCTTTTTTTTTTTTTTTTTTCCTTTTCTGTTTTGCTGTACTGATTAAGTTTTCTTTACTCCTCTTCTTTCTCCCTAGTAATTTAGTAGTTTAGAAGTCTGTTCCTCCATTCTTTTCCCCCAATAAATTGTATATAGCTGTTACAATTTATAAGGCAAAACTATTGAAATTCATGATTGTCACAGAGGAGTCGTAATTTAATTTAGGTAGAATCCTACAGTCATGATCCTTTTCTTTCAGAGGTTTATTAATGTTGCCCCACAGTATTTTGGCATTTATTTTTGGTATTAATCACATGCTGTTTTTGCGGATAACCTTTTTGAGTGAAGAGGGGCATGATCTCCATAAACTCTTGTTTTCAGAGTGCTCCTTTTACATGAAAGCCTGCTGTTGTTATTGATAATAAGGTATACACACACACACACACACACACACACACAAACACACACACACATTTTTAAAGATTTTATTTATTTATTTGACAGAGATCACAAGTAGGCAGAGAGGAAGGCAGAGAAGGGGGGAGGGGAGAAGCAGACTCCCCGCTGAGCAGAGAGCCCGATGTGGGGCTCGATCCCAGGACCCTGGGATCATGACCTGCGCAGAAGGCAGAGGCTTTAACCCACTGAGCCACCCAGGCGCCCCTCTTTTCATTCTCTTAACATAGTTTTTCAAAGAGCAGATGTTCTTAATTTTGATGAAGTTCAGTTTATCGATTTTTAAAAAACAGACTGACCTTTTGATGTTGCTTCTGAAAATTCTGCACAGCCCAAGGACCCAAAAATACTCTCTTTCCTTCCAAAATTTTTATAATTTTATGTTTTACTTTTAAGTCTGTGATCCATTTTGTCTTAATTTTTGTATACTGGAGTAAAGTATGGTCTGAGGTTCATTATTTTTGTATGTGGATATCCTCTTGTTCCAGCACCATTTGGTGAAAGGAATGTCTTTTCTCTATTTCCTTGCTTTTGCATGTGTGGACCTATTTCTTTTTTTTTATTATTTCTTTTTAAATTTATTGTTATGATTATTAAATAGGCTTGATACCCAGTGTGGAGCCAAACACAGGGCTTGAACTCACAACCCTGAGATTAAGACCTGAGCTGAGATCAAGAGTCAAGTGTTCAACCAACTGAGCTGCCCAGGATCTATTTCTGATCCCACTTTCTGTTCCGTTCCATTGCTCTATTTGTCTGTCCTTATACCAACGCTGCATTGTCATAATTACTGCAGCTATGTAAGACTTGAAGTTAGATGGTGTAAGTCCTTCAACTAAGTTCATCTTTTTCCAAGTTGTTTTCCTATTCTAGGTTTTTTGTGTTTCCCTATAAAATGAGCTATGGGTAGTTTTTATTATGAAATGGAAATTGAATCATTCTTAATGATTTAGTCATTTAGTTATTCTTTAGTCACAGAATTAAAACAAAACAATACAAAACAAAAACGTCAGGTATCACATAATATTGATAACTTTAACTGGATAAGTGATTTCCATATTCTATGCCAGTTAACTACTCAGCACAGAATTATGATTACCTTTTTACCAATTAAAGTTCTGTGGTTAGAGGCAACAAAAGAAAAAGGGATTTATTGGAAGAATGCTGGGTTAGGTCATAGAAGTAAAGGGTAAGCTGTAAGAGCTAAGGCAGCTCTGAGAAACTTGAAGATTGAACCTGAGGAATCGATGTCCTTAGGTTCTTTTTTTTTAGGCTGCTCCAGGTAGTGGAATCCAAGTCTGTAAGAAGAGAAAATTCTAGAAGGAAATCTGATTGGTCCAGCCTGGGTCACCTTAATGACCAAATTATTTATCACCAGTCTGATCACTACTAGAATATGATAACTCATTAGTAATTGCTAACTAATTACTACTACTGGTAAGAGAAACAGAATTCTAATTGACCAGCTCCAGAGTTTGGGTATTGGATGAGCAGTTTTCCTTAAAAAAGGAGATGCTGTTTTCAGAAGTCTGGAAAATAGTTGCTGGGTCCACAGACACAATAGGTGCTCACTACCATGTAGCACGCATTCCTGAGCATAGAACTATTTGATGACCTCAAAGTAGTAGGTTGCAGTTGGGGGGCTTTCTTAAATTCACCTTGATACATACGAACATGTAAACTGTTGTTCCTGTAAAGCTAACCTATTCTCTTTGGGCAGCATGGCATATTGTATATAACATGTAAAAGTACAATTTTGTTATATTTGAAAGTACTAGGAGAGTAGTCTTAAATGTTCTCACCACATGCACAAAAAGGTAACTATGTGAGATGATGGAAATGTTAACTAACCTTATTGTGGTCATCAGTTGACAACATGTTTGTATATGAAACCATCACAGTGTACATGTTAAACTTAGTAAGTGTTCTCTATTAATTATATCTCAGTGAAGCTGAGGAAAATAAAGTGAAATTACTGACAACTGTTAAAAAAAAGAAATACCAGTTTTTACAGCTTGGTTTTCTTTTTCTTTTTCTTTTTTTTTAAGATTTTATTTATTTTATTTGACAGAGAGAGATCACAAGTAGGCAGAGAGGCAGTCAGAGAGAGTGGGGGAAGCAGGCTCCCCGCTGAACAGAGAGCCTGATGTGGGGCTCAATCCCAGGACCCTGAGATCATGACTTGAGCCGAAGGCAGAGGCTTAACCCACTGAGCCACCCAGGCACCCCACAGCTTGGTTTTCTATTTGTGAAATTATTGCTGAGACTGTTTTGTTTAAATGTTTCATGGCATTAAGCTTTGCGTGGTGGTGGTATCGTAGCCAATGAGGTTTATCCAAGGTGTGATTATTGCTAATTGAAATGTTATATGGCATTAACATTTTCTTCTGTGTTCTATTTTAGGGTGACTGGGAATGTAAACAAGAGTAAGCTGTTTCCTGATGGCTTTTAGTATATACTGACATACTGTCTGTGATGGCATCTGAGGCTGAGAAGACCCATGCTTTACTCCAGTCTTGTAGCACTGAGTCTCTTATTTCCAGCCTTGGTCTGGGGATGTTCTGCCTAGTAGCCGACAGACTTCTTCAGTTTTCCGTAATTCAGCAAAATGACTGGCTTCGAGCCCTCTCGGATAACACCATACATTGTGTGATTGGCATGTGGTTGTGGGCAATAGTCATTGGCGTCAAGAAGACAACGGACTTTGGAGAAATCATTTTAGCTGGATTTTTAGCCTCTGTTATTGATGTAGACCACTTTTTTCTAGCTGGATCTTTATCTTTAAAGGTAAGAAACATATATGTTTAATATTTCTGGTCTTTAATTTCTTTAGCACTGTTATATTGATCTTCATAACATCCTTTTAGAGCTAGAGAAGATTATCCTTATTTTAAAATAAGGAAGTCCATTCATCCAGTTGTTTTTGTGAGCACTTAGTACTTCCCTGAAGGCAAACACAGACATGTTGCTAATCAAGTCATTGGCATCACCAAGTGCCAAGGATGCATACAGAGCTAAGGACTCAGTAAATGTACCTGAGGAGTTCTGTGCTGACTTTACAGAGGATGGTATAAGTCTTGAAGGACACATTAATCAACTGGCTTAAAGTAATGGGGATCATTCTCAGGGCTCTCCTGGGTCTTTTTCCACTGTTCTTTCTTCAGGACCACACTTATAATTTCCCCCTTATTCTTCATGTTTCATAGTTAGTATGTGGCTTCTTAGTGTTCCCTTACAGGAGAAGAGCTTTAAGATGATTCTTAGTCCTGGGGAACGACTTCCATGGATTCATTCCCCAGTCCCTTGTGGAGCCAAAGGTGTGCATTTCCATGGGCTGATTAGGGCACAGTCCCTGGTGGTGAACGTTGATGAGTTTCGATGAGGTGTTTAGCTATACGGTGACCTGTTGGCTTTGCAAATGAACTAAGCCTGAAATACAGTTCAGATAATATTCTCTAAGTGTCAACAGATTTTCCTATCTTTTCTGTGTTTATGATCTGTAAACACTCACAGAGCAAGGACTTTGCTTTATTCACCACTGGCCTGGAATAGTGCCTGCCTCATCTAGTAGGCATCCAGTAGATACTTGTTGAATGAATGAGAAATGATCATTTCTTCCTTTTAGGTGTCACATACCAGGTATTTCTCAGAGGTTGTCTTACTTATTGAAAAACTTAATCAGTAAGGAATCAGTAATTCCTGATTAAAGACAAATTAATAACATGTATTTGAGATTGGAATCAGAAGACGTGAGTTTGAATCCTAGTACGTGGTGTTAGCAGAGCGCTTTCTTCTTTAAGTCTCAATGTCCTCATCTGTAAAGTGTGGGTTCTGTCATTACTTACCTCACAGGGCGCTCATGTGTGTTAAATGGGCTTGTTAAAGGACAGACCCCGACAAATAGTTCACAGTCAATGTTAGTAGAGATTGGGATAAGCTATCACGCATCATAAAAAGTGTAGTTCATAAATGCATTCATCTAGAACTTAGTGTAATTAGAAAAAAAACATTTAGGCTCCGTACTGTATTTATTCGTTGATTCACTTAGAAGCAGTAGTGTTGAGAATATAAGCCAGAGAGACAAATTCAGTCTCCCCCTTACCCCCTGTACAACCTGGGGAAGCTACTTGGCCTCTGTGAGCCACAGCTTACCCCTCTGTGAAATAATCCCTAACTCATACAACTGTTACAGGGATTAAATGAGATAGTGCATATTAGGGTAGCACAGTGCTGGTATTGATCCTTTTTTTTTTTTAATGAAATCTGAACAAAACTAAAATAAGTATTTATGATACTAAGGTTTTTTTTTTTTTAAGATTTTATTTATTTATTTGACAGAGATCACAAGTAGGTGGAGAGGCAGGCAGAGAGAGAGAGGAGGAAGCAGGCTCCCCAGTGAGCAGAGAGCCTGATGTGGGGCTCAATCCCAGAAACCTGAGATCAGGGCATGAGCCAAAGGCAGAGGCTTTAACCCACTGAGCCATGCAGGTGCCCCAGTGATACTAAGTTTTAAATGTCTGTTGTTCCTTCCATTTGTCAGTGATCTATTTTTACTTCCTTGATTTTATGATCATGTCCTTTTCTTCTTTCATTTTTCATTATTTTTCTATGAATGAAAAATCTGGATTGAGATTTTACACATCAGCCAACAAACAAATTTCTTGTTTCTTCTTTAGCATCTATTAATTTAAATAGACTTCACAAATGAAAATGTAAAGAGTCAGTGTAACTCCAAACATCCAGAACATAACTTCAACTTCAGACTGTTGCTCTCTTCCAAGTAGGGCTTACCACAGGCTTCCTCGCCCTACCCTGCTGTTGAGGAGCCTGGTTCAGTGTGGCTGTGCGAGGAAAAACCAAGGTGGAGACAAGGTTGGGATAACAATATAGAAATGTGGGTGGTTCATGATCCCAGGGTCAAGGGATAGAGCCCCACATTGGGCTTCTTGCTCAGAGGGGAGCCTGCTTCTCCCTCTGCTGCTCCCTGTTTGTGCTCTCTCTCTCTCTCTGACAAATAAATCAAATCTTAGGAAAAAACCTAACAATGCAGAAATGTTATGTGTTCTGCCAAAGTAGAAATAAAACAGCTAAAAATAGGGAGAAGGAAGAGGAATGTAGCATAAACTCTTTGATATTCAGTCAGTAGGTGAGAGTTAAAGACACTGGTTTAAGGATCGTGTGACTGCACATGGTGGCAAGGTACAGTCTCTTTAATAGATGCCTTGCATTTTAATGGTGGGAAGTTATGCCTCTAGTTTTTTGTTGTTGTTGTTTTTTAATAAGGACCTATTTTTTTCTCCTCCTTTTCTTCTTTACCACCTAGTGTCCAGATGATTCCTCCCCCTTCGTTTTTGCCATCTTCTCCCTCAGAACCAATGCCTTTTAAAGCCTTGAATTATGCATACTTTTAAAGTCCTTGCTTTGTAGCCAGTGCTCTGATCAACTAGGACTCTTTCCAGTGTTTCTCTTTCCAGTGGTAATTATAGATCAGTCTTAGGTCCCTTCATCTTTCCTGGCTTGTAGTGGAAGTGTGAGAGAAAGTGCACTGATGTAGTCTGTATTTTAATACTTAAGAGTGTTTGAAGTTTTGGGCACCCTCTGACTTGTGTCTGTGCTGAGTGGGGTTTGGTATAGTTTTATTTGCCCTTGTCTGTAATGTTTTTGAGAATGTGTGGGGAGATTCGGTTTAGACAATCTTCACTGCCCTTAGCTTCCTTTTTATTTAAAAATTATCTTATTGAAAATTAGCCTTTAGAGTATGTGAGAACAAAACCTCACTCAAGAATCATTCAGGAATTAACCCTGAAATTTTCATTTGTTTAGTTATTGATTACATTTTTTATAATGGTTTAACATTTTTACTGGAGTTTAACTCAACTTTATAATAATTTTTTAAAATAATAGACTCTTTCTAAATGTTATAAGTGCATTCTGAAAATATTCAAGGCTAGTATAAAATGGTTACAATAAAAACATTTCCCTTTCATGTCTTTATTAATAGAAGAATATTTTATTCACTTGTGAGATTTTTTTCAATGTTTAGAGGCCCCAGATAATTCCCTAAAACCAAATTTACACAAACCACACGTTTGGGATATAAATTACATTTGTATTGTGACTTTTCTAAGCAAATAATAGGAAACTTTACAAAATTAATCACCATGTTCTTGAGATCTTCAGAGAATTTCCCACTCACTTTTCTTTGCTTTATAAGTAACTGACTTAATATATGTATTCAGAGGTGACACAGAAAATGTTTCCATTGTATTTCTAATAGACTCCTAGAAAATGTTTTAGAATGTTAAGAAGCATCTACCAAATTTTGTTTGCCAAGAAGGAAATGATGCTAGCTACTGCTCTCCCCTGCAGGCTGCTTTGACTCTCCCACGAAGACCTTTTCTTCACTGCTCTACTGTCATTCCAGTTGTGGTTCTGACCCTGAGGTTTACTATGCACCTTTTCAAGCTCAAGGACTCATGGTGCTTTCTTCCCTGGATGTTATTTATATCCTGGACTTCACATCATATCCGAGATGGAATTCGTCACGGCCTGTGGATATGCCCATTTGGAAAAACCTCTCCTTTGCCATTCTGGCTTTATGTTGTCATCACCTCCTCTTTACCTCACATCTGTTCATTCGTTATGTATTTCACAGGGACCAGACAAATGATGTCTTCAAAATATGGGATCCATATCGATGTCTGAGCTAACCGTATGCCAGGCTTCAAGAAGCAGATGGTTCTGATAATGACAATTAAGGGTAGCTAACATTATCAAGTGAATTTTTAACAATATATTATATTAATTATAATTCCTGAATCCTCTTGCTCAGGAGGCATGTACACTTTTTAAAAAATTATATTAAATTATACATTTGTTGTAATTCTACTTCTCTCTTCTCTAACACTCTAGTACAATATGAGAGTTTGATTTATCCCATGAGAGATTTTGTTTGTTTCTTCTGTTTACCTGGCTCTACTAATAGATCCTAGTAGATTCAGATCCTGTTAAGTTTTCGGTATGCGTTTGAGGCAGTCCCTTTCAGGATGAAAAACAGATCAAATCATAGGGTGATTAATTTGCAAAAAGTCACATTTGTAGCCACATTTTCCTGAGATACTGCAACAGTGCAACAGCCAACATAAATGAGATCGTGCATAAGATGTAGAGTGAACACTCCCATTTCTGCATATTGGTCCTGATTATGGTGTGATTGGTCAGATACTTCAGCGCGTTGCGATTACTGCGGAATCCTTTTCCGCACCCTTGTGAGAAATCATAATATCCATACGAGATAGTAACTAACTGTAGATCTAGATTATTGTGTCAGGAATCACTTTAGGAAATAATTATTGTCATATGTTGACTGTAGTAACATCCTGCTCAAGTATTATTTTTTTAGTATCTTTGTCCAAAAATCTCATGTGTTACAGTTTTAACTGTTCTGAAAAAGTAACTAAATTTGACAAAATATTTGTTAAAAGTTAACAAAATACTGATACTTGGCTTATAACCATGTAATTTGAACTGACACATAAAAAGGACTTAATCAGTTTCTTCAAATGTAAAATCCTGCATGTGCCATTAAAATTGTTTTAGTTGCTGCCAGTTTGTTTACACACTATTTTAAAGTGTATCGGTTAAATAATTTTTAAAATACCTGCCTGATACTGCGAAACAAAACATAGGTTTTTCAAAATGAAGGATTTTTAGGAAATTTGCTTTTGCCTTCATTCTTGCAGGTTGATCTCTTAAAAATGATGAACCTTTATTAGAGAAAGAAAATTTAGTTGCTGTAAAATTTTACATTTTCAGTTTAATATTCCTTTGATATAAAAGTCAGTGTCCTAACAGCACTTGCTTTTTTTTTTCAGTATCCTATGTACCATTTGCTGTCTTTAGATTTTCTTACACATTTGTGATTTGTAATGCTAGTGATTGTGTGCCTTATTCTCCGAGAAATGCTGAAGCAATGCCTTATCCAAAGCATATTTTTCTTATTTATTAAGTTAAACAGAGCTCTGTAAATTGTTGTAAAGGTTCACATTCTTTACTTTTTCTTTTTGTTGTTAACCAGTTAGTTGCAATCAATTATGTTTTAGAATCTATTAGATTCTAAATCTGTTATCTTTCATGAGCAATGATTGTGTCAGTTTGTTTGGTATAATGAATATTATATAGTGGGGGTAAATTTGAATAAGGTAGAGATTTTTTAAGTATATAATTTCAGAAATCCATGGAAATAAAGCATATATCTTGTATCACCTTTTCTAAGTTATAAAATTCTACTTTTGTCTTTCTCCATATCAAACCAGGGAATACCATTAAAATATAGGGCCTTATTTAAGTGTCATTCTGGCATTTTGGGGACCGTCCTCTAACTTTTTGTACTAGATGGGAATTCACTTTGCCCATGACTCCTTGCTCAAAACAATAACTACAGATGTTAAGTGTGGGTTTATCCTTATTCCTTCCTCTACCGTCAGAAATGCTCATTGTCCTCTAAATGTTCTATAATAGCTGTGGTTGTATCCTCTAGAAATAGAACAGCCAATTTCCCATGCCACCATTTTGCTTTTTTTTTTCTTATTTAAAAAGTTTGTGTCAATACATTATATTGAAAATTGGATTCTATCTTGTTTGCATGTAGGTGTTTTCTCCAGCCACTAGATGTCCTCCATTCACTTAATGGAGGCTGGTCCACTGACCTGACCTTACAATCTACTATTTTCTTGAGGCATGTTAGTTATGCTAACTACTCAGAAGAACTTCCACCATTGAACTGTTTTCCACTCATCCTCAAGCCTAGTTTCCTTTAAGTGGTGGGCTGAGTTAAAACTCCTATGTATCCTCCCTCACCAGGTCTTCAACCTGGGCAGCTACCATCACTACCTCCAATCAGGCGGACACTCCCCGGCTCCTTTTCCTTTTGACAATTACTTAGTTTTTCCCATTTACCCAACTAAAGAGGAGAGGAAATAGGGGCTATTCTGGTCCTGGCTCACTGCTATCATGGCTAAACCTTTTATCCACATAGGTATCCGTTTTCTTTCATTTGATATCCCAATATATTACTCATTCTCAATCTTATCCTCACAGGCTACTCTCTCAGACTCACTTTCACTTTCTTTGATGATATGAGCAGCTGGATCTCTTTTTTCCTTTTATTCCAACCCTTGATTTTACCCTCAGTCATCAGATGACTCACCTAAAAATTCCCTTCTTCTTCTAACCACTGACTCATCACCGCATCACATCAGCCATGCACCAGTACAACAGTCCTCCGTACCTCTGGAGGACATTGCTAATTTCTGAGATCTCAGACGTTGACTTTTTCTAGGTCACTGGTTCTCAAACTCTCAAACATACATCAAAATCATCTGTAAGACTAGTTAGAACAGGAGTTCCTTGAGACCTTCCTCCAGAGTTTTGACTTCATAGGTCCCAAGAACTTGCATTTCTTTTTTTTTTTTTTTAAGATTTTATTTATTTATTTGACAGAGAGATCACAAGCAGGCAGAGAGGCAGGCAGAGAGAGAGGAGGAAGCAGGCTCCCTGCTGAGCAGAGAGCCCGATGCGGGACTCGATCCCAGGACTCCGAGATCATGACCTGAGCTGAAGGCAGCGGCTTAACCCACTGAGCCAACCAGGCACCCCGAGAACTTGCATTTCTAACAAGTTCCCAGTTGATGCTGTGAAAGGTGAAATGAAATGGGGTCTCTTGTGTCAGGGGGTTTTAAAATGCAGCCGGAAGTCCATTAAGGAGGTAGGCCTTTTGCACGTCCTTACTGGTGGAACCATGAACTTTTGAACTGGGCCAGACAGCAGATAGTCCAAGGACTCAGCCTGAACACCTGCAGCTTGCTATAGTAAGAGACTTCGCTTAGCGATAGCCTTAGTAACCAATTATATTGAGTTAAGAGTAGCTCTCTGCCCTCAAAACCAATAAAAAATTCTTTGTAAACCACCTATACAAACTTTACTTTTTTCCTTTAAAAACCTGACTTTGCTCTCTAATGGGACACTATTTGGGTTACTACCCAAATTTGTGTACCTCGAATTGTAATTATTTAATCCCAAATAAACATTCCTTCTTAATTATTGCCTCCTAACAATTTTAGGTTGACCGTAGAACACTGCTGTTCAGGAACCACACTTTAAGTACCATGACTCTAGACCCATCCTGTTTCTTTCTTTTTTTAAGATTTTATTTATTTGATAGATCACGAGTAGGCAGAGAGGGAGAGAGGAGGAAACAGTCTTGCTGCTGAGCAGAGAGCCCGATATGGGGCTCGATCCTAGGACCCTGAGATCATGACCCGAGCTGAAGGCAGAGGCTTTAACCCACTGAACCACCCAGGTGCACCCCCATCCTGTTTCTTTAATTTCATTCCCTTTCTCCTCTTTCTTGAGCCAAGTCTTTGCCTTATCGATGTCTTTCATTTTTCCTAGCCTTCTTTTGCCCCCAGGTCCGTCCAGTCCTGTGCTAGGTACATTTAACTGTGTTCCTGTCTTACCTATGCAGTGCTGGAGGTCACCGTTTACTGTTTCAACATTCCAATGCCCAACTGTCCTCGTGCACTATCCAATTAGCCAATCCAGAATAATCCACATAGTCTGCTTTCCCTAGTTCTACTTCAGGCCGCATGTCTCTAAAGTTGTTACAAAACCCTGCCGACTCAGCTACCTAACTTCAGCCATGGATTTAATAATACTTTGCTCACTACCGAACAATTTTTTTTTCAAATATGGTATCAGAAGGGACGAGTCTCAGAATATCTGCCCCTATTAGATCCAGCCCGAGCCAGGAAGCTCACAGCATTTCACTGATCTGAGAAATTCGTATTGATAGTCAATCTCCACAGTTAATTTGCGCTTTGCATAAACCCATGGCATTGTCACGTGTGTCCCCTTGACATTTCTTTACTTCCCAGGAATAATGATGCTAATTTAAGTGTTTCTGAGGCATTTTGCTCTTTGTCTGACCTTGCAAGGAGTTTATTGGCTTACATACCCAGCAGCACTAAGTAAGGTTGCTTCAACATCTGGCAACAAGAAGGGGATGTCAAATTCAAGCTCTAACATTCATTCGGATCCCCCTCAATACTCTCTTAGAGCTTTCAAAGAAAGCACCCATCTGAATTCACACACCCTTTCTCATTATTTATCTATTATTATGAATATTTGAGAATCGTTTCTCAAGTGTTCCTTTGACTTAATGCAAGCCCTGCCCAGGTTCCTAAGTCAGCAACATTGGTGCCATGCACATAACGTGGAAAGGAAGACAGAGAGGACATTTTCCCGAGCTCTCTGGGTGATGCTAAATCAAGTAGAATACGTGGGCTGGTGGTTATGAAACTGACCGCACGCAGGTATAACATGCCTAAATGACAGAGGGCATACCTTGCTACCCTCGGCTTTTGCCCGCAGTCACAGGGAATGCTTGGAGCTTCTTAGAGTCCTCATGAGAGACCCTGCTATAAGGGCCTCCTTGTGTGCTCTAGAGGCCCTGCTCTTCTTGGAGACCTGTGTGTAAATACCACCCTTCTGGCTTCCTGGACTGCCGTGGCTGTTTGCCCAGAGTCTGCAACAATCGTCCCTCAGTGCTGGGTCTGGTCTCCTCGCCAGCAGCGACTCTAGGGTTTCTCTAGATGCTAAGCAGATCGGCACAGGACGGCTCTTTGTCAGTCTGGTTTCGTGAAGGGTGGCATGGAGCCCAGACTAATCCTTCTGGAAAGGTCTCTGCCATTTCTCAGGTGTGAGACCCAGAGCTAATCCCATTGTAAACCCTCTGCTCCCATCTTCACCTATCCATCCGAAGGAGATGGGATTAAAGTAAACC